TAGTTGCCTTTTTAAGCCATTATATTTTGGGATCATTGGTTATGCAACAGTAGATAACGAAAACAGACTGACTCTATCAGAATCACCAACGGAGCTTGTCAAAATGCATATTCCTGGGCCCCAGGTGCAATTCCCCAGGGATTCTGAAGTCTGGTAATGGGACCCAGTAACCTCAATTTTAACCTAGCTTCCTGGATGTCTCTGGTAGACACTAGAGTTTGAGAGACATTCCTTTAGAGCTATTAATTAATTCATTCATCTATCTAGTCTACCATCATCTTTTTACCATTACTACAAATCTGGCCATGTGCTGGGCTCCAGGGATAACCCAGAGACCATGCCACTCTCTCTGCCCTCAGGGACACCAAGGACCAAGCTGGTCACCTGACAGTCAAGCACTAGTTGAAGGAGGAGACCCTGAATCTTCTTCCCTGTAGGAGGCTGAGGGACCAATCCCAGTTCCCTCAGAACTGCTATAATTGGTTCAAGACCTCCCAAACTCAGTCCAATGCATTAACAATTGGTCATGGCCAAGAAATTAGGAGAAGATGGAATTCACTGATATTTCAGGAATAGCCGTCTCAGCAGAACCTTGGGATCTCTGAGGTTGAGGTTGGCCACCTGACGGTTTCTGTCACCTTTTATTATAAGAAGGAAGCCAGGGTCTCTATGGGCAAGGTAGAAACAACTTCAGCCCCAATCACAGATTTATTTGTCCTTGAAAATGACATTCATGTATATTTTCCCCCAAGTAGAAAAGTGACCATAGATAGTTCATTACAGAAAATGAGAAAATACAGAAAAGCATTTCAAACAAGCAAACAAAGCCCCCCTCAGGCATCTAACCACAGTCTAGCAGAACGTTAAGAGGCTGCTTGAGTCAGGCACACCTGGGTTTGAACCCCAGCTAAATGTAAGCTCCCCCAGGCTTGGTTTTCTCCTCTGTGACTATATTGCCTACTGTGCAAGGCTGTTGTGAGGATTAAGTAGGAATATCTGCACGTGTGTATGTCGTTACCATTATCTTTGCTAATAGTCAGGGGAGTATTTCTTTCTCGTCTGATTCCCTTTATATGCCAGTGTTTATTGTTGGTTACTTAATAGTGCCTTGAGCCCCCTCCCCTCTGTACCCCCCAGCATTCTAATGTCCCCATCAGAGGCAGGGCTGTGTCCAAAGGAATCCTAGGTGAAGAGATGGTGGCGATGGACTAGCAGGGTAGGAGTGGATGATGAGAGGCCAGAATTTGGATGATGAGTCCAGGGCTCCCCCTTGGCTCATCCAACTCCCTCGGAGGTTTAGGGAAAACCCAGAGCCCAGAGAGCCTGACAGCTTCCCTGTGGCTGCTCCGTCTTGATGTGTGGCTATGGCAGCTGTTCTTTCAGATTTTCTGGGGCAGTGCTACATGTCCTGTAGTCTAGTTTAGTCCATATAATATTGTACATAAAATAGCAAAACATAAATTCTATGTGGCAGCAGCAAGGCAATACATTTACTGGTGTTATATAGGAGGTGCTATTCCATCTGTATTTCTGCCCTTGGGAGGAAATCAGTTTTCTTATTATTATGATACCCATCCAGATGTTGTGCCTCTGCAACAGGAGGAAGTGAGCAGCTCCCTCCTTTTCCAAATAACACAAAGCAATGGATGGCCAAACGCACAGACTTTGATGAGAACAGCTATAAGATCGGATCCCTGCTCCACCAACTAATTATTCACTGGGAGAAATTTTTAACGTCTCCAAGTTCATCTCTTCCCATTTTTTTTTTTTTTTTTTCTGAGATGGAGTTTTGCTCTGTCACCCAGGCTGGAGTGCAGTGGCACGATCTCAGCTCACTGCAGCCTCTGCCTCTCGGGTTCAAGTGATTCTTCTGCCTCAGCCTCCCGAGTAGCTGGGACTACAGGTGTGTTCCAGCACACCCGGCTAATTTTTTATATTTTTAGTAGAGACAGGGTTTCACTGTGTTAGCCAGCATGGTCTTGATCTCCTGACCTCATGATCCGCCCGCCTTGGCCTCCTACAGTGCTGGGATTACAGGCGTGAGCCACCACACCTGGCCTGACTTTTTGGTTTTTGTGTGTGCTTAAGATTATTGCTGCTGTTTTGTTTTGTTTGCTAGTTGCTTAATGAACAGGAATTGGGAGTTTCAATCAGAGTCTTCCTTCATATGATGTACAGCCTGTCATCCGCAAATTTGCTTGTATTAATTAAGAAATGCATGTGGTTCTCACCCAACAATGTGAGCGCGGACATTCCCACACTGTCTTGGAGAATCCCAGAAGACGCAGTAGAGGGGAGTGGTAAGAGTGTAGGTGGTGAGGGGTCGTCTTTGGCATACACTTCTCCCTCTCAGGGTTAGGCAAAACTCTATTTATTGTAATAATATTATAATAAATAAGAATATATCATAAGTATAATAATATAATAATAATGTTTTCCTCCAAAGGGCAGAAATATAGATGGAATAACAATTCCTATTAATCCTTGATCCAAAGAATCCTTCAGGAATTTTATTATACATAAATTTTGGAACAATGTGGATCTAGAATAGGGAAGCAGTCATCCATCTTCCTTTAATTCTTGTACAGCGTTGCTTTGCCACGACTTATTTCTGCTTGGGCCTGCTGCACATCCTGCCGTCCAGATGGTCTCAGCTCTGACCCCAGCCCCCACATCTCTCTGAGCACCAACCTCAGATCCCAACTGTCAACCAGATATTTTAATTTGGATCTCCTGCTGTCCTTCAAATGCAGCATGCCTGAAATAAACCTCAATTCCACTGGTCCACCCCTTCCCCCAAAGAGATGCAACTTCCTAAATCTCGATTTCTACCAAAAGTGCCATTACCTTACTGTGATGAATATGCTGGAGTACTATTTGACTCCCTCCCCGACTTCATCTTTCATAGGTAAGCTGATGCAGATGTGCACCATATTTCTCCTCTGCCTCCCTGTGCCAGACTGGGTTAAAATCATCTCACACTTACACTATCGTTTCATCTTCCTAAGTAGCTCCCCAACCCTCCCTACCCCATTATGCTCCCCTCCAAATCACTGTTATGTACCAGACTCATCTTTTAAAATAACACTGTAGTGCCATCAATGTTCTGCTCACAAAAGCCTTCATTGACTCCACAACCCCAGAAAATAAGATCAAACCTCAACAGGCTTCTAAGACCCTCTAGAACGTAGTTGTCCCTACCAATTCAGCTGCATCTACAATTACTTCCCAATATAAACTCTCCACTCCAACCCAGGCCATTCTCCTCCCTGTCCTTCTGGCTGGCCCCTGACCCTTTTCTTCCAGGAGAACCCTAAGTTCTGCCTGTTAGGTGTGTCATTCAGGACGAGACACAAAACAGCTCTTCCACCAACCAGCTGCCTCTCCCAGCTCACACCATGTTCTTTTCCTTCTCTGAACATGGCAGATCTTCATGCCTCATGTCTTGTCATAATTCACACCATAAGCAATCTGTTTCATATACCATACTAATGTCCAGGAACTTCCTTTGTCTTCTTTGGTACCCAACCTCCTCCTACTACCATCACCACCACCACTATCACAAGGAATCTAGGGTTGTGCATATAATAGTAAATAAAAAAGTACCTCATGAATCAGATTCTATCAAAAAAAGAAGATGGAGAAAGAGGAAATCAAGGAAACAAAATAGGAGGAGAAAGAGAAAATATTGCTGTGTTTTCTCTTTGATGCCTGGGTATGCTGTGTGCTCATGCTATTGCTCAGATTTACAGACTATTTGAACTGAAAGGATCTTAAAAATCACTGAGTGCAATAATATAAGGCTGACCATGAAGACTTATTAAAAACTAGAAATAACGTATCTGGCCCAGAAAAAAACAATAAAAAAGATGAGCATCATTTGCCAGCTGTGTGACCTTTAGAATGTCACTTGACCTCTCTGTTCCTCAGTTTCCTCATTTTTGAAGTGTGAATGATGTAACGCTTATTGAGGAGCCAAATGAGATGCTGTAGGTAAAGCACTTGGCCAATGCCTTAAACATGGTAAGTGCTAAGTACCTGCTAAGAAGAAGATCCCTGTCCAGGCTTTGAAAACATGTAAAGCAAAATTTCTTGAAGGCTGGTTATAAATAATTAATTTATTATTAATAATAAACTGTGAGAACATTTAATGGGGTGTTTCTATGGTCTCAATATTTGTGTCACCCCGAAATTCATAAATTGAAACCTAATCCCCAAGGCGATGATATTAGAAGGTGGGGCCTTTGGGAGGTGAGTAGGTTATGAGGGCTCCACCTAGTGGATGAGATTAATGTCCTTAAAAACGAGGCCCGAGAGAGAGGCCTTCCGCTTCTGCTATGTGAGGACACATAGCGGGTGCCATCTATGAAGAATGGCCCTTCACTGGACACCAGATCTGCCGACCCCTTGATCGTGGACTTCCCAGCCTCCAGAACTGTGAGCAATAAGTTTCTGTTGTTTATAAATTACTCAGTCTAAGGTATTTTGTTAAAGCAGCCTAAGTGGATTAAGACAGTTGCTTAATCCATGTAAGAATAGCTACATCTGTACCTATTTCTATGTTTACTTTGGATCATGATATAAAACGTATTTCTAACTGTGGGTCACAGTCAAACAAGTTTGAAAGCCGTTGGATTATTAAAGTCCTCCACTAGTAAAAACGGAGCAGCTTGCCAAAACCTCATGTGGAATGCTAGGTGCTACTTTAAGAGCAATTTCATCTTCCATCTTCTCTAGACCTTGGTTTTCCATCAACACCTCAGTCCTGCTAATGTTGTCTTTATTTTTCATGCATCTGACATGTAATCCAGACCACTGTTGCCACACTAATTAATGTAGAAAGAATTCACTTGCATGCAGGCCTAAATTCTCCAACCTATGGTTAGGTCTAGCATGTGTCTTTCTCCAGCAGATGGAATGCTCAGAAACCTTGAGGAAAGAGGAGAGCTTCTGATTTTTGAAAGATGCTTCAACGGGTAACTCTGTCTTGCATTTTGCAGTGATTCTGTCACCCACATTGTAGCAGAGAACAACTCGGGTTCAGATGTTCTGGAGTGGCTTCAAGTACAGAAAATACAAGTTAGCTCACAACCAGAACTCCTTGATGTCTCCTGGCTGATAGAATGTATAGGAGCAGGGAAACCGGTGGAGATGACAGGAAAACACCAGCTTGTTGTAAGTGTCATGGGTGTGATTTTCACTGTTCTTTGCTTGATGGTTAAGAACATAAGCTTAGAATCAACAGAGTTGGGGTAAACCCTAGATTCTCTGCTTACTTCCTGTGTGACCTTGGGCAAGTCACTTAGCTTTACAAAGCTTCAGTTTCTTCCTTTATAACATGACATAACAATAATGCCAGCCTCACAAAATGGTCATGAAGATTAGAATAATATACATGTAAAGCACTTAACACAGTGTGTTAAGTATAGTAGGCACCTTATGAGTGGTAGCTATTTTCCTGAATGCATTTATACACAAATATTTCAAAATATTTAAGCCTTGATATTCTGGCAGCCAGAAAAGCAGGAGATTCCTTTTTTTCTCTTACTGTGATCATTCAGAAAACAAAAGAAAACAAAACAAAAAATTAAGCTCTCAATTCCAAATATTTGAGCAATTGTGCTAGAATCTTTGGGAAGAGGGGTTGGACCATAAGTACATAAGTTCATAGAAAAGGAAGGTTATATTTAATTGATAGGTCTTTTCATGTTTTTGTTTTTCAGATTTCAAAAAAATACATGTTGATAATAGCAAGTTCAAATATTAGAGATGTATATAACATAAATTTTGAGTCTCCTATAATTTTATCCTCCAACCACAGACAACTACTTCCAAATTTTTCCATATATATTATTACTATTAATTTTTATTGAAAATGGATGCTTATGCATTTGTTTAGGTGAGAAGAGACTATTCAGATAGCACCAATCCAGGCCCCCCGAAGACTCTACCAACTGCTGTACAAAAGATCTCCCAGTATGCGTGTCAGAGAAGAACCACTTTAAACAACTGTAACCAGATATTCACGGTAACAGAACTTGACATCAACACCCAGGGCAAACGAAGGGCTTGCAGCTTCTTTCCATGGAGCCACAAATTAAATTATAAATTTTTCTGAAAACTTGGGAAAGTTTTCCTCCCACCTACCCACAGCCCTAGCCTGATCTCTGATCCTTCTATCCTTCTTTCTATCAAGAATGGGTCTCCTTCCTTCCGGAAATGGACAAATACATTTAGGTTATATTCTTTACAGACAGCAGATTACTATTTACAGAGAGCTGTCATTAATGGGCACAACACTTTGTCAAAGGCAAATATTCTGAAAAAACAAATATTGGAATTAGTTCAAAACATAGTAAGAGTAAATTACATAGAAATGGTAACAATGCATCAACAGCCTTTGCTGGGAAACCAAAAAATTGAGCAAACCTAGATTCCAGCCTTTCTGATATTCACTAGTTTGGGCAAGTCAATTTCTCTCTCTGAGCCTGTTTCCTCATCTATTCAAAAAGAAATTGGATAGATCATATCTAAAGCTCCACTCAGCCCTCAGATTGGTCATGGTGTTTTGAACGGCCCTGGCCCTAAAAGCTCACAACTGCTTGTCTGTTAGCCTAGAGTCAGTGGTTAGCTGGATGAAACATGTAGTAGTAGATCAATACAGAGCTTTTCATTTCTAGACTTCCAGCTCTATGTCTGTGTTGGAAAGACCAGGAAATTGTAGTTAATGGATATGCCGAGCATGAGATCACACAGCTGCAGCTGCTTCCTCCCCTGCTAGAAATGCAAACATGCCCTACCTTAAGTAATCCTGGCTCTGGGTCAGTGTGCCTATGACTAAACTCATTCATTCAACAAGCCTGTGTTAAGCGCTGTGTTTTACCGGGATGCTCAGTGATCAAGGCAGAATTCTAGCCACAGGCTAGTGGGAAGATAGTACAGAAGGAGGGATTATGCTGAGTCATGACTAGCAAGATGCTGTGAGCACCAAAGCACTCTTTAGTTAAATCATCTGTGAATGTTTAAAGGCAGTGTACTCCAAGTTTCTGTATAATGCACTCTGGTACCTGTCTTTTCAATTCAACTTTACTCCATGACACAATAGAGGAATACAAGGGTATGGGAAACCCCATCCTGACCTAGAAGGAAACACTCAAGTGGTATTCCAATATTTAAAGGAGAGCAAGAGGCCTTTGTGAGTGACCACTGACTGAGGGGCTTGGAAGCAGATCTCTTGCTTATCTGGTTTTATCCTTTAGGATGCCTTTGATATACTGGCTGAAAACTGTGAGTTTAGAGAAAATGAAGACTCCTGTGTGACATTTATGAGAGCAGCTTCTGTATTGAAATCTCTGCCATTCACAATCATCAGTATGAAGGACACAGAAGGAATTCCCTGCCTGGGGTCCAAGGTGAAGTGTATCATAGAGGTAAGCGTGAAATGGGATTTGTCCCACTTCCCAATTGGTAGGTGGGGAGGGGGGAGAGAGAGATGTAGCTAACAGATTTTCCTGTCAACTATGTAGATGTGGTGTACATCACAAATTTTCCTTTATACACGTTCCTCTCGCTCTCCTGTTTCTGTGTGTGTGTGTGTGTTTATATAAAGTGAATATCCTAGTCACATGGCACCAAAATACATTAGTGGTGGCAGGTGTCAGAGTTACTGATAGTGAATCCGTTCGGGTCTGCAGCAACCCTAATTATTGCTTCTGCAGAAGAAAGAATTCGACTGAGAGGCATAAGGCAGGAAAAGAGACTGAGACAAGTTTCAGAGCAGGAGTGGAAGTTCATTAAAAAGCTTTAGAGCAGGAAAGAAAGGAAAGTACACTTGGAAGAGACCCAAGTGGGCAACTTGGAGGGCAAGTGCAGCGTTTGACCTTTTGACTTGGGGTTTTATACACTGGCATACTTCCGGGGTCCTGCAACCCTTTTCCCATGATTCTTCCCTTAGGGTGAGTCACCCGCGTGCACAGTGCCCTCCTCGTGCTTGGGAGGGGTGCAGGCACAGTGTGTCTGCCGGAGTTGTATGCATGCTCACCTGAGGCATTCTTCCCTTTTCCAGTGGAATGCCTCAGAAAATCATACTCTGCCATTTTGTCTCTTAATGTGCATGCTCATGCCCACTCACCCAATTCCTGAGATTTTACTGGAAGCTGCTGATTACCAATTTCAAGTGTTTTTATCTATTGGGAAATTGCTTCTCCCTGGCACCAGCTGTGACCAATTATCATTTTATAGTGTGATAACTGCCAGACTATCAGGGAATTACCTCTCTCTAGCACCAGCTGCAACCAATTATCATTTTAGAGCCATAGTGTGATAACTGCTGGACCATCACCTGATGGTCGCCTGACATTCCTGGTTGGGAGCGGGGAGCCCTCTCCTGCTCCGCTCATGCCCGACTAGCTACCTACTATAACATATAGAGGCATGTTATGTATAATCCATACCCTAATATTATCATAGCTGGGGTTACATGGAGCCAGCTAGTGGAAACAGAACTCTCCCATATTGTTATTAATCACAGTGAAAGACTCAAGTGACTTACAAGCTTGACAGCAGGGAAATGGTCTGATTTCAAACAGTGGCTGCGTGGAGGACCTCAGTTCCACCTGGGGGCGCCACCTTAGAGCAGCGGTGCATTTGACATCAAGTGGAGTTGGTTCTACATCTCTCCAGGGAGAGTGCTGGAGGTTCTGCTTATTTATTGAACGGTGTTTAGGGATTCTCCAGCAAAGCAAGTCGGTCATCTGGTAGTAAGTTTCTATATAGTCAAGTGCAAGGTATATTATTTAAGGACAATTATCCCAACTCTACTCAGAGGAGGGGGGCTCTGAGCTAGATATCACAAGGGCTTGAATGTAGATTGGCTTTTTGGTGGGTCCAAAATTAACCTTCTCAATGGAAAAGTCTTCTTATTTCAGTGGTCATATTCATTGAAGAGAAAATTATCACCAATATTTGGACATACATTTTTCAGCAAAGATTTTGGTTTGGAATTCTGTAGATCTGGACCCTAACCATTTGTATTTTTGTTCCTAAGGATCATAAAGGGGTCCTTGGATATATGATGAGCTAGCATTTTCAAGATTATAGAGAAATGTCTTGTTTTCTCCAGATCAGTTAAGGAAATACCCCAGGATGCGATGCATGCACATTTCATGAGAAACCAAGCAACTAGATCCATGAATTTGAGAGTCTTACACAGTAATTGTCTAACATCACTAATTTAAAGTATTTTTCAACTGTCCACTAGGAGATTATTGAAGATGGAGAAAGTTCTGAAGTTAAAGCTGTGTTAAATGATGAACGATATCAATCCTTCAAAGTAAGTGATTTTACATATATTTATTGAAAATGGCTTTTCAGTTAATCTTATTACTTATTCTGGCTGGTTGTATTAGTCAGCTTGGGCTACAATAACAAAGTACAGAGATGGGTTGGCTTAAACAACAGGAATTTATTTTCTCACCATTCTGGAGGCTGAAAGTTCTGGATCAAGATGTCAGCAGGGTCAGTTTCTGGTGAGGGTTCTCTTTCTGGCTTCTTGCTGTGTCCTCACATGCTCCCCTGCTCACATGGCAAGAGAGAGAGCAAGAACAAGCAATCTTTCTGGTGTCATAAAGATACTAATCCAGGGCCAGGCACCATAGCTCATGCCTGTAATCCAAGCATTTTGGGAGGCCCAGGCAGGTGCACTTGAAGCCAGGAATTTAAGACCAGCTTGGCTAACGTGGTGAAACCCCATCTTTACTAAAAAATATGAAAATTAGCCAGGTGTGGTGGGGGATGCCTGTAATTCCAGCTACTTGGGAGACTGAGACATGAGAAAAACTTGAGTCTGGGAGGCAGAGGTTGCAGAGAGCTGAGATCGCGCCACTGTACTCCAGGCTGGGTGATAGAGTGAGACTGTCTCAAAAACAAAACAAACAAAAAGACACTAATCCCATCATGAGAGCCCCACTCTCATGACCCCAAAGGCCCTGTCTTAAATACCATCATACTGGGGATTAGGACTTCAACCTACAAATTGAGTTGGGAGGGGGAATTCAGTCCATAGCTTTGCTCTAGGAAGAAAATGCCTAAATAAATTCAGGTGCCGAGATAATTGCCATGCTATGGTGATGTACAAATTGCCTTACCCTCCAAGAGTCTGTCGCTCATGGGTACAAACATCATGGGACATGAGGACCACGGGGGGTTGGTGGGGACAGGACAGAACTGCTCTTAAAGAGCAGATTGGTGTCTGAAAATCTCCTTACTGCCTCTCCATTTAGTTGGAAGCAGGGTTTATTACCTCCCAATTTTCCCTGCCTTAGAGCTGCAGGTGGAAGGGACTTCCACCAGTCCCTTTCATTGCAAAAGTGATGTACAGGCCTAAAATATGGCCATGAGCAGGAGCACAGGCTTGGAGTGTAAATAGACCGGGGTTTAAGTTTGGGCTGTGCCACTTCTCACCTGTGTGATGGTGGAGAAACTATATAACCTATAGGAGCATCTCTTTTCAAAATGTGAGGGTACCTATGCAGAGCATGAGTGTCGGTAAGAGACCCAGCAAAGTGGAGAGCCCTATAGAGATACTGTATCACTCATGGACAGCACAGGCAGGCCATCAATTAGACTATACCTAAGCTCTGCACAAGTGCCGGAACCTGCTTGTTACTTCTGTTTCATTTTGTAATGCCACATGTCAAGAAAGGACTCATCTGAAACAAAAATGCCCTTAAAATGACCATCACCCACCTGCTTGTCATATTCAGGAGGAACTAGGTTAAAGATTGCTTATACTTTTTCTTCATTGCCTGAGACCTAGAAAGGGTCATGACTCGGATGTCATAATGATTATTTTAGAGACTGATAGCATGCCTTTCCCTCCATTTTAGCTCTTTACTTCTGTATTTGGAGTGGGGTTGAAGACTTCTGAGAAGTGGTTCAGGATGGGTTTCAGAACTCTGAGTAAAGTAAGGTCGGACGAAAGCCTGAAATTTACACGAATGCAGAGAGCAGGTAAATTCTCTCCTAAAAGTCATTGTTGCTATGGGCTGGTCGGGTCGTGGTGGAGCTCTAAGTCAGTTACACTGCAACTCCAATCTGGGAGAGCTGGGACACTTCTTTGATGTCTGTTGATGCTTGGATCTAAATCCTAGCTCCAGCAGTTTCCAGTTGTGTGATCTTGAGCAAGTTAGTTAAAATCTTTGAACCTTAGTTACCTAATCTATAAAAAGGAGATAACATTGATACTTAGCTGGGAAGTCAATCAGATAATGCAGGCAATGCCTCAGCACTGTGTCTGGCACAGAGCAAAGGCACCCTCCACGGTGGCTATTGGTGGTCCTTCATCCAAATGTCAAGCCAGGTTGTGCTGCTGATCTGGTACTTACTGACTCTTCTGGACATTGGGTCCTGGCTGTCTCCCTGGGTAAGAGTCATGGGTGAAGAGTCAAAGACAGAAGGGTTGGCTGCTTGAACAAACTAGAGCTGTTGCCTGGCACAAATGTGAAGATGCTCTAGAAACTGTAAAACACCAGGAAAATAGAAGGGAAGTGGTGGAAATGTAGGCACAGGGTTGATGTACCCAACCAAGACTCTTTAGCCTAAGAGAAGACTATGGTGGGACATGAGTGCTGTCATCACCCACCTGAAAGCCTGGCAGGGCCTCTCAGAGGTTGAAGGTAGCCTGGTCACTTCCATTTATGAGGCTCCCAGTGAGTTTTTTAAAAATGAAGGGATGGCAATATAGTGTCAAAAAAATTGTGTGTTTAAAAAAAATGTTTACTTTTAACAGGCAATAAAAATACAACACAGTTGTGATTCAAAAGGAGTCACAGCCACAGTCCCCAGCACCATGGCTCCTAGAGTTATAGAGAATAAAGTCATAATTTTTTTTATTTTTATTTTTTTGAGACAGGTTCCCACTCTTTTGCCCAGGCTGAAGTACAGTGGTGTTATCAAGGCTCACTGCACCCTCTGCCTCTTGGGCTCAAGTGATCCTCCCACCTCAACCTCCCAAGTAGCTAGGACCACAGGTGTGCACCACTACACCCAGCTAATTTTTTGTAGAAATGGGGCTTCACCATGTTGCCCAGGCTGGTCCTGAATTCCTGGGCTCAAGCCATCCACCTGCCTTGGCCTCCCAAAGTGCCCAGATTACGGGTGTGACCCACCACACCTGGCCCCAGATTTTTAATGATGTGAAAGTAAGAAAATCGGTTGCCAGAGAAGACCAGGAGAAAAAGGTAGACAGAGATTTTCTGTTTAAGTAACGACAAAAACAAACAAATAAACAAAAACAAGCAATGGTATAGGAAGCAAATCAAATCGTGGTAGGTCCTATCAGTGATACTACAGAAGACCCCTGCTCATTTTTTTTGTAAAGTTGCTCATCTTTGAAATATTGCTGATAATACAATGCCACATAGGAAATAAAAGAGTCTAAGAAAAAAAGATCCAGTATTTATATTCTAGGACCCTGAAAGCACACGTTTAATAAGCATGATTTACACCAGTTCTCAAGATGCCATTCAAAATAAATTTAAATAAGTATTAAATATAAGTAGCAAGTAAGTGGTTTGGAATGATGAGTAAAGACTCTCAATGCTTAGAGAGAAATTGGGAGGCAATACAGTGTTTCACTTGGATGAAACCCTTATCAAATGACGTCCAGTGTTCTCAGGAACTAAGGGCTTCCAATTCCCCAGCTTTGTAAACTGGATTTTTGCTCTTCCTATTGAGCTTTTCCAACCCTTTGAATGAAGCAGCTTTATTCATTTAGTCAATCAGTGATTTCCATCGAACTGTTTAATGCTACCAGTTCTAGGCAGAAATCAAGGAATGCCCTCCCACTATACTTATACCCCCACAAGTGGTTATAGGCACCCCTTGGAGCAGCACTACACTGAATGGAATTGTCAATGGGAATAGCTTAGAATACTGTGAAGGGTAAGCTAATTGAACACATTGAAAGGACAATTCATGGGTCAGATGGATAACCTGATTAAGTTTTACTTATATTTGCACTTGATTGCAGGTCCCTGAGGCTTGAGCATGCACATGCCACATTTGCCTTGAAAAGTCAATTTATGAACTATAGCAGCACATATTTAACCTTGTACTGTGTGATAAGTTTCCTGTAATAAGTTAGTCACCCTGCCATACCAAAAAGGAAAGCCAATTAAATTACTTTCATGGATGTCAACAAATCATCATAGTCTTACATGTTCATTCCTGATACCTGCACATCTTCTTAAAGAAATAGTTGTGAATCATGACTTTTGGATCATGTATATCACTGCATAAGCACAGGTGTTTGTGGTTACCCGGTGAGTTGTGCTTTGAATCTTAGTCATGATGACAGTTTCTGTATTAGAGCCTAATAGAACATTACTTCTTAGATCAAACTCCTCATGCTCATAAAAATGGCCATATTGCAATAATTTTTAGAAATGTGGCTTTTTTAAAAAATAAAAAAGAAGTATCAGTATTGATATAAAGAAAGTAGTGTTTCACAAGTGGTGTGGTTTGGTATTGGACACAGTTTATAGGTGTGTTCATATGAATGCCATTTTCTCTTGGTCTTGCCAGCATATTTCTGTGACTGTCCCCATTAGAGATAACATGGGAAGTTTGGCAGGGTGTGCAAGCCAAATGGCCATGCTGCTGCCTCCCTTCCACCATCCCAGGGTGAGAAACAAGGACCAATAGATTTACTCTTGTCATTTCAGAGGGCCAGTGGTAGGTGAAATTGCAAAGAAGTAGACTTAGGCTTTTCAAAAGAAAGAACTGGTGCAACAGAGTTTACAATTAGGAAATAGGCTCCTCTGGAGGTATCAGAGTTCCCCATTATTAGAGTCAAGCAGAGTTTGAATGATCCCCTCTTGGAGACCCTAGATAGGAGAGCAGTGATACGGAAGCATGATTTGATGTCCCTCAGGCTCTATGGATCTAATCACCGGGCTCATCTCACCAATACTTCACCCCAATCCTTGGAGATAAGTCTCCCTTCTCCTTTGCTCTTCCCCTCCAAATCTCCCTCCACACCGCTCTGTGGGAACCACCAAGTTGTCAGCTTTTCATCATAGCAACTCTGAACTTTCATTAATTCATGCTGGTCAGGCAAAGAAGCAACAAGCTAAACCACCTAAGATATTTCCTGCCTTGCTTCAGACAGACATCTACCCTGCTCCTATTCTTGACTTTAATTTTTTAATGGATCCATCACCTTCCAACTCTAAATCTCCTCATCCCAAATCTTTACGCGTTACCTTTTAAAAAATAGTAGGACACAGCTTATTGATCAAGAAGGCTGGTTCTTCAGTAGGAAGTCAGGTCTGAACAATTTGGATTCCAGAGGGATGTGAAATATTGTCTCCTTCTTAGGAAATTGTAAGCCTCTCGGTTAGAAAGCAAAGAACCATTGTTACCCTGCAAAATTCACGACCAGGAGAATCACATGGATTGTTCTGTCTCTGTGGAAATGGAGTTTAGTGTTGATGCCTGTAGTCATGTTAGCTCTATTGTGGGGACAGAATCCCCTTCCACTGAGGGCTGGTTGTTTCACACGCGCATCACTCTCTTCATTGACCTGTCAAATGGCCTCTCAGGATTTCTGTATTATGAAGACCTTGTCAGCTGTGTGACCAGGGCAGAAGCAGAGGCCGTCAGTGTGCTGGTTAAAGAGGCTGTCCAGGCATTTCTTCCGGATGCTTTCGTCACCATGACAGGAGGGTTCCGGAGGTAAATAACTTTGGTGGCTTTGCCTCCTCTGCCCTAATACTTCAGTGGCTCCCTGACTCGGACAGGCAGCTGAAATGGCACAAAAGGCCTTTTGTTATCTAGTGCCAGCTTCCTTCTGCAGCTTTGTCTCGTGCCCCTCACATTTCATTTCAGCAACCCCAAATGGCTTGTCATCCCCTGCACATTCAGAGCTGTTTCTTGCCTTGTTGCTTTGCTTACTCAGACTTCTGCTTTGACGGCCGTTCCTCAAATTGTCACTTGGCTGACTTCCCCTCATTTTTTAAGACTCAGTTTAGATGGCACCTCCTCCAGAAAGCCTTCCTTGACTCCCTCCTTCTCCATGCTGGATTAGAGCCCCCTCTTCCATGCTCCCTGAATACCTGCAAAGCCCTTGATCCACAGAGTTACAGTGATTTGTTCCTGTGTGTGGTTTCTCCACTAAGTTTGTAGAGCTTAGTTCTCAGCAAGACTATTGCATGATGCCTAGCACAAAGTAGGTGCTCAAGAAATCTTGGTTGAGTCAATAAATGACTGACTGAATGAATTCATGAATGAGCAAACACTTCACAGGTATGTATGTGGTTGTTGGATATTGAGGCCTACATTTCAGAAAGGGATTTCTTTCCTCCTACAGCCTCCTCCACCTCTTTCTCCAGCCCTCTTACCTGGTGGCTGCTGGCCATTCTAACAAAATAGGTTTGGGCACGGGAGAAAGTAAGAGAAGATCAAATCTAAGATAATGGCTTTACTTCATGTCACAATTCCAAGACTTCTACCTTGTAGTATGTGAATACAATTATTGGTTTGCTTGTTGTCGTGCTTGTCTCTATGTGTGTATGTGTGGGTGCATGTAGGTTTGTGTGAGTGTGTAGAATAAATAATTTTTTGTTATTTTTTGCCCAGATATACATAATCACATACATGCTATATATGACTTTTTCTGTGTCATAAATTTATTTTGTAAGGAATAGAGATGTGTAACCAAAGATATTTTGTTTCTTAAAAAAAATGTCAAGAACCTTCTATGTTGCAAATCTTAAGCATAGGACATAGAAACAAAGGTGATTTTTTTTTTTTAAATGAAGACTAAAATCTAATTGATTTCCATTTTATACTGCTTTTGAAAATTAGGGGTAAGAAGATGGGGCATGATGTAGATTTTTTAATTACCAGCCCAGGATCAACAGAGGATGAAGAGCAACAACTTTTACAGAAAGTGATGAACTTATGGGAAAAGAAGGTGAGAAGAAAGATGAAAAATACATGCACACTCTTACATTATGTTGACACTTGAATTTTGCAAATTACTTGCCTTATAATTGTGTAATGACCATCTAATCAATTCTCAATTGTTTGCAGCAGCTTATACAAAGTCATACGACCTACAATAAGATTTTCCTGTTTGGGTCCTAGAGTACATGTTATAAATATGTCCTGTATCTTGTTTATTTGTACTTACCCTATTGCCAACAGGGCCAAGGGTGGCTATGCATTTGTGTTTGACATACAGAGGCATTAAAGCACCCAAATGAAGTGAAAAGCATGCACTATAAAGACCTGGGAAATGTGAGCCAGAAAGCTGCAAGTTTGGGTGAGGGTGCAGGACTGCAAAGACTGGGATAAAATCAGTCTAAGAGGTGTTGATAGTGCCTTGAATTCTATGCTGGTCAATTGCCATCTTGACTTTGTACTGAGATGGAATGAAGGAAACTAATGAGGGCAAGCTGAGCCCTGCAGAGGTCATGGCTCAGAAGCCCCCATGTACTGCAGAGATCAGACTTGTGACAGGCCTATTGCCTGGTGGAGGAAACCAAAGTAAGCTAAGCTAACCCTGCAGCCAGAGCCACACGCAGGCCCTGATTCCTGTCTGACTCTAGTGAGAGCCTCACTTCCTAGAGAGACCAGAGGGTCCTACCCTTGGGACCTGTAGATAGGCCTGGACGGGCTGGTGTTTCTCCTCACAGCTTCATCCTTCCTGAGTAGTTTGCTTCTGTTGGGTGTGGACCAAGCTTACTGATATCCCAGAAAAGGAAGACCTCAGATAAAGTGAAAATAAAAGCTAGAAACACAACCCTAGGGCCAGGGGCACTGGAAATGAAGACTCAACTTTAGAACTAGATCCAAATTCATCTCTGAAACCATTCCCAACCCCCTCTGTCCCTCTCAGGGGAATGAACACAGGGCAGCCAGTGGCCCTAAGAGTGAACATAATAGACAAAGCCAGGGGATGGCAGCACAAGGAAGAGTCAGCGAAGTGGCCCACTGGTCTGCTCAAGATTTTGTTGATAAACTTTCTTATCAACGAAAGATTCTCATTGATAGACAAGGGAGCATGGCTTGTGGACCCTGCTAGCTGAGGCCTGGTGGGGAGTGGGCTGTGTGGCTCTGTACCTGGAGGCCCTGCAAAAATGGACCTCTCTGACCTTGTCTATAGGCACCCTCCCCTCTCCATGCCGACACTATTAAAGACTGGAATGGGGTAGGGAGATAGCAGCAGAGAGTCCTCTTTCCATTGGTCTTCCCTTAGTTTCAAGGAAGTCACACTTACTGCTGGTCCCCAAGCAGGGATGGGCATTTTATATGCAGGCGCTGCAGCAGAGGCTGATGTTAATGTAAGCACGTGGGTTTTAGAGTTGAGATTTTAAAAGCACAGCCCCGCCATTCACTAGCTATATGACTTGGGATCGGTTACTTAATCTTTCCAAGTTTCACTTGCCCCATCTATAAAACAGGGGTAACAAGCTTCTCTCATTCATTAAAGGAGCAGATTAAATGAAAGAATTAGATAAAGCGCTTGGTGCAGTATCTGATGAATGGTAAAAGCCTAACAAATGGTGCTGACTGTTATCATTATCTCTTATGCACAATTATTTGTTGGACTCTGCCTGAAAGCCTGGCACTGGGCCAGGCGAGGGGACTCAGGAGTGGGTAGGGGCTTACTCTTCCCCTTCACTCACTGACAAACATTGACAGCAGGGAGAAGCTGTGGGGCAGTTTGTAATTTGGTGTCTCAGCCCTGATTAGACCCCTGCAGCTCCAGGCCTGCCCACAACACCTCAGTTGTGGAATCGGCAGATGACTTCTTCGTATTTAATTTCCCCCTCTGCCTCACTCCCATGCCCTGCCATGCCGACCAAAAGCTGCGCTTTCCAGGTTATAAAGTCTGTGCAGGTACACACATGCACATTCTCTCACAACATGCACAACATACGCATCCAATGTTTCAAAACACCTGTGGAGCATAGTGAATAACCAATGGTATCCGGTCGAGTCACCCATCAGATGACTCTAAATGTGATCTTTGTAGGAAACCCCTTGGTCAGGGGTGGGAGACAGGGAAGCAAAAATCTTGGAAATACTGATCTTGGGGGGAGGGCTGCCATCCCCAAAGACTCCGTTAGCCTGAGTTCTCAATGGCACCAGTGGTTCAACCCAAAGAGGGGAGGTTAAATGACTTTGGTTTTGGTTCCTGCCCAGTGGGTGAGACCTTGGGTACGGGACCGTAACTGTTCCATGGGGCCACGTCTCCAGTTCATGGAACTGCTGGGAGGTGGAATGTATTGACAGACATTGGAGGGTAAAGAATATGTTCACTTTGAGAAACTGACATGAGTTTGAATACTGGGCATTGAGTTTTCCCAGAAGGAGTTGGAGGGAATTGGAAGCAAAGGGCAGGGAAGGGATCCTGGCTAGAGAGCCTCACACTCAGCCTTGTGACCCTCCTCGGAAGGCATCTGAGACTAAATTCGGATGGAGCCTTCCTGTGGGAGGTCAAGCTGAGTGCATCTCCGTCCTGCCCTACAGCTCTCTTCCTGAGAACTGGCCGCTCTGTTCCCTGGGAAGGACGGGAGGGATGGAGAGGCAGGGAAATGCCTCCTCCTAGTCAGGAGTTTCTCAGTGTCTGGTAGGAAAAATAAAAGAACATGCTGATGTAAATATTCAGTCAACCAGTGGGTATTGATGGGGAAGCCAGAGCCCAGAGGGCTGCCCCGTAGATAGCCAGGGCTGGAGTTCTAGAGGTGGCATCAGGGGTTGTGTGCATGTTTGACAGCTGTGGCCTGCTGCAGACAACCTTCTGAACACGCAGACAGGAGCATTATATTCAAGGATGCGTTCTCAAACACCTTGCAAAATTCAAGACAAAAGCCCAATAAAGAATGGCCCATTTTTCTCTCACCCACCAAGTGACTCCACCATGTGGCAACAGGACAAGCACAGTTTACTGTGAGGAATCCAGCTTTGTGGCCTTTTTTTTTTTTTTTTTTTTTAAGGGAAGGTGTGTTATTACAAATTTGGCTTTCATGTGAGACTTCTTTATATTTTTTATATCTCCTTTTTCAAATTTACATGATTGAAATTTACACAAAAGTCTGCTATTCTGTACTAATTTTAGCAAGTTTCCTTAAAAAAGTAGAAATGTGTTTTCCTGAGCTGGTGATTAGAGGTTAACTAGGGCAACATCTCCCACCTCCTCCAGAGGGCCTCCCTAGCATTAGTGCTTCCCCCTTCAAATGGTGTTTGTTCTTCAAGGCGTTGAAGGGTGAAGAGTTCCCTCTATTGAGGTCAACAAAATAAAAAGTACCTTTTTGAACTGAAATAATGTCTTGTGCAGGTTTGTAGAAGAAAGACAAAGCATGACTCCTAACAATAATCAATTTACCAATGATGCTCAAAGTGTAGTCCCGGCCTGGGAACACCAGCATTGCCTGGGAATCTGTCCGAAATGCCTCCCTCACCCTCCTGCATCACTCTGGGGACAGAGCCCCGCAAACTGCGCTTTAGCAAACCTTCCAAATGCTTCTGATGATAGAGCTTTTAAACATCCAACCTAAGGAGTACATGGTAACAAATCACACATCCCAGTAACTTGATGACATTATTTGAGGGTTACTTGCTGTTTTTGTTGCCAGATTTAGCAGTTGACAGCATGTTTCTCTCTCCTGTTCCCACATCTGCCCTGTACCATCAGGAGCTCCCACCAAGAATGGCAACTAGATTGGTCACATCTTAGAATCACTTGTCCACTTTCTGGATAGGCAACTTTAGATGAAACGTGTCATTAACTTTATCCCACTTTCTCCAAGACAGGTGGAGTAACACTCTCATGAGAAAGAGCCTCCGAAGTGCTACCTAGAAATAGCAAGTCATCCTGCCCCAAAGTTAGACTCAGCCTCCAGCCACAACGCTTTGGGCGGATTAAATCTAGTCATTGGTATAATATAAAGGGACACTGTCTTTGTCCATTTACATTGCTATAAAGGAATACCTGAGGCTGGGTAATTTATAAAGAAAAGACGTTTACTTGGCCTATGGTTCTGCAGGCTGTGTAAGAAGCATGACACCAAGCATCTGCTTCTGCTGAGGCCTCACGGGGCTTACAGTCATGGCAGAAGGCAAGGAGGAACTGGCAGATGCAGAGGTCACAGGGTGAGTGAGAAAGCAAGAGAGAGTGGGGAGGGGCCAGGTTCTTTGTAACCCCCAGCTTTCATGGGAGCTGACAAAGTGAGAACTCACTCATTACCATGAGGATGAGTCATTCATGAGAGATCTTCCCCTATGACCCAAAGACCTCCCATTAGGCCCCACCTCCAACACTAGGGATCAAATTTCTACATAAGGTTTAGAGGGACAAACATCCAAACTATAGCAGACACTAACTCAAAGCTGCCCTCCCCAGAAACAATATGAATTTTTATTTTATTATTTATTTATTTTTGAGATAGGGTTTTGTTCTGTCTCCCAGGCTAGTGTGCAGTGGTGTGATTATAGCTCACTGAAGCCTCAACCTTCCAGGCTCCAGGGATCCTTCCCCCTCAGCCTCCTGAGTAGCTGGGACTAGAGACACATGCCATCATACCTGGCTAATTTTTAAATTTTATGTAGAGATGAGGTCTCATTATGTCACCCAGGCTGGTCTGAAATTCCTGCAGCATGGCTTTTTGTTTATGGTTGGTTTGTTTTTAAAGGACTAAGAAGAGCCCAGAGCACTAGCTGAGGTTCAGAAGTGGAGATGGAGATTTTCTTGCAGTTTTGCCCTTAAGTGGCTTTGCCTCAGCCTCTCTCATCACTAAATTCCTTTTCTGTAAAGGGAAGATAATGCAACCACTTTCTTAGTGTTTTCTCCTAGTGTTTGCGGGTAGACCTTTAATGAAAGATCAAACACATGTTCATGTTCTGCTCAGATCTGTAAAGATTTCATTAAGAATCCAGTATAAAATCATGGCTCCTCTTCGTCAGGGCCTTTTCCTGACACCATTCTGTTTCTTTTCAGGGATTACTTTTATATTATGACCTTGTGGAGTCAACATTTGAAAAGCTCAGGTTGCCTAGCAGGAAAGTTGATGCTTTGGATCATTTTCAAAAGTGCTTTTTGATTTTCAAATTGCCTCTTCAAAGAGTGGACAGTGACCAGTCCAGCTGGCAGGAGGGAAAGACCTGGAAGGCCATCCGTGTGGATTTAGTCATGTGCCCCTACGAGCGTCGTGCCTTCGCCCTGTTGGGATGGACTGGCTCACGGGTAAGCGCTACATGGACCCATGATATGATGTCAGCTTTCCAAAAGACGTAGGTCGAGTCTACCTGGGCCCAGGGGAGAGATGATGGCAACAGGGGCCGGGTGACAGGGGAGGGGGCAGTACCCAGAAACCTCTAAATCAAGGCATCCTGTCCACACATGGTCAAATATGACAGATTAATTTAAAACAGTTATTCCCAGTGTGTGGTCCCCAACACCAGTACCAGCAGCCTTCCCCAGGAACAGGTTAGACATGGAAATTCTTTACCCCAAACCTATGGAATCCAATCAGCATCTCTGGAGAGTTCAGCCCGGAAATTTGTGTTTGGAAAAGGCCTCCAGGTGTTTCTGATGCAGCTCAAGTGGGAGAACCACTGAAGTACAGAAACCAGCAAGGGGGTTGAAATAGGAAGCAATTAATAAAGTGAAGAGGCAACTCACAGATTGGGAAAAAATATCTGCACATCATACATCAGATAAGGGGCCGTTATCCAGAATATACAAGGAAACCAAAAGACTCAATAACAAGAAAACAAATAACCCTGTGTAAAATGGGCAAAGGACTTGAATAGATATTTCTCGAAAGAAGACATATAAATGGCAAGCAGATATTGCCATCTTGCTTAACATCTCTAATCATCAGAGAAATGCAAATTAAAACCACAATAAGATGTTATCTCACATCTGTCAGATTGGCTATTACCAAAAACATGAAAGACAGCAAGTGTTGGTGAGGCTGGGGAGAAAAGGGAACCCTCTTATATTGTTGGTGGTGTTGTAAATTACACATTTTGGAAAATAGTATGGAAGTTCCTCAAAAAACTAAAAATAGGGCTACCGTATGATCCAGCAATCTTACTTCTGGGTATATATCCAAAGGAAACGAACTCAGTGTGTCAAAGAGAGGTCTGCACTCCTGTGTTCACTGCAGCATGATACACAATAGCCAAGATATTATATGAAAACAACCTAAGCATCCACAACAGATGAATGGATTTTTAAAATATGGTATATGCACAGTGGAGTATGACACAGCCTTTCGAAAACAGGACATTCTGTCATTTGAGACAAGATGGTTGAACCTAGAGGACATTATGTTAAGTGGAATAAGTCAGGCACAGAGAGACAAATACTGTATGATCTCGTTTCTGTATATGTAGAATCTAAAACAGTCAAATGCGTAGAAGTAGAGAATAGAATGTAGAATGGTGGTTAGCAGAGGCTGGGGGTTGAGGGCAGAAAATGGAGAGGGAAAAGGGTCAAGAAGTACACAGTCAGTAGGTGGAAGAAGCTCTGCTCTATTGCACAGTATGGTGACTATAGTTAATAAAAATGCATATTTCAAAGTAGCTAAAAGAGAGGATTTTTAATGTTCTTACCACAAAGAAATAGTAGATGTTTGAGGTGATGGTCATGCTAATTAGTCTGATTTTATCATTCTGCAATGTATATACATGTATCAAAATATCGTATTATAACCCACAAATGCATACAATTATTATATGTTAATTAAAAATAAAATCAAGCTATAAGATTTTTTTGAAAGAATACCAGTTGATCCCAGACCTGGTTGCAAGCTCCTGCTCTGCTTCTTACTGTTGGGTGATCTTGGACAAGTTCCCTATATCCTGTAAAACTCAATTTTCCCATCAGGAAAATGAGGACGATGACCTTAGCTACTTCCTTGGGTTGCAGAGACATTAGGTGACATGATGTTCTCAAAGCCTCAGCACTAAGCCAGCACATGGCTAGTACTGGATAAGCAGTAGTTCCCATCTCCTCTCACTCACAGGAGAGGACACCTGTGATCTGAGTCCCACTTGCATGTGTTCCACCCTCCCAACTAAACACCTCACACTGTTTCTCCTGTTTTCCCAGGTAGCTGGCTGTTGTTTTGAGTGAAATGAGTTCGTAGAGGGTTTTATACAGATGAATGACACAACAGAAATTAATTGTTCTCAGTCTTGGGTTAAATGTCAGGTGTCTTTGCTTTGGACTGGAATTAACTCAGCACAGCATCTTAGCAGTGGGATTTCTTACTCTAATCACAAATGTTGACTGACAACTAAATGCTCCTTTCATTCTTAAAAAAGGGGGAAGAAAAGAAAAAATATACCATAAATGCAATTTGTGTGATAGACATAAGTCTTTGGGAACACGTAGTTGATTGAGAAAGGGGAAAGTTCCAGAAAGAAGTCCTTGGTTATGCAATGTCATGCCAGTTAAGCATCACTGACTAAAGTGGTTGACCTTTGCCCATTTTATTTTTAATATGGACATGTTTTCAGCACATTCTAGTCTCTTTCCTCAGAGTTCTCAGAAATTGTTGCTGTTCTTTCTGCAAGGCACTGGCAGAGCACTAAGCTCTTTTGCTTGTTAGCTGGGTGAACAAAGGACTTCTGATTGCAAAGTCCATCTCCTCACCCATCCCAGGTTAGCTTTCCTAAAATAGCAAATTGTTCCTTACCACTAGAGGGCACCAGTATCCCAGGCTTGCTCCCTAATCCCACATGAAGAGGACAAAATTTCTAGATTGTGTTTCTCTCAGGAAAACTAGTCTCCATGGCAATTCGTTGCCCTCTTTTTGCCAAGGTGTTCCTGTCCTCTGTCTTAGGCTTCATGTGTTGCTCTCTTCAGTCTCAGAGCCCATTCCTGATGTGGGAGATGTCATCCAAGAGCAGGTGACTTAGAACATCAGTTTCATGGCATCTCCGTGTGAAAGGATGTTAAAGCCAGAGGGAGCCTTAATCATGTCCTTCCTCCATCCTTTCATTCACTCAACCAAGATTCAGGGAGTCTGGATGACTTGTCAGGAGATGTACAGCCAGGAAGGGACAAAATCCAAGCTGGAATGGGTTCCCTGACTCCTCCATCCTCTTTTACAATAACAATATTCCAAATCATTTAAAACCCACCAAACTAGTATTTATCCAGCATTCACTCTGGACCAGGCATTATTCTGGTACAATGCTCACGCTATTCATTTATTCATTCAATAAAGTATTTGCTATACATCTTCTACATGTGAGGCACTATTTGAGGGAATATGGTTATGGACAGAACAAACCAGGTTCCTGCTCTCACAGAGCTTACATTCTAGTGTGCTCATGGGAGCACAGACCTCTGTCACCAGAGAACTTGGCCCTGGGGAAGGAAAATCACTTTGAGAATGTTTAGTGGAGTTAGATATTTCACTAGAGGGATGTAGCCACCTAATACTGAAGACATTCTAGATGTGTTAATAATTTATTTTAACTATCTCCTGTCCAGCAGTTTGAGAGAGACCTCCGGCGCTATGCCACACATGAACGGAAGATGATTCTGGATAACCATGCTTTATATGACAAGACCAAGGTACAGTTCTCTTCCTAAAATTGGCTACTTTGATCCTCATCCCCAAGGCTGGCCCCCGAGCTCTTTTCAGGAACTGATTTTAGTATCCAAGTATGGTTTCCTTTGTTATGCGTGTTCTATTTCCAGTTGATCAGAGTTGAGGGCAGCAGGAAAGATTTCCACAGACTCACAGTTTCCACCTGGCCCAGAATGCACTTCAAGAGCTTTTGGCTGAAAGATGATGAGCTAATTGGGCTTCCAGAACCAGTCCAGCAGTGCATATTAACGGGTTTGGTATATCCTTGGTGTTGGCAATGAGTAACTCCAGAGTAAACCAGGGATCCCCAGAAATCACAAATACTACTTGTGTACCCCTCAAATGCAGGGGGCAGTGGCATTCTGAGTGGCCATGTAGGCCATTAACAACAGTCTGCTGCAAGAAAGAGAGCAACGGAACTGCCCTGAGACATAAATGAGCAGCCAGCCAGTCTCACTCACCAGCCATGTCACTCATTTGGCGTGCTAGTCTTACTGTGGTCATGATCCAATTCAGCTCTCAGCAAAACGATAGATGACTGGAGAAGTTATGAAGAGTTAAATATCCAACTGTTAAATACACAGTACTAAGGGCTACTCTTCTTACAGTGATCAAGGACACCAAAATAGGCTCCAGGGGAAAGAAAACTCAAAATAACTAGAAGTAATGGTACTGGCCAGGCACAGTGGCTCACGTCTCTAATCCCAGCACTTTGGGAGGCCGAGGAGGGTGGATCACTTGAGGTCAGGAGTTCAAGATCAGCCAACATGGTGAAACCTCATCTCTACTAAAAATACAAAAAATAATCAAGTGTGGCGGCTCGCACCAGTAATCCCAGCTACTTGGGAGGCTGAGGCAGGAGAATCATTTGAACGCGGGAGGCGGAGGCTGCAGTGAGCCGAGATCACACCACTGCACTCCAGCCTGGGCAACAGAGTGAGACTCTGTGTCAGAAAAAAAAAAAAAAAAAAGTAATGTCCTTTCCCTCTAGGAGCTTGTAGTCTAAATGAGGTGTACTCAGAGTTGTCTCAGTTACAAGTGTCAGAAATCAAATCTAAAGTGACATAAACGAAAAAGGGAACTTGGGTTATATTCCGCAATATCTAAGGGTTCAGGGGCAGCCGAATATGGGTGCTCAGGCAGGCTTCCCTCAGTATTGCCTTTATTCGCAGGCAGGTTTTCCGATAAGTCCCACTCTTCCAGTTACTTCAACAGAGAAGAGCCTGTTTCCTAATAGTTCCCCCAAGAATCCTACCTGTTGCTCATTGGCCAGGACTGGGTCATGCGCCGATCCCTGAACCCATTACTGTGGCTCTGATTGGCCAGACTTGGGTCATGTGCTTCTTCTTGGAATTGGGAACAGCTCCACCTAACCCTCCTGGACTGAGAGTCAAGAGGAGCGGTTTCCCATAGAAAAATCCAGGTGCTGCTCGGAGAAGAGGGGGCTGTGGATGCTGGCAGGAAAGCCTCGGATGCTAAGCATGTGGGTGAAGGCAGATTCACATAGTACAATGAAGGAACACTTACCAATTAATACATTCTAAATAACTCAATGTAAGCAAGTGCCTAGCACTGTGCTATGTACAAGAAGGGACGGAGGAGAAGAGCTGCTTGGTCTTAGAGAGATAACAGGGTGGGATCCTGCTGGGGTTAGAGGCAAGCATGGAAAGCTAGAGGAAAACCCAACACATACAAGTATCCTATAATTACCAGCAGTACATAATTATGACTGCATGTTAGAATTACCCAGTGCATTCAAATAGATTGATTACAAGACCTCTCCTGAGCTTCTGATTTCGTTGGACTGGAGTATGGCTAAAGCTTCAATGTTTATCTTTTAAACTCCATCAGGTTGTTCTAATAAACAGCTGTGGTTCCGAACTACAGCCCACAGGAAAAAATATACAAATGGCTTTTGCTGAATATGTTAAAGCTGTTATGATTTTACCTTAATTCATTTAGTACCATATTTTGGAAAGTCATTTAAAATGACTTTTTATACTCAGAAGCAGGGCTCCTGTTTGGGCTATAGTTCATTCTGACAAGGCAGTTTTATAAGTAACACTTTCACTGTGTCCACACCATGGTGCTTATGAAAAATATCTGAATGCACATATTTCTTGTTATGTTTTCAGAGGATATTCCTCAAAGCAGAAAGTGAAGAAGAAATTTTTGCGCATCTGGGATTGGATTATATTGAACCATGGGAAAGAAATGCCTAGGAAAATGTTGTCAACCTTTTTTCCCTTTTGTTTTCAAGTTAAATAAATTATGCTTCATATTAGTAAAAGATGCCATAGGAAAGTTCAGGGTTATTTAGGTCTTATTGAAATGCAGATCGCTACTAGAAATATATAGCTTTGGAAACATGGGAAGGCGCCACTGGTAATGGGTAAGGTTCTAATAGGCCATGTTTATGACTGTTGCGTAGAATTCATAATGCATTTTTCAAGAGAAACGATGTTGTCATTGGTGGCCGATTCAGGGAAGCTCATCAAAGCCCACTTTGTTCACAGTGTAGCTGAAATACTGTCTATCTCTAATAAAAACAGAAGGAAACAAGATGATGGAATCTGTTTTTCTTCACTCAAATATTATAAACTATTTTAAAACACAAGTGTAACCAAGCAGAAGAATAAAGAGCTTACAGTTTCTCTTAAGGGGACAAACAGGCTTACTTAGAAGATGCAGAGATTCCAGAGGGGATTTGGGTCCCTTCTGGAACTTGTGGAGGAGGGGTGCGGCCTCTGGACTGGCTCAGCTCGGCTCAGTGCCTGTGTACAGCTGGATCCCTAAGCATCCCAGCACAACACCACGTAAAGGATGTACTCTCCCTGCCATCATGCTGAAGGAAAGACAATGTCCTCAACCACCAAAGAAATATCTCCCTCTTTTTTCCATCTTGGAGCTTCTGTCTACACCTTATGGCTTAGTCCCTCTCAGGAAGTCAATCTCTCTTGGCTTCTTCATCTGAGGGTACCCAAGGGAAGGGAGGGAGCCCTGGCTGAGGGAAATTTTGGAATTCCCGGGCTCCAGACCTGTTCTTTCCTCCTCCCTCCTCCAGGAGGCATGGACCCTTTGCCTTGAAGGGAATTAACAGGCCATCTGTTCCAGCTGCTTCCGTGTCTTCAGCCTGCTAAAGAGCTGGGAGGCCTATGACGACCCTTCTCCCTTCCTTCCAGTCCCTCTGGGAAGAGAATTTTGGGAGATACAATACCTTTTGGCTATTGTGACTAATGCTGCTATGAACTTTGGCATACAAGTATCTGTTTGAGTCCCTGCTTACAATCCTTTTGGTAGGGACCTAGTAATAAAATTGCTGGACTCAATGGTTATTCTATACCATGTTTAACTCTTTGTGGAACCACTGTACTGTTTTCTATAACAACTGCACCCTACTACATTCTTAACCAACAGTGCTCAAGCGTTCCAATTTCTCCACATCCTCAACACTTGTTATCTTCTGCATTGTCTGTTTTGTAATAGCTATCTTAATGGGTGTGAAGCGGCGGGTGAAAACTTTTGTCCATTCTGGAACCTAAAGACAGTCCAGGCTGAAACTAACACACTGAAAGGGCCTCAGGTTGTGTGTGTGTGTGTCACATCTTGAGTTGATGGCTAAAAAAAACTGGGGACAACAGGAGGGTGAACAGCAGCCACCCCCACTGACCTCAAATCCCAAAATCCACAAAGTATTCTAGTCTTTTCTGCTGTCCAGTGTTTCTCGGTTATGATATTCAAGATTATTCTAGGTAGTAAGTAGATTAACATTTTCATACTGATATAATCGATAAATACTTATTGAGTGCTTACTATGTCAGTCATTTTTCTAGGCACAGGGCATAGAAAAGATAACAAAACTGTCAAAAATCTCTGCCTGTATGATTATAAGCATAAAGCTTATGTTCTAGAAAGGTGTTTGTATTCGAGAGGTGTTATGAAAATGGTTCCTTATTGATGGTAGTGATATAAAGCTTCCTTTTTGGAGTAGGCTTATTTAAATAAGAAAAGCGACTCAAGGTCAGGGAAATCACTTAGGAAATATTACCAGTGGAATGGGGGTGTGGCAAGAATGAAGAGAGAGGGACGCAGGTGGCTGACATTTGGGAAATGTGCAGGTGGCCTTGTCGCCTTCACTGAGCAACTCCCCAGCCCTGTTTTCTGGAGGTCCCCACCACACAATAACCCCAGGAGGTCCATGCCGGAGGAGTTCCCCCATCAGAGAACCTCACAGATTCTAAATGCTACTTTCCTTATTTGAAAAGGCCTGTTGGAGATTCCACAAATGTGCATGTCTTTGTTTTTCTTTTTTTTTTTTTTTTTTCCTTCTGTAAGCCAGAATTTTTATCAGTTCTGGCCTTTTTTTTTTTTTTTTTCTGTAGGCCAGAATTTTTTTCAATTATTGTGGTGCCTAGTTACCAGAACTCAGCCTTCGCCAGTGCCTCCTACTTTGGGAGCAGAGCGCCCTCTGATGGCTGACAGAAGAACTCTTGGAGGCAAGCACAGTATGATATAGCAGATAAGGTAGGAAGTCGATTATCTGTTAAAAACATTGCAACTATATGTAAGAAGCCATGGATCACCGATGCTCTATTTGTTCACTTTTTTCCCAGTCTTTAAAATCTGTATTTTATTTGGGGTAGTTTTTATTGCTGTATCTTCATGTTTACTCATCTTTTCTTCTGCAATGTCTAGTTTCATTAATCCTCTCCAGTATTTTATCTCACATATTATAGTTTTCATCTTTACTTCTGCAATGTCTAGTTTCATTAATCCTCTCCAGAATTTTATCTCACACATTATAGTTTTCATCTTTAGATTTATGAGTTAGGATTTAAAAACTATCTTCCATGCTTCTATTTAACATATTCGATTTTTCCTCTGGCTTATTAAATACATGGAATATAGGGTAACTGTTTCAATGTCCTTGTCTACTAATGATATCATCTGTGTCAATATTGAGTCAGTTTCTATTAACTGAGTATTCTTCTCATTATGGGTCACGTGTTCCTCCCTCTTTGCAAGCTTGGTAATTTTACATTGGATTCTAGACATTGTGAACATTGTAAATTTTTTCCTGGATATTTTTGTATTCCTGTTAATATTCTTAAACTTTGTTCCAGGATGTGGTTAATTTACTTGGAAACAGTTTAATGTGTCCTCATCTTGCTTTTGAGCTTTGTTAGGCAGCACTAACATAGTCTAATCCAGGGTTAATATTCTTCCCCACTACTGAAGCAATACTTTTCTCATTGTTCTACCTGATGCCTGGTGAATTATGATGTTTTCTACTCTGGCTGTTTGGGAACAGGCACTGTTTCTGGCCTCCCACTGAGAGGCCTGGTCCATTAGAGCTTAGAGTATTGTTCCCTCTAATCCCTTTGTGTGGTTCTTTCTCCAGCCTTGGGTAGTTTTCTCACATGCATATGCTGATCAATAGAATAATCAAAGGGTCTCCTCTGTTTCTGTGCAACTCTGTCTCCAGTACTCTACGCTGCAAATTCTATTCACCTTGGCCTCCATGAACTTCCAGCTCTATCTCACTAACAGCATGTGCAAAGGCCATGTGGTGCAAGGACCATGGTGTCAGAGAAAAGGCCCACATGGCAGGAGTGCCATGGCATAAAATGAGCAGAGACAAAGCTCTTGCAGCCGGAGGTTCCCACGTGTCTGAGTTGCAGAGAGAAAGCCTATGCTTGTGGACAGACCATGGCCTCTGAAGGACAGAGAGGAGGCCTAAGTGGTTGGGGCAGAGAAACTAGAAGGGCTGGGACACAAGGCTAGGCTTTCCCCAGCTCTCAAAACAAAGACCCATATCCTTACCTTGGCTTTCGTAAGTGGGTAATCCCTGGCCAGGTGAGTCAACAGTAATCACTGTTTGACTCTTCATGAAAAAATCAATCACATTTATGGTAGAATTTTATCAACATGGTTTGTTCTCGCTCACAATCAAATCTTTCAAATCATTTTAGCCTGGAAATGAAAGTCTATGATACATTGAGTCTCTGTCATTACAAATCAGATTTTAAGCCCCCGGGGTACACTCAGGCTGTCCTCCAGAGGCCCCCATCCATTTTAGAAATAAGTTCTACAGCCTATTGGACAGACTCAGCCAACTTCCAAAATGTTCCCCAGTCTCACCTGTCCAGTTTTAGTATTTTTCACCCCTTAACTTGTTGGAGTTCAGGTAGCCTCTCTAGAGGATGGAGAAGGTTTTTTCTGAGTTTTACTTGGAGGTACAGCACTTTAATGTATGCCTGACATAACCAGACTTTTCAGTCATTTGGAATTCTCAGAGGATTGAAGTGTTATGCCCATTTCTCCTTCTCCTCTAACTTCAGGTAAAGGAAAAAGAAAGAGAGTATAGATTCTTATCTCATTTGAGCCTGAGAGAGCTAGTTTTATGTCTTCGAGCTTAGAGGCAAAGCACCTGTATAAAAGCTTTCCTTATATTATTTCCTTGGATGGAGATTCATATTCAATTGGGTGGAGAAACATTTCCACAAACGTTTAGCATTTTCGTTATGCCCCCAACATTGTCTTAGGACCTGGCAGGCTGTCTGACATTGGAAGGAAGCCAGTGCACATTTGTTAAATCAATTCATGCATTAAGCAATAATTCTCATCAAGATGGTGGGAGTGCAAAGATTATATGACTTCGCAATTTTTCAAAAATTAGTTATCACTTTTTTGTCTTCAATTAACATCGCAATGTTGCAGGGAGAAATGCCTTAAGCAAAACTAATCATTGTTATTTCTTGGCAAAATAAATAAGTAACTATCTCTCTCCACCAGCAGTCAGGAACTGAGAAGAATCATAGAGGGTATAGAAGGCTGTGCTGATGGGAGTGAGGAACAGGCAGGCAGAAGGAGTGCTTTGCAGGGTTTGGGGAAAATCAAAGCAGAATGTTTGGACTGGATGGATGTCACTTTAGAGACAGACCAATTCAAACACCAGATGATACAGGAGGAAATGAGACCCACACACATCGTGCAACCTGCCTAAGGTGACTCTCAACTTACCAGCAGCCCTGGGTTAGGGAAGCAGAGCTTCTGACTTTGGGTCTCATCATTTTGCTTACCACACAGGGCTGCCCTCCATGAAAGACTGAACGTCTTCTAGCCTGGCAGAGAAAGTGCCAATATTGGGAACATCCCTGGGATAATCTTGGTTCCAAGGACAGGGCCAGTGTTCTCTAATATAGACAAAGAAAAGCCACAAACATTTTGTAGGTTCATAAGAATGACCATTTTATTTTTCACTTCATGCCAACATAAGTTCTTGGGTATCATAGCAGAAGTAAATGACAGAAATGCTGAACCTTTCTAGTTTGATAGAAACAATGTTTAAATAAAGATTCTAAGCCATGGATTATAAGTAGAATTAAAATAAGTGATCCAAAATACAAGTCATCCCTCACTTTTAGCTACATGGCTTAGTCACATGCATATTTCAATCCAGCTTCACAACCACTCCATGGGCTAGGGGGATGAGAACTGCTGTCTCCATTTCACAAGTACAGAACTGAGGCTCTGGATGATCAACAATCGGCCCAAGGGCTGACACATGTAAGTATCAAAGCCAAGGCCACGGCTGAGTTCTCAGTAAATCCAAGGTCCTTCATGACATGCAAGAGAAGTACAAGCACCAGGATGACTGGGCACGTCTCTTTAGAAATGGCTAAATCTGCTTGTTTAAGGTAATTAGATCCAGAAGACTTGGCACAAAACTGAGTTTCAGAAGGGGCTTTGAAGAGCAGGTGTTGACATGTGGCAGAGACTGGGTTTATAGAACATGTTCTTGGTTATTCAGGGAAGAGGGGCACGTTTCTGAGCAATCAGAAGCCTTGTGTAAGAAAGGAATATTTTCTGGGATATCTGTGTGGCTCACGGAGCTGGTGGATGAACTTAAGATGCCCTGGACCCAGGCCTTCCCCCTGGGAGGAACCAGGCTGCCTGGAAGCCTCCTCATGGGAGTGAAAGTGAAAGCCCATTCCTGTGGTTCTGTCTCCATCCACTTGGGTCCTCTTGATTTTTCTTTCTGCCACACAGCTTTTCCCCATGATATCCAAGGACTTGGGTCTTTTCTCCATTCCCACAGAATAGATAGAGCCCTCATTTCTAATAATATCTTGGAGAAACTCTTGCCTTCCCCCAGCCATCTTTACTTTCAACACACACACACACACAGAGTCCATCACAGAACTGCCCTCCTTAAATACTCTCTGATTACAGACACAAGAAGGAGCAATGAATGATGTGTCTCCTAGGCCAGCTGGGTGGTGGGGTAGCTGACACATGCTAGAAGGAAGTCTGCCCAAAGTCACAGAGGAAATGAAATTTGTATTGAAGGCAAAAGAAGAGTACAGAAGGGGGGAAAAAAAAGGCTGGGGAGGGATTGGAAAATGGGAAGAGGAGTTACTGGGATAAGAGAACGCTGGAGGGTGGCCTATCCTGCAGTAATCCACACAGAATAAGGCAACCTGGTTATAGTTTGCCCAATAGGCTCAATGAGCCAACACCACTTGAAGTGGCCTCTCCTTTTCCATTTGGCCTCCTTGGAGAGAGTCCTCAGCAAGCTGAAGCGGCAATGCTATGCATGGGCTTAAGGGCTCTTGTTTAATCTGAAGCCTTTAAAAAATAACATAAAAGAAACTGTAAGTTTAACAACTATCCCTAAAGCACAAAAGTTAAAGTTATTTGAGGAGCTGCCACCAGAGGTATCATGATGTCTTACTTTAAAAATTAAGCAAAATGTTTCATTGTAAAGACAAAGTGTTGTTTTAATATGAAACATGAATTTCCATCAACATTAATATCTTTAAGGTTAAATGTAACACCACTAGTCTCTGTATTTGGAATTTGGAACTTGTAAGAACCTGGCTTTTCCTGATTCATATGAGGACAAGATCACACCTAGATTGGAAGATTCACATACTACCAGCAACACCTAGAATCATCTTTAGATAACAATTTGGACCACAGGCCTTGCTGAAAGTTTGCCCTAAATGTTCCCTTGTGTGATCCTGTGACTATGGGGAACAAATGCTGGTGACTAGCTATTTTATCAGGCAAGCAGTATGGGAAGAGGTAGGAGGAAGGGGGCAGAGAGAGAGAACTAACATTTTGACTGGCAACTAAGTAGCAGACACTTCCTTTTATTTCTTATTTAATCTTTTTAATTATGACATGAGGCAAATATTTCCCCTCCTTTAAAAAAGCAAAAACTGAGGCTTGGAAATGTTAAACAACTTCTCCAAAGTCATACAGCTGCTCAGTGGTAGGTGTGACTTAAGAATCCATATTCTTTCCACTGCTGTATGACGTGACTGAGCCATGTGCTTCCCTGTGGTCAGGGAATGTGTGGTTCCACGTGATTTCTACCCTGAGATATTCAGAAACAATTAACTGCTTCCTCTCATACATCCTGCATAAGTTTCATTTATATCCCAACTTGCACCAGGCTGACCTTGGCAACACTTCCATGAAAGTCAGAGCTGATGGCTTTTTTGAGAAAAAGGATATGAAAAAAAAAGAATGAGAAGACAAGACACTCAGAAACCAAGCCCCTTTCCCAAAATGACAAAGAAAAGCAAATTCCCATTGGGAGCAGGAACAGGATCTAAGGACCCCATCTGGTGAGTCACATGTACTAACTAAAGCACAAGGTCTGAGAGTTGGAATTAACCATATTGGGGATGTCCCCTAAAGAGACAAATCAGCCCCAAAGTGTTCCAGATCTGTAAATGAAATTTGGATTGATTAAGAAGCAGCTTGGCATCTCTCCTCTCCAAGTAAAAACCCTGGGTTTTCAACCCTGTTCCAGTGCCAGGTCTGCTCCTTGACTGAGCTGCATCATTCCAGGCTCAGTCTCGGCACAAGCCACCACAATCCCCTCCTTCTTTCCATTTCTATAGTAGGACGGTAAGGGTCATGCACAGGTTCCTCGCTTCCTGCTACAGTCTTCACATATATGTGGGCCTCTTGTGCTCCCATCGTATTCTTCTCACGTGTGGGTGATCTCCTAGGATTCTTAAGGAAACAAATAGGTTTTTTTAAAAACGACTGCAGAGAATTCTTCCATACAAGATGCACTAACAGCAACCACATTTACCCTCCCACCTGAAATAACCAAAATCAGACACAACATTTGAAGCAATAGTTTTCAAGACACTAGACAACAGGCAAGGAAGGACAATGGTCCTTGAGAGACAGAAAACAAATGAGGAGAGACCCACAATTGCCTGATCTTACTGCTTTGGGGAGCTTTCAGGCCACTCAACTATCTTTTGTTTATTGTTAACAAAGTATCTCATTTTTTGTCTTTTAATTTTTAATCTATTTGTGAATTTATATTTAAAGTGAGTTTTGTAAGCATCATATGGTTGGACCTTGTTTTTATAACCAATCTGAATATCTCTTCCTGTTAATTCGGGTATCTAGACTATTTACATTTAATGTGATCATTGATATGGTTAGGTTTAAATCTACCATCTTGCTATTTATTTTCTGTTTGTTCCACCTATCTGTTTGTTGTGTCTTTTTAACTCTTTTTCTACTTTATTTCATATAGATTTTAGAAGGACCTCATTAAGTTCCATGAAAAAAATTGATTGGGATTTGTATTGAAATTACATTTATTATATAGATTAACATTGTTTGATATTGTAATATTATTAACACTTTCTATCCAGGAGCATGGTATATAACCCCCATTATTTAGGTATTATTTAATAGTTTTTTTAACCAAAGTTTTATTATTTTCCATAAAGATATTACATATTTTTGTTAGATTTATTCCATAGCATTCTACATATTTTTATTACCAATTACCATCACAAAATGGTAATTTTTAAAATCGCTTTTTCTAATTGTTGTTGATGTTGAAAGTGTAAATTACTTTTGTATATTGATTTTTGTATCCAGTAAATTTGTTAAAATTTCTTGTTAATTCAAGTAATTTTTCTGTAGATTTAGCTTTTCTTTTCTTTCTTTCTTTTTTTTTTTTTTTTGAGACGAAGTCTCACTCTTGTCCCCCAGGCTGGAGTGCAATGGCGCGATCTCGGCTCACTGCAACCTCCGCCTCCCAGGTTCAAGTGATTCTCCTGCCTCAGCCCCTCCGAGTAGCTAGGATTATAGGCACCTGCCACCACACCTGGCTAATTTTTGTATTTTTAGTAGAGATGGGGTTTCATCATGTTAGCCAGGCTGGTCTAGAACTCCTGACCTCGGTGATCCACCCGCCTTGGCCTCCCAAAGTGCTGAGATTACAGGCGTGAGCCACTGCATGCAGCCAGATTTAGCTTTTCTATGTCGACAATCATATCATCTGCAAATAATCACAATTTTGTTTCTTCCTTTTCAGTGTTATATTTTCTTTTTTTTTTTTTTTTTTTTTTTTGAGATGGAGTCTCACTCTTTTCACCCAGGCTAGAGTGCAATGGTGCGATCTCAGCTCACTGCAACCTCCACCTCCTGGATTCAAGCGATTCTCTTCCCTCAGCCTCCCGAGTAGCTGGGATTACAGTCGCCCGCCACCACATCCAGCTAATTTTTTGTATTTTTAGTAGACACGGGGATTTCACCATATTGGCCAGGCTGGTCTCAAACTCCTGACCTCAGGTGATCCACCCGCTTCAGTCTCCCAAAGTGCTGGGATTACAGGCATGAGCCACTGCACCAGGCTTATACTGTCTAATTTTTTAAAATCCTACTTCATTGACTAGGATCTAAAGTATAATATTGAATAGAAGTGGTGTTAGTGAACATCCTTGTTTTATTTCTGATCTAAAGAGAATGCTTTCTACATTTTACTGTTAGGTATGACGTTAGCTGTATTTTTTTTTTAAAGACATCTTCTTTCAAGTCAAGGAAGTTCCCATTCTATTTTTAGTTTGCTGAGAGTTCATATCACTGTTACATTTTTTTGAACTTTCTTCACCTATTGAGATGGTCACGTGAGTTTTCTATTTTAGTTTGTCAGTAAAATAAATTATATTAAATTGATTTTCTAATATTAAAGGAAGCTTGAATTTCTGTTCAGCCGATAAAAATGCACTGAGAACCTCCTTTATGCTTGAACTTCCTCTTGGTCGTCTCCTTTCCATATGTGCTCATACTGTGCTTCTTTTGTGCATGAAAAGCTTTAAAACACTTAGCTTGTTTACTGTGTAAATGGTATATAGAGAGTATATCCAAGAGTTCTTACCTCAGATATCTTGGGATTGTCATCAATTTCTGAAATTTCACATGGTCTGTCACTTTCCTAAATTGGAAAAAAATAATAATAATAAAAGAAAGAAAGAAAAAGAAGTGAAGGGGCATAGCATTTGACCATAACTATGATTAAAATCAGTGGTTTTTAAATCTGAGTGTGCATTAAAACAAACAAAACAAACACAGAGGCATCTAATAACATCCCCACCTCAAACCAAACCAAACCCATACCCAAGCCAAGAAATATCATTGTGAGTTATCCAAAAATAATCCAGGGTGAGAGTAGAGATGAAACAATATTGGCCATGAGTTAATAATTGCTTTCATTATACTCTCCTCTCTATTTTAGTATAAGTTTGAAATTATAATTAAAAAGTTGTTTTTGTTTTTTCAAGATCAGTGCCACAGCTTTGTCATCCAGAAATTCTGATTTAATTGGCTTTGGTGATTGGAAATTTTGAGCTTCCTAAATAATTTTAAAGTGCACTAGAGGTTGAGAAACTATTACTTAAACAATACCACCACCAACCACAACACTTCTCAATGTGTTTAAAATTTACAGCTTGTCAACACATCTTTACACGTAAAGATGTTCATCATCCATTATCTCATTTCATCCTTAGAACTTTCCCTACCTCTTAAAATAGGGAGGGTAGTTTCTATGACTCCTGTTTTGGAGTTGAACTAACCAAGTTGTCCAGGATCATATAAATCATAAAGGGGCAGAGTCTGGTTTAGAACCTCAATTTTCCATCTCTTAATTAATGCTTACCCATATGATAACAACTGTGAATGCGAATAGAGAATGGAGTTAGAACCCAGAGTCCACGTGACGCAGTTCTGTCACAACCATGGAACCTTGTTGGATATGGGTCTAGGTGGCCTTTGAATTCTAAACACAGTCCCTAGAACAGTCTGGCACTGGGGGCATGGATTGGATGGGGAGGATATAGATTCCCTTGTGAATTATACATGTTCAGATGTGTGAAAAAGGCAAAGATAGATAGAGCCACGTACTTCTGGATACATTCCTACCATGGACACCTCAGCCCCTCTTCGTCTTCTATCTTTCCTAACATTATCTCCATCCTCTCTTTGTGAAGCTTGTGCGCTTTTGTTTCTCAACTTTAGAAAGCACACCCACTGTACAGACATGTGTTTGCCATGGCAACAGACATCCCTCTCCACTGCTACTTTTTGTTACCCCAAATACTATCCTTGCCAGGAATTCCTCAACTGACCTGAAGAGTTGATGACAAATCAGCTCTGTTTGGTGCCTAATGTTGTGTCTGCAGTGGAAATTATGGCCCAGAAACTTCCAGCATCCTGTCCTCAGGAAATAGACATGGGCCCTGAATTCTGACACCCTTAGTCCAAAAGCCAGTTCACTGAAATGCTGCCTGCCTACACATCTGGACCCAAAGAAGCTGGTAATCACCTCCATGGCCTCAATGCTGCTTCTTCTTCGGTGAATCAAAGTAAATAGTAAAGCCACCAGCAGGGCTGTGGCCACCAGGGAGGGGATGGCCACCGCTAATCCAAGAGAGGGCCCGCAGTCCTGTCACAGAATGAAAAGCACAGGGTCAGGGGAAGCCCAGAGTCTTCAAGAATAAAGGAAAAATTCAATAGAATAAAAATAAAACAAAAAATCTGCATGGATCACAAACATCATCTACAAAATCAAAAGGGTAATGAAATAATGTGCAAAAATGTTTGTAACACACATGAGAAATGACTTACTTTCATAGGACTTAATTTAAACAGTTTAAATCTATTGGAAAGGGTAATGATCAAATAGAAAAACGGGCAAACGATACGAACAGGTATTCTTTAGAACAGAAATACAAATGTCTCCTCAACATAGGAAAAGCTGAGATACAAATCAAAGCAACAATTAGATGCCATTTTCACCTGTTTGGCTAAAAATAAAATCTTTTATTATATACCACACTTTTTTTTTTTTTTTTTTGAGATTGAGTCTCGCTCTGTCACCCAGGCTGGAGTGCAATGGCACAGTCTCGGCTCACTGCAACCTCCGCCTCCTGGATTCAAATGATTCTACTTCTTCAGTCTCCCAAGTAGCTGGGACTACAGGCACGTGCCACCACACCCAACTAATTTTTGTATTTTTAGTAGAGACAAGGTTTCACTATATTGGCCAGACTGGTCTCTAACTCCTGACCTCATGATCTGCCCGCCTTGGCCTCCCAAAGTGCTGGGATTACAGGCGTGAGCCACCGTGCCCAGCCATACCACACTATTTTAATATGAATTTTAAAAAATTTATTTGCACTTAATGTAAATGACGAGTTGATGGGTGCGGCACACTGACATGGCACATGCATACATATGTAACAAACCTGCACGTTGTCCACATCTACCCTAGAACTTAAAGTATAATAAAAACATAAATAAAAGTGACCTTTAGCCTTTCAAAAAAAAATTTATTTGCACTAAATGCATTAACCAATTAATTTTCAAATTCCTATTTTGCTTTGATTGGAGTGGAAATAGTCATGCTTTTAGTCACATAAGTTTTCAGATTTGCAGACTATCTGGAAATATTGAAGATCATCTGCAGAATCCCTATAAAAGTGCAACTCATTTAATAATGGATTCACTTCACTTTTGGGGGGAATTGATTTTATTGAAGAATAATAAAAGTATATGAATCATAAATATATAAGTTGATGACTTTTCACACGAGGAATACACCCATAAGACCAACACCCAGATCAAGAAACAGAACATTAACAGCATCTCAGGATCCCCCTCAAATCCCTTCCAGCCTCCTTGTGCGTGACCACTATTCTGAAATCTATTGTCATAGAGTAGTTTTGTCTGTTTTTCAGCATACGATAGACGCAAATATAAGATATACACTCCTTGTGTCTGGCTTCTTTTGCTCAACACTTTGTGAAATCCATCTGTGATTTCGCATGTTCTCCCTCACTTTTGAGCTGAGCTGGTCAAGAATAATTGTTGAGCCAGATTCTGTGCTTAGTGACAGTTCACCTATCAAACTTTAAAGCTCAAAACAAATGCACAAGACGGATGGAGCATTATTATTATCCCCATTTTGTAAATTTAAGTGTTATAGTTACCGTTTCTTTCCCACTTGTAACAGGAGAGGATGTCTGTATGGAAAAAGAACATACATTGTAAAAGAACAAAAAATCTATAGAATACACATTATATAAGATAATCTGCCAAAGGTTAGTCCATAAAGCCTAAAGTTTATCCCTTTGCTAAACTTTCTGTTAAAAACTACCAAACAGAACCTAACTTGATTGCTTCCCAGGTAAGAACTGGAATAAAATTTGGCTACCAGGAGAAAAGAATTAGGAAATTCAGGCAATGCCTTCATTATTCACCCTGCGGATGTGCCATGACACATTTTACAACTCAAAAGGGCTTCCTTGTGTCCCAGTCAGCACACTTGGCACACTTTGGGCCTACTTGTCCCCATTGCTAGAAGGGAAACACATATAAATACTGGTGGAAGCAAGGCTCTTTAAGGAAGCCTTGCTTGTTTTCAAGTAAGTATGTGACGAAGCAAATGGCAGAAGTTGTCAAACATCCATGCTCCTGGGGATAATTCCAGATGAAACGAATGCATTACATGCTTCTGGTTCACCTCTTAAGCAAGGTTATTGGATTTCACTCATCTAGAAGATATTTCAGGCAAGAGTTTACCTTGATTAAGAAATCTAAAGGAACAAAGTTCTGCATGAGAAACTGTGTAAACCACACTAAGTGGTATGCTGTGGGATTAAGAGCACAGGTCCTGGGCTCACACTGCCTGCCATAGAACAGCCAATTCTCCATTCACAAGATAAGGGGCTGCCTGTTTCCATCTATACAATATCTATAGGGATAGTAGTAGCTGCCTCTAGGGTTATTAGGAGGATCGAAGGAGGAGCAGAAGTATGAACTCTTGTTATCCCTTTATACTTTGCAAAGCTCTGTCCAGATCTGTTATTTATTTAATACTCTCAGCAATCTCATCGAGTATATTGGAGTCCTGGGGCTTGGACTTTTGACAATTATTAACTCCATTTTACAAATAAAATGTAATAGATCTCAGAGAAGTTACAGGACTTGTCCAAGGTTTCACAGATAATCATAACTCTAAACTAAACTTGGGTGTTTGACTTCCAAGCCCAGACCTCTTTCCCAGAGAGCTCCCATCAAAAGAAAGTTTTGATGACCAGGCACTGACACTTGGTACTTAAATGGTTGTACTTTGACCTAATCACAATCTCCCCCACCCCCACATTACTTTAATCCTGCATTTCCCTAAGGTGTTCTGTTTCTAAGGGCAGTAGGAAGAATCAGCCATTGTTTCAGGTAAGGCTTCCTGTCTTCAGAGTACAGAAATATATTTAGGGTGGCTTTGACCAAAAAAAAAAAAAAAAAAAAAGGAAGGTGTTAACTCTAAGAATATAGTAGTGTTCCATGGAGCCCAAGGGCAGGTGGGAAGCTGCTTTCTCCAGGGACTGGAGCTCGGAACAGGGAACTTGTGTGAACTGAAGGCACCCTCCTTTCTCCTTCACTCCGGAGCAGCATGGCCTCCTGCCTCTACTGTTCTCTGCTGTTTGCTTCTCTCTTTCTCTTTGGATGGATTTTTCTGCCCTCATAAACTTCTGCTAATTGTACCAGCTAATGCCATGGAGCACTTAGGATGTGCCAGGCTGTTCAAGAATTTTTCCCATGTTGACTTATTTATTCTATACAACTGCCAGTGAACACTAATGGGACTATGATAATCTCATTTTACAGATGAGAGGAGCGAGGCACAGAGAAGTGAAGCAACTTGTGTAAGGTCACACAGCCCTAGGTGACACCCCCCCCACAAGCAGTCTGGCTCTGGGATCCACGCTCTTAACCACTGTGCTACATGGCCTCCATGGCCGAATGCAGTGTCTGAGCCCCATTTTTCATACTTGACAGTTCAGTATAGACTGAACTGACAAATTGACTGAATTTGACATTTCAGTCCTCAGCAGGGAATGGCCAGCAGGGAGCCCTGTTCCAAACTCCCCACAGAGATCCAGGTGTCCACCTCTGTCCCACTTCCCAGGGCACTGGCATTCCCAGGCTACCCAGCTGCACTGAAGTGGAAGGGTTATGCAGGAGAAACGTGACTTCCAGGCAGGATGACCTACCATCCCCATTGTCCGGAGAGCTGCCCAGGACTTTCGGTGCTAAAAACAGACAACACCAGGCAAAGCAAGATGGTTGGTTGCTCTGCACGGGATCAAAGGGGTGAAGAGACAGTTCTCAGAGAAATGAGCTGTTAACCACGAAAGTACTCCAAAGGGTGATGACTGGCCACATAAGGGCCCTCTTCCATCCTACTCACCCCCACTCCCCAAAAAATGGCTTCTTGCTTCTCTGCATTCTCTTGATGTGATGGGCCAAGATAACACAGAATCTGGAGTGTCTATGGACCTGCTGGGTTCCGACAGCCAGGGGAAAGTTCCAGCAGTGATGGAACGGAAAGGTTTTAACAGGAAAAGGAGGAAGAATTAGGGAATTAGCCTGAAGCCAACAGGCAGAAGCTGAAGCAGGGAAGCAGAGCAAGTTGGGGAGGTTCAGAAGTGCCCCCTACCAAAGGCTAGAGCAGGTGCCAGTGTATTCAGTTCACAGAGGTCTGGGCAGACAGTAGTGGGCACCACAGGTCCAGCAATAAGTCACCAGGTTCTAACCTGATGCTACTCTCTAGAACTATGCCCCCATGTTTCAGTAAAATGAGCACTGGCTTAGGAGCCCTCTTACGAGTAAGAATCAGTTTATTCTCTTTGAATAATCATACAGCTTATCAGAAAAATGTGGCACAGCCAAGCCCACTAAAAAACTGGGCCAGAAAAATGCCTTGCTCAACCATAGCAGCACTGCTGATCAGATAACAACCTTGGCTGTTAGTGTTATCTACATGCAATGTGCAAACAGAAGATGGAGGATCAGCTGTGGACCGAAACTCTACCATTGGCAGTTGAAAACCTCAATTTTGACTTGCAACTAAATGCCATAATCAAGAGCCATAAAATGTTCATTCTTGTTGACCCAATCATTCCCGTTTTAGAATACATATAAGGAAATTATCTTAAATGCAGATGAGGATTCTCTATAATGCCATGTATCACAAAGTTATTCCTAATGATAGTTAATCAACTAAAAAAAATTAACTTGAAAAAATATTATGCGATCATAATAGGATCACATGATTATGTGATCAACCATATAACAGTTATGGTTATAATGACTAGTGGAGGACATTTAGATATAAAATTATATAGAGAGTAAGGAAACAATAGTACAAAGCAACAAAAGTCAAAATTTATGTAACACCAAACAGGACAGGAAGGGGTTATACCAGTTTTCTGCTGATGAGAGTTTAGATGTTTTATTGTTGTTGTTGTTTTACTATTTTCATTTTCAAAATGTGTATTTATAAATTTTATAATGGAAATAAATTATCTCAGCACCTCTCAACTATTCCTGAGTGCGTTTTGAAAGTCTATGTAAATGGCTGGGCACAGTGGCTCACACCTATCATCCCAGGACTTTGGGAGGCTGAGGTGGGCAGATCACCTGAGGTCAGGAGTTCGAGACCAGCCTGGCCAACATGGCAAAACCCCGTCCCTACTAAAAAAGTGCAAAAATTAGCCAGGCATGGTGGTGCGCGCCCGTAATCCCAGCTACTCTGGAGGTTGAGGCAAGAGAATCGCTTGAACCCAAAAGGTGGAAGTTGCAGTGAGTCAAGATCATGCCACTGCACTCCAGCCAGGGTGACAGAGCAAGACCTTGTCTCCAAAAAAAAAAAAAAAGAAAGAAAAGAAAGAAAGAAAAAGAAAGAAAGAAAAGAAAGTCTGTGTAACTTATCACTATGTGTGAGGTTTATGTGAGCTCTGGAGATCTACTGTAAATTCTGCACTGGTCTTCTCTGCGTTGCCTGGTGAATGGGGGCTGCTGTACTTACTGTGTTCGCCGGCAGGGTGAAGTTCAGTGAAAAACTCTGCAAGATAGAAGTAAATATTAAAGCTCCCAGGGATGGTCAGCAAGCTCCTGACTTCCTCAAACTCACTGACCCTGGTGGATTCCGAGAGGTCATTGATTCTATAGACTCAGCCAGCCCCCATCATCATGCCCAATCTGGGCCCCAAAAGAAGGAAGGGGAGGAAAGAAGCCTGTCATGAATTCCTCCCTCAGCATCAAGTCAGTCTTGCCACCGCCCCCGACCAGGTCCTGAACCAGGATCAGATGAAGAGGCAGCCTGCAAGGCTATTGCCTGAGGGGTCCCATTCATAAGGGCCCCAAACACTTACTAGAAATTCAGCAAAATGCTAAAATTATGTTTATTCCCCTAGAAGTCCTTTGAGAGAGAAAACTGGTGAGTTTAGAAGTACTTTGTGTTTTCTCCTTGGAGTAGAAGGTAAGACCCCCAAAGGGCACGGCCTGACAAGAACACCTGATCCTTACCTGGGCAAGGCAAGGCTTCTGTTTTTGCTGCATCTGAGGCAGAGGTTCTAGGCTGCTGGAGCTGAAGTGGCCAGGAGGACAGGCGAGCAGCAAACCCTTCTCTTTCCTCCCCTCACTTAGTAGCTGGTCTCATCTCTCCAACAAATATGGAGTCTAAATTTAAAGATCGTGGGCTCAATGGAGCACCAAATAGCCTGCCCAGGGCCTCAGGTGGCTCCTTTCTTCTCCCTGTCCCCAGTCCCTGTTACTCCAGCTTTTCCAGGCTGCTCCTTACCAAGTCCTTTCCCTACCTAGATTGGAATGATGGGTAGATCTGTTCTGACTCAGCCGGTGAAACTATTTTCCCCTCTTTCCCTGGGTGGAAGTGGTCTTGTTCCCACTTTCTGGACTCTCAGCCCTTTGGGTCCAGCCACCCTGGATTAATGCCTCCTGGCTGGGCCCTCCTTCAGCCTTGGCCTCCCTGACCCCCAGAGATTTCCCTGGGCTTGGCCTATACCGCAGCTCCCCATCTTCCCAGCATCCCAAGACCAGATTCTGTCATTCTAGAAACAATGCATTTACTAAGTTTTAAAATTAAATGTTATCCAACAAGAGGAATGTTGTGAAACATTAAAGAATCCAAAAGAATCATGTTTCACACCTGAATTACCTGAAAGATCATCTCTCTCAAAATCCTCATTTTCCAGCAGAGGAAACTGAAACCCAGGGACTCATCAAAAATCACTTCATGGACAAATGAGAATAGTTAGAGCCTATGTCTCAAAACCAGTCAATGGGCTCCAGTCTGTGTGACTCAACCCCAACCCGAAAGACAGTAACAGAGGAGCTCACCCCAACACAGGCAAACTGACAAAACACCTATTTCAGCTGACTTACTGATGGGTTGGAATTCAGATGGGTTAATGAACAAGAAAATCTTTTGTGAACCAGCAGTGTTTTAAGCACGTAGAATGTGTAAGTCCCCTTGGCTTTTGCCCCAAATATTATGTCCTTCAATCAAGGTGGCCCTGCTCAGCTAGCACGCCTCAGTGGTGACTCTGCTCACTTCTCTGCCTCTTGGCAATAGGACACCCACATTTTATAGAAAATAAACCAAGCCTCAAGAATTTGAACAGGTTTCCCAAGTCCAAACAACTACTTAGCCATTACCAGAACCTGAGTGTCCTGGTGACAACCTCTTTCCACCATTCTGCAGGGCTTCCAAGCAACTCCAAAAGTCTCTGGGGATGAATCAGAGCACCCAGGCCAACAGCACTGTGCACCTCTGCTTCTGGGCTGATGTTGGAGCACAGGGATGTCTGGGCCTCTAAGGTCAGGGGCCTCTTGCTCGAGGGACCTAACCACCTCTCTTCACACTAGCACCAAACCAACAGGTGCTGCAAGGACACTGGATGGTCGCTGCACTGAATGCAGCTGCCCAGAGCCTTATCTCATCAGTGGGCACCGAGGACTGATGTCAGCAGCCCTAAGACAAAGCTTCCTTTGGGAGGACAGCAGAAGAGGGCGTGCAGCAACAAGTGGGCCATGCATGCGTTGTTTATCAACACTTGGATGACGGAGATTTTGGCCAATTTTAGAAAGACACTCATATTTTGTAGAAACACAGTACAGTGCTGTCATGGAGAGAAAAACATCGCACAAATTGGGGTGGAGAAGAATCTGATGCAGTGCCCTTCAGAGGCACAGCTGAGTAGGGTGATGCAACCCTGGGCTTGGAGCCACCTGGGCTTCGAGTCCAGACTTAGCCACTTAGGAGCTGTGTAGTCTTGGATAAGTCACTCAAACTCTCTGGTCTCCATTTTCTCACAACAAATCTATTCTCCAAGGCTCAGTTTTCCCATTCTCAAAATGGGATGCTACTAACTTGCCTTGCCCACTTCACAAGATAAGACCCAAGGGAATACCGTAACATTGTCTGTGGCAGCTGCTTTCTCCCAAACTGTAAAACGCCCTCTGTGTTTTAGGGATCACGTGGTAGCATATTCTTTATGGCCTGGCCAGCACAGAGCTAAGGATAGGAAAGTTCTTGTGGAATGGAATTGCAAGCATGAGTTAGCAATAATCAAAGTACTAAAATCTGATACAATGCAATTATTGCTTACTGCTAGTCTGAGCACTACGCAATATCTACACAATGATTCTGAAGGCATTTTGGGATTTCAGTGACTGAACGTCCTTCATTATAAGTTTGCAGTTTATGAGAGAAAGGAGGAAAGACAGGATAAAAACTTACTGCTATTGAAGGTATGCTGGGTATAAGACCCCGTACTCACAACCTCCCCATGAAGGGAGCACTGTTATTCCTATATTATACCTGTGGCAACTGAGACCAAGATAGGTTTTTGCTCACCAGCTTATAAGTGGTAGAGATCAAGTTAAATCACAGATCTTCCTAACTCCAAAGACTGAGTTCTACTCCTTTTAATAATCATTTTTGTGAGAAAAAAAAAAAAAAGATTCCACAAGAAAGTGAGATTATGCAATATTTTTCTTTTTATGTCTGGCTTATTTCACTTAGCATAATGTCCTCCAGGTCCAAATAGGACAAACATGGCAAATGGCAGGGGCTCCTCCTATTCTAAAGCTAATATTCAATTGTATATATACATATAAACCAGAGTCCCTTTATCCATTCATCTACTGATAGACACCTAGGTTGTTTCCATAATTCTTTAGTAAATCACAGAACCCTCTTCTGTTTTCTCTTCTAACTTAGCAAACTTCATTTGATTGAGTCACAACCAAACATGTATCACAGGTAAACAAGAAAGATGGAAAATTTCTGATCAATGATGACCATCCATGTTGCTGATAATGGAACAAAAAGCCAGATTAAACAAGTAAGACAGGTAAAATCGCTGATCAGATCCATTGCTTCAACTAGAAAGTGAACATAAATGAAACATCTACTCTGCACTCTTTTATGTGGGGATGGGGGTTTAAAAACAAACCTTAATATCAAAATAAAAGACAGACAAGATCAGCAAATATTCAGTGAGAAGTTTAAAAAAGTATTAGTATTTTGCATATGCGAAAATAATTTAAAATCAAGTCCGTTTGCTTCATTGTACATATAATTGAATTAGGAGATGTGAGCTTTAGAAGCCTGGGAATTGTTCTTTATAGTAAGCAATGAAGGTTTGATTGAGAAGAGATGCCAGTTCTCACTCACCATTTCTGATAGTCTCCCAAGAACCTTCTTCGTACACTGCCTTTGGCAAACTCCTTTCTCGCTGGCGTTATTGGCTTGTGTCTTTCATTTGTAGGAACAGTTAGCTGACAAAGCTGCAGAGGCAGGCTGAGAGGTGGCTCCAAGAGAACCCTAGTCAAGCCATTTATGGTCAGGGGAGTAGCCAAGCCCTCAGTCCATCCCTCGGGAAAGATGGGCTGCTGCTCCATGGCCACCGTGTATGGCCTGGTTCACCCACCCTCTTTGCCTTGACTTTTTGTCCTTCTTACTTTTCAGGCTGCTTTCTTGGCTATACCTCCATCTCAGCAAAGAAGCCACAGCTGGCCTGAGAGCTTGGGGCCTTCTGCAGCCTGCAGCTCTTTGGAAACAATGGGTTACACAAGGCTGAGGCTGGCCACTCCATCCCCAGCTAACAGAAACCCACATTAACCATGTTACTGCTCATGATGGAGTCAATGTGTTACATGGACAAAGCATGGACGTTCAGGATGTCTGGAGAAGGGGTGGGGGCCCATTCTGTTTCAGGAGTAGCACTGCTGGGGGCTCCAGCCGCCTCAAGGTGCTGCACTCACTGGACAATGAGCTGCCTGGTGTGAGTTTGGCCTCACCCCCTCTCTGTGTTTGCATTTTGGGTGGGAAGCTCTCTAGACCTGGAGGAAGCCATGGACTTGGGCTGCTTTGTAACTTACAATTTCCCTGTTAGGGATTTGCCTCTTTAAAATGGTGAATGAGTTGCCAATAAAACCACAGAATTAAACCAATGATTTGGCCATTGAAATGAAAACCACTGTGAAAGGAGCAGACAGGAATGTAAGGAGAGAGCGACTCAAGTGAGAGAGGAGGCCATTGCTTTAGTTGACTCTGGGAGATGACACTGAAGCTGTGCATGAAAGGTGAGAAGAGGGCAGACATGTGAAGGGTTGAGGGAGGAGAGTCCCAGGCAGAAACCACAGCAAATGCTAAGCCCTGCAAGCTCGGTGCACTCGCAGAACCTGAAGGAGTGAGTTTTAGCCCTTTTGATGCAGCATGGGAGGGCATGGCAAGATTTTCACCCTTAGGGCCTTTCCCAACGGTTTTTCAGTGGGAGAGATGCATGATGTAATTGCTGGTGACCAAGATTGCTGGGCTTCTCTGTGGAGCGAAGATTACAGGGGAAGAGAGTGGAAGCAGGTGGCTGGCTAGTGGAGTTCAGGTGAGTGATGAAGGTGGCTGCTATAGGAAGAGAGCAGTGAATGAGTGTGTGACTTACTGCGGAGGTGGAGCCACTGGCATTTGATGATGAAAAAACTATGGGGCAGGGGAAGGGAGAGGTGAGGGAAAGAGAAGAATAAAGCCAATTCCTGGGTTTGGGGCTTGACTAACAAAAATGGAGACACTATTGGCTTAGGCAGGTAATACTGGAGAAACAGATTACCCTTACACCTGCGTAGCCTAGGGGCTGTCCAAGTGGAGGTGTCAAGCAGGCAATTGGATAAAGGGGGTCTGGGGCTGAAGGCATCCGTTTGGAAGTGGCCAGTCTGTGGATGGTTTTAAAGCCACAGGTGTGCATGAGCAGGTAGACAGGGCAGAGGACCAGGATACCTGCTAGAGGTTCACAGATATTTAGCAGCCTGGAAGAGGGGGCGTCGCTAGCAAGGAGAGTTGAGTGAGGCAGGAAATTCAGAGAAGTTTGGGGGTCACAGGAAAGAAATTTGATTCAAGAAGGGGAATGGATGTTGGTTAATTGTATCAACTGCTGCTGAGAGGTAGCCTCCGAAGAGGCCAGAAGAGCCTTCTGATTCCCAGTATGAGGGTTGCTGGTGGCCTTGACAAGAGCAGTTTAGTGGCAGAGTGGAGACCAGATTGCCTTTAATCAGGTGGTTTTTCCATCCTGGTTGCATACCTGAATCACCTAGGAGGCAGTAGGGGGGCTGGTTATAAAAACTCTTGATGCCTAGTACCCGCCCTCAGAGACTCTGACTTAATTGATCAGAGTGAGGCAGGGGCATCCCCAGGGGACGCTAATGAGCAGTCAGGGGTGACAGCTGCTGTTCTAATCAGTTCTTAGACTGTGGTAATCAGCCACCTGCAACATGGCCGACACTGACGCTATCCTCAACAAGACCAGTGCCGCCTCTGCCTCGTGGGCTTCCAGTTTCCAAGACTCCACAGTGACAGCCTAAACTGAACCTACTGGTGACAACATGGTCTGGAGAGATCTATGTTTGGAGCCACAGCTGCCCTACTGGAAGCTGCATGGTCTTAGGCAAGTGAAATAACTTCTTCCAGTCTGAGTCTTTTAATCTGCAAAGCAGGGATGATACAATTTACAGCAATTAGACTACTTAAATCAGCACAGCTTGTACAAATGATGCTTTTAATTTTCCTTGACTGGCATAGAATCATCCTGGACCACAGAACTCCAGTTCATGGCCCCAGCACTCTCTGGCAAGGCTGTTTGTGGATGGGGAGGGCCAGTGAGGTCCTTTTTGGCACTTTTGTTTGCTGTGCATCCACTGATCCATAACTCTCCCTTCTGACACATTATCTCTTTAGAGGAATCATTGACATGTTCAGGCAAGTGGTGCCCCTGCCTAAGTGTCCATCAGTCATGATTGCCTGGTCACAAGCAACAAAACCAGACTCTGCTTAATTTTTTAAAAAGAAGAATTTGGCCGGGCGCAGTGGCTCACGCCTGTAATCTCAACACTTTGAGAGGCCTAGGTGGGTGGATCACCGGAGGTCAGGAGTTTGAGACCAGCCTGGCCAACACGGCGAAACCCCATCTCTACTAAAAATACAAAACTTATCCGGGCATGGTGGCGCATGCCTGTAATCCCAGCTACTCAGGAGACTGAGGCAGGAGAATTGCTTGAACCCAGGAGGTGGAGGTTGCAGTGAGCCAAGATTATGCCATTGTACTCCAGCCTGGGCAAGAGAGTAAGGCTCCATCTCAAAATACAATACAATACAATACAATACAATACAATACAATACAATACAATACAATACAATACAATACAATACAATACAATAAATACAATACAATACAATACAACACAATACCACAATACAATACAACACAATACTAAAAAGGAGAATTTATTGACTGGGTATAGTGGAGCTCTCAGAAAGAAAAGAGGGCTAGAGAACCAGGCTCTGGAAAGACAGAGTGAGATTGCTCCCAAGCCTTCAGGATCAGCAACTACCAGACAGTCTTTTGGAGGTGTCCTTCCAGAGAAAGTGAGCTCCAAAATATCTCAGCCCTTTTGCCTCTCTGATCAGGACTCCAGTCCCATGAAGAGGACTTGGTTGGTCTGGCTTGGTTCATATGGCCAAGGATGAGGCACCACCTGGCTAACAGTCCCCCCAATGAGGGTCCCTCCAATGGAAGAAGAGGTGGTTCTGCAAAATGAATTTGGCATTGTTACCTAAAGGAGAAGGAATGGATGAAGTGAGTAAGCTCTCCTTCTTTGGAAGTTAGGCCTGGAAATCATCTCCTTAGAAACCACTGATGGAATGCCCTTAGTGGGAGAAAGGTTGGGGCCACCAACTCTGAGAATCTCAGATCATTTATATTTTGTCACCATTTAAATTTGTACAAGCCCAATCACATGGATGGTCTTCCCTGCAACAACTGGTCAGCTTAAAAAGCTGAACCATTCTAAATGACAGGTGGCTGTCTTAGTCCGTTTGGGATGCTAAAACAGAGCACCACCGACTGAGTGGCTTATAAACAACAGAAAGTTATTTCTCACAGTTCTGGGGGCTGGGAAGTCCAAGATCAAGGTGCCAGGAGATTCAGTGTCTGGTGACGGCCTGCTTTCTGGTTCCTAGGCAGCTGTCCTCTCTTTGTGTCCTCACATGGAGGCTGAGGGATCTCTCTGGAGCCTCATAACCTAATCATGTCCCAAAGACCCAACCGCTCAATACTTTTACGTGGGGGGCTGGGGTTTTAGTATATGAATTTTGTGGGTATACAAACATTGTTGCAGTGGACTTTTTCTAATTTTTAGAAATCTTTATCTAAAATATTAAGAATAAGGTAGGATAAAGTGAAATTTTAGAACAAAAAGAAGAATTATAGTCATTTTTGTATCTACAAATGCCACACGTGAGAGTCATTACTGCTGCCCACCAATGTTGCTAGTTTGCCTTGTTCTTGTCATGAAGTTAAGGACATTCACGTGACTTGCTGTGATCAATGAAATGAGTAGAAGTAATATATCATTTCCAGGCAGTTTTAAAAGCCAGTGTGTCATGTGTCACCCTTTCTTTCCCTGTATTATAAAACCCAGCGATGTTCTGATGCTGCTGCTCCATCAGCCTGGTCCTGACTGAGGATGATATGGAAGAGTTTCCAGATGACCAGAAATGAACGTGTAGTGTGGACAAGAAATAAATCTTATGTAAAGCCCCTGAGATTTGGGGGATAGTTGTTGCAGCATAAGCTAGCCTATGCTGACTGATACACCAGCATTCATACGCTTGCACCAATGGGACTCATTGTTAGGTCTAGAAGATAAACCTTGCTGAAGATCTATAGCTATATATCACCTTTCTTTCCTTTCTTTCTTTCCTTTTCTTTCTCTTTTTTCTTTCTTTCTTTTTCTTTCTTCTTTCTTTCATCTTTCTTCTTTCTCTTTCTTCTTTTGTTCTTTCATTTTCTTTTTTTCCTTTCATTTTCTTTTTCTTTCTATCATCTATCTATCCACCTATCTACCTATATCATCTATTTATCATCTATCTATCAATCACCTATCTATCATCTCTATGTAATTGGTGACTGCAAATGGGCAGAAAAGTCATAAAATCTTGAGACTATGTATAGCACAAAACAACTGCCTGTGTTAAAGGATTTTGCATTGAGAGCAATCTGAGTGCTTCTAAAAACACAGTTGTATAATTACCCTTCTGTAATATAACCCACAAAACTCCAAACATACCCCAAAGCCTCTTCATCTAATCAACCTGAAGAGGGTGTCCTTTATCAGATGGAGTCCCTGTCTTTGTGTTAGAAATGACCCTGTATCAGTCAGGTTCCCTGCAGGAGACAAGTAATATACACTCATTACTACATTTGAAAAGGGTTTATTAAAATGACTACCTATAAACATTCCCCTTGGGGGAAGTGCAGTACCCCAAGGTTAGACAAGCAGGGTGTCATTACCACCCCTAAGCCTCAAGTGGCAAGTGGAAGGAGGGACTTCCAGGGCCCCCAACGGGGAGTGGGGGCTCACCTACTGGGAGTCATAACCTTCAGTCTCGGGTGTCAGATATAGTCCTCAGACGCATGTCCAGATAGAGGAGGGTGGCGAGGGGAGCTGAGGGACAAATGGAATATGTCTACCACATCTGGATGGTTTTGGCAGCAGACATCTTCACAATCAGGTTGTCAGATTTTCAGCTTGTTTTGGTGTAAGAAAGGGAATAAATTTGAAAACCATCTTTAGCTTTGCTCGTGACTTTCTGGGTCCATTAGTGAACTCTGTTCTGGAGCTAGGCACTTGGGTACTCACCAGAGAGTGGAAGGCTGTAGAGAAGGGCCCCCTTTTAGTACTCTCTCCCAAGCTCTTGTGATATGGGAGAAAATTATCACTAAAAGGACCCATCTGGTCTGAATTAGCAATACAAACCCAAGACACATCAATAAATCCACATTCTTTAATGAAACCATCCTTTCTAGGTAGAGACATATGTTAGGTCCTCTCCACTTTCTCTTTGAAACTGACATCATTTCATGAAATGTAAAATTACACAAAATAAAAAATACCCATATGTTTACATATAATACTTTAAACAGTTTTCCTTTTTAAAAAGAAAACTTTTAGGCATTTGGGATTGATGTTCAGAAGTTCAGTCTACAAAAGAAACTTTAAAAACATCTGCTAAAGCCCAAGGAACATTCATTCACAAATGGAACGCTAACAATATCAATCTGGAAGTTATCAAAGGGACCCAATCAACAGGAAAACTCACTGTGAATTTGCTAGTTAGCAGGATTTTACAAATTATTTCAATCAGCTGAGCAATTCGTGAGTGATATGAAACTTTACAGCAGGGGTGTCCAATCTTTTGGCTTCCCTGGGCCACACTGGAAGAAGAATTATCTTGGGCCATGCATAAAATACACTAACACTAACGATAGCTGATGAGAAAAAAAGTCACAGAAAGAATCTCACAATGTTTCTTTAAAAAGTTTACAAATTTGTGCTGGACCACATTCAAAGCTGTCCTGGGCCATGTGTTGGACAAGCTTGCTTTAGAGAGAAATTGTAAAATAGAAATAGAGGGGAAACTTCACCTTACCGGTAAATACCTCTAAATATTTACCTTAGAGGAAAATAGAGGGAATAGTGGATCAATGAACAGCCTCTCTTTCTCTGTTTGAAGAAATTCTACTGGCTAAAGTTAATTCCAGATTTTTTCCTGCCCTGCAATCCAGGCTTAGCTTTTGCTAGACCAGGTTACACCAGAACTGAGCCAGGCTAAAAACCTAGACCCCAAATCCTTCATTAGCCTGTTGTCCTAAGACAATTCTCTGAACTGAAACTATTTTTGCAACTCAGTGTCATCCCCAAAGCTTGGTACCCAATTAAAGCACAAAGCAGGCTGCAGCGGTATCTTCTACCTCTGCTGTTTGCTTCTGGGGATGCTTGCAGGCAGGTCACTGAGCAATTGGAAGCACCAAGGCAGAGGCCTGGGTCTTTCTGCTGAATGGACTCTCTCTGGTGAAGCCAGCTCGAGTTTCTTTGCAAGAACCCGTGTCATGCCCAAGCCCCCACAAGTGTGGGCTTCCAGAGGAGCGGCCCAGCTAGCCCCAGCTGAATCAGAGCTTGTCTTTTCTGTGGATACGTCACACAGAAGGCCTAAATAAAGGTTTTTCATAAGAGTCCCATTGTTGCAAATTGGCCATATGGTGACAATGGTTGAAGCTGTGTGTTTTTGAAAATGTTCATGCTAAGGAGATGAAAAGAAGTATCATTGTTTCACTGTCCTGCTGAGCAGCACCAACTCTGTTTCTGACTCCCTCCCACTTTTCTATGAAATTTGTTAATCTTGCTTAGACTTCTAAAGGTTAAAACTGCAGAACTTTTATTTTCTTGGAGAAAGAACCTTAACAGCCATCTTAGGTATCCCAGTTCCAGTTTCAACTCTCATAGACAAGATGAGACCACATAAAACCTCAGAAAATACAAAAATCAGAGAAATGGAATCTACCCTAACAGGCAGATGGGATTGGAGCCACGAGGTCAGCTGCTCCATTTGCCGTATCGAAGCGCACGTGGGGCAGGGTCTGCCATATGTACAATATGAGCGTGTAGGCTGAGCCTCAGTCCAGTGCCGAGAAAGGCGAAAACAGAGTTTGGTGAAAGGAGAGGCAGGAAACGGAGAGCCAATCCTGCAGGGCCCACAGTAAAGCGAGGACCAGGGATTGGCATTTTCCACACTGCATTGATTAAGGCTTTGACAGCTGATCTTTTACATACATACATATATACAGACATATATTATTAATAAGAATACTTTAATTTTTTTGTTTTAAGGAAAAAATATTCCCATGCATTTCTCTGACCTTTCCTTGTATCATTCTAGTTTTTGCTCCCAGCAATCACTTTAATGAGACACAGTCCTCTGGTGCCATATTCTGATCTGTAAAAAATATAACCTTTCACCTTTTTACAAATACTTTGTCTAAAATGATGCTGATTCATCCCAAAGGAATTCTGGCGCATGGGAGCTCTCTTGGCTCTAACCAGAAACACTCGTGTGCCGCCCTGCGTTCAACACTAACCAAACAGGACTTACAGTTATGTAAACATTATTTAAAAATTATTCCAACATAAATACTCTTTTAAAGCTAACATACCACAGCTTTTAGCTCATAATGCCCATAGATGCCTTAATGAAATGCCATTCAAAACTACCTCACTGTTTAAATTATACTTTGAGGTGCTAAAATTATGTAAACATCATCCTCTACACTTCTCTAGAACAAGTGCCAAGTGTTGTGAATTCTGATTGCAAGTTGGTGATTGAATATTAGTTAATCAGAGCAAAGTTACCAACGCACTCTTTAACCTGATTGGCTACAGGAAGCTAGTCGCTGATTGACTTGTTCCACAAGGCGATGATTCTTACATAACTTATAATTAACCAGTCCTCAACAGTGTTCACCCCACAAGGAACCTGAATTGGTCCCTCATAAGATGTCTTTGCACATTTTGCAAATGCAGTTTGAATTGGATGTCAAGGAGTCCAGGTGTGCCATGGCAAGTGCCTCCAAAGCTAAAAGAAGAAATGTTCTTCGCAGCCCGTGGAATTCCAAGCACAGGTGGAGTCTTCTCAAAGTCAATGAATGAAAAATTTTCAGGACGAGTCACAATATTGTCTTCTCAGCAGACAGGACTCTTGCCAGCAAATGTTCTGCTGTATTCATAATGAATGCCTTAGCCCCCAATGCAATTAGGGAGTGCGGGAAACCAAAAGGACAAGGAGTGTGAATGACTGAGAAATGGCTTCGTGGTCTCCTAACTTCATGACAATGATTTTCATACTCGAAACTTTCTCTGTGCACACTGCTTACTGTGATGCCTTTTTTAGTCCTGACATCCATCCATATTTTCAGGTTTCTTGGTTGACGTGTCCCTGGCAGAGAGAAAGAAAATGATTCCAGCCAAAGCTGTGAGCCATATGTTAGTCACAGCCAAGCTTTCATCCCTTATGCCCAGCATAGACACTTATGCCCAGCATAGACAGAAGACAGCCCGGCACCTTTGCAAGCAAGTCCAGATTAGAGGAACGGCCAACCCCAAGGCTGGCCTTTTGCCATATAGGAGCAAGGGACAAGGAGAATGGGTATGAACAAACATAGCTTGAATGGTCAGTGACTTCAATCCTAATCTTTAACAGTTCATGAGTGATAACATTGCAGACAGAATCAAAAGAACATTTTCTCTCCACCTTGTTGGCCAAGCTTACATGACTTTCATTCAAATATATACCTCCAAGACTGGATTCTGAGTTTTTGTTTGAGAAAAATACTGTACACTGTTTTAGGGCAGATTTTTCAAGGTGCTATTGTTGTAAAAACAAAAACAAAACATTCTCAGTTTCTGTCTTTCAAGAACATCAGCACTATTTCTTCATGTGCAGGGCATCCTGGAACTTGGTGCTGGTGTATCGGGCATGAAAGCCTTTCTTGCTGATGGTGTCATCTGTGTGGAATCGAATCATCAGGGAATCTCCCGCGGAGTAGATTTCTTCTAATGGCTGAGGAAAGGCGAAAGGGAAACGAGAAGGACTTTAGCTGTGATTGGAGTTGAAAATTAGGAGGACGAGACAGGATCTTATGCAAGGACACAGGGTATGTCCCTGGTACCAGAGACTTTGAAGAGCATCCAAACAAGCTCCTTTCCAAAAGAAAACATTGCAAATTCTGCTCCAGAGAGCTTTGCAGGCCCTGCTCTTCCAAAGATGATCCTAGGTGCATAGCTCATATAGAATCTATTACTTATTAAGTACGCAGGTGGGTCAGGTGCTGTGCTAGGCACTTCCAGATCTTATGTAAACTTTACAGCAACCTTATAAGGCAGGTACTATCCCCATTTTTCACTTCAAGAAACTGAGACTCAAGTTCTCCCAGGTAGGCAGGACCCAAGCTCCGGCCCTTCTGATTGTAAAGGATGCACCATGCATCACCGAACTCCAGGGTCATCATTGTGATGTGTCTCCCAGGAGACCTGAAACAAAGACCATTGTTCAGGCCTCTGTCCCTTCCAAGGACAAAAACTGGGATGGAGCCACCACGTTTGTCAGAAAGGTTTTGCCAGGTGGTCTGTGAATGGGAGCCACATTCCAAGGCTGTTGCCTGCGAGGTTCTAGTGGAGCCAAAGTGAGCTTCCCCCACGGTTAACCGCTCAGGACCCTCCAAGAGGTTCCTTTCCACAGACCCCACAGTTGGAAAGACTTTATCAAAGGCAGTGCATTGGCTAAGTGCCACTTTGTCATTCTTCCTTTTCTAGAGGGTGAAAGAAGATGGGGAATTATTCAAAAAATACAAATGACAATTTGAATTTCTGTTTAGCACAGGAGCACTGGTGACTCCAAAATGATGTGATTTAAGTCCAGCCAATAGCAAAGAAACTTGAGCGACCAGGCCTGGAGGCAACAGAAAGGAGGGGGCTGGTGCCCAGTATGGGCAGTGTCCAGTGTGGTGCAGCCAGGGGAGTGACCGGGACACTGTACTGGCCAGTGCACAAACTCCCACCAAGCACCAACTATATGCCAAGCCCTATGTCGGGTGCTGGAGAAATAGCAAACACAACAGGCCCACTGAAAAAGTGAACAATGAGAACACTGATGATGACCTTGAGTACAACTATTGTTGTGTATAGTAAGTGACTTGTAATTTTCATTGGCATTTGGTTTTGCTTGAGGAGAGAAATGTGAATATAAGAAATATATAAAAGCATAATTAAATATTTTTAAAGCCTGGGGGCCAAATAAAAATGGAGGAGAGCAGCTGCGCGTGGTGGCTCACGCCTGTCGTCCCAGCACTTTGGGAGGCCAAGGCAGGTGGATCACTTGAGGTCAGGAGTGCAAGACCAGCCTGACCAACATGGTGAAACCCTGTCTCTACTGAAAATACAAAAATTAGGTGGGCGTGGTGGCACATGCCTGTAATCCCAGCCACTTGGGAGGCTGAGGCAGAAGAATTGCATGAACTCAAGAGGCAGAGGTTGCAGTGAGCCGAAATCCAGCCTGGGCGACAGAGCAAGACTCCGTCTCGGGGGGAAAAAAAGTGGGGGGAGAGGGAAAGACTTTGCAAAAATAGGGGGAAAGTCCCAAAAGGAAAAGTGCTCTTCCATGGCTGCCTCAGTAAGGGGCCTTCAAAGACTGGTCCCCTGGCTGCCTCCCAGCCTCCTGACATTTCTCCCGCTTCCCACTCCGCTTCAGCAAAACGTGCCTCCTCGCCGTTGCTCGAAGTGGATGGAGGAGGTGGCCAGGACTGAAACCCGGGTGTGTCTCACTCCACAACTCATGCTGTGATTCATCACACTCTGCCCCGGCCCCAGCGTCTCTGGAACTTACCCCAGAGCCACAGAAGCGGCCGAGCCTGGGCGCTGAGCTGTCGTAGCCGTCATAGGCTTCCATGTAGTCATAGCCACAGTCGGCCTCCTCCTCAACCTCAAACGTCCGGAATGTCAGCTCCACGCCGTAGCCGTCCTCTGCCACGATCACCCAGTCGCAGTGGGCCTGGCTCGGGTAGTTGTTGTCCCCAAACTGGGCATGGGAATAGAGCTCTTTGGTCTGCACTTCAGCCTTCAGCCTGCCCCCGCACTCTGGAGCAGAGACAAGTGAGATGTCCCCTCAGCACAAGACACCCTCGTGCCTCCCGCCTGCGTCTGCTCAGTTTTCTCTACAGAGCCTGGTGCGTGCCTGGCAGGAGAGGCCAGGTGGTCTCGTGACCCCATCTGATGGAGGAGTACACAGAGGCCCCTGGCTCCCAGGTCAGGGCTCCCTCGGGGGTGCAAAGTGGCCCTTACAAGCCAAGGTCGCCTGTTCCCAGCTTGAGAATACGTGAGCATGCCATTGAAAAGAGCTGGCTACTTTTTGCTTTTTCGAGTTATGGAGACATGGAGCCAATGGATGGTTCGCCTCACTGGTCGCTGGGATGTGGGTGGATCTATTTGCCACTTTATTCCCTGGAAGGGTTGGATGCATCTGAGAAGGGCTCACACTCGCCCCACAGACTGACTGTAATTTGTCATTTCTGCCAACAGAGGGCGATAAAAGCACATCAGAACCGCGGGTAAGCCCTCAACCCTGGAAACTTCAGACCCTACTTGACTGGTTCTTGCAACTGAGGGCATTGCCCATAGGCCAACTTTGAGGTCCCTGTGGGTGTCACAGGTGAGCTGCCCCTCAGGTTCTGGGCTTGTATTCTGTAGCCTTTGTTTCTGTTTTTTTTTTATTTTTATTTTTTGTTTCTGGCTTTTTTATTATACAAGGACAGTAACTCTTGTTGGCCCTGGTCCTATATATAGTACCTTGTGTCTTGGACACTTAAGCCCACATAAAATAAAATGGATATTGGCCGGGTGCGGTGGCTCACGCCTGTAATCCCAGCATTTTGGGAGGCTGAGACGGGTGGATCACTTGAGGTCAGGAGTTTGCGACCCGCCTGGCCAACATGGTGAAACCCTGTCTTTACTAAAAATACATTAGCAGGGTGTGGTCGTGGGCGCCTGTAATCCCACCTACTCGGGAGGCTGAGGCAGGAGAATCGCTTGAACCTGGGAGGCGGAGCTTGCAATGAACTGAGATTGTGCCACTGCACTCCAGCCTGGGCCACAGAGCAAAACTCCATCTCAAAAAAAAATAAATAAATAAAAGTAAATAAATAAGTAAAATAGGTAGACAAGATTGGTCTAGATTAGCAAGCACCAGAAATTCTGGAGGCAAATTCTTGCACAGCCCCTCCCCTGTGTGCTCCATGCCCCCAAGGGGCCCAGGCAAACACTGTTGTAGATTCTGGGCCACCTAGCTCCTAACACTCTGAGGCCCCCCTGGAGCTCCACGCCCCGCCTGGCCCAGTCCTGTCTGACTGCCCATTCTGAGTCCTGTGTTGGCTCTGGCTTAGAATGTCTTACAGGTCTAACCCGTTTTGGAGAAATTGCAAATTCCTGAGAGCTGGGTGGTCATGAAATGAACACAGAGCAGGGCGGGACACCTCCCCTCCATCCTGCCGGACGCCCCCACCCTCCCCACCTGCCTGGGCCCCGGGAGGTGGACCCCTGGCCTCCATCGGTGACCCTCATGCCCTCTGCTGCAGGTTCAGCCATGGGAGCACCAGCAGATCAGATGGAGGGAGGAGAGAGAGGCCAGGGTATTTAGTCCCCTGATTGCCACAGCTGTTCTTCTACTTAGGTCACAGCTGCAGCCACAGGGTCTCTGCATGCAGCCCTCTCTGTCTCCAGCTTCCAGGAACTGCTCCCTCCTCTCATCCTATGGGTCTGGGGTTGCAGTTCCTTGCTCTGGTAGCTTCAGTGTCCTACAGTGTCCCATACCCTCTCACCCCTTTGTTACCTGTCCCTTTATTAACTTCTCCTCAAATAATGACTCTGAATGTGCCCCCATTTCCTGCTAGGACCCTGAAGCACCTATGTTCTTCCTGGTCTCTATCTGCAGGGACAAGAGGGCTTTTAAACTTCCCTGGAGGAAGCTAGAACCAGAAGCTAGAACTCCTCAGGGAGTTTGACATGCAGTGTTTTCTGCTGTGCAAGGGGAGGCTGAACTGCCTCAGGATGCTGGTTGCCATTTTGTTTGACCTAATTTATATTTTCTGGTACTGAAAAAAAACTGGGGGTAGGGGCTGTTAAAAGGATCACAGGGTCGCATGATCGTGAGCTCAGACTCAGCATTACAGAAGCGGAGTGGGCTTTGGGTGGCCACCGGCTCTGACAAAGGACACAATTGTACATCAGGATCAAAGGGTCAGATTTGCTTCCGTGGGCACTAGTCCCAGGTGGTAACATTTTAATGGCTAAAGAGCAGAGCCAAATTTCCTACTGACATTCTTCTACTTAATGAAGTAGATAATATAAGTTATAAGCACATACATTTCCCACCAAAGCACCTAATACAGCTATTTACATTTTGAGTGGAAGAAAAAATCATGGGGAACAGAAACACTTTTCACTTTCCAGAACTGGTCCTTACAGGGATAAAAGGTCTGCTTTCACCACTCAGTTACCCAACTTCTGGACTTCATACACCAGCAAAATACCCGGGCTGGAGTGCAATAGCATGATCAGAGCTCACTGCAGCTTTGAACTCCTGGGCTCCAGCAATTCTCCTGCGTCAGCCTCCGGGGTACCTGGGACCACCACGCTTCACTATATTTTCTAGTTTTTATTTTGTAGAGATTGCAGTGAGGGGCGGGGGTCTCACCATCTTGCCCTGGCAGGTCTTGAACTCCTGGACTCAAGCAATCCTCCCCATTCAGCCTCCCAAAGTTCTAAGATTACAGGTGTGAGCCACCGTGGCTGGCCAAAATATATTTTTAAAAAGACAGGAAGAAAGGAAGGAAAGAAGGAGGGAGGAAAAAATGGGGCACTAACAAAGGGTTGTCCATTTCAAATTGTGTCAATTAAGGATATTGAAAGAAAACAGCCATTTTCCCTATGGTTGCTGAGGCTTCATTTTAGTTTTTTATTTTTTAACAGACAGAGTCTCACTCGTCCAGGCCGGAGTGCAATGGCACAATCTTGGCTCACTGCAATCTCTGCCTCCAGGGTTCAAGCAATTCTCCTGCCTCAACCTCCTGAGTAGCTGGAATTACAGGCACCCACCACCATGCCCAGTTAATTTTGCATTTTTAGTAGAGACGGGATTTCACCATGTTGCCCAGGCTGGTCTCAAGCTCCTGACGTCAGGTGATCCGCTTGCCTCGGCCTCCCAAAGTGCTGGGATTACAGGCACCAGCCACCGCGCCCAGCCTGATGCTTCATTTTAATAGGACATTTTATCACGCACCTTCCTCCCCTAGCCCTCCCCAGGTCAGAATAAAAGGCAGTCCTTGTCCTGCCTTCACCATATCTCTGTCTCCTGTCCAAGTGCTCATCAGCTGGAAGCCAGTATCCCACCCCAGGTACCTGTGCTGTGCACTGCCTGGAAGCCTTTCCTCTGCACTGAGGCATCCGAATAAAACCTGAGAAACATACTGCTGCCCGAAGCCACCATGGGGTCTGGTTTCTTGCTGCCGCAGAAACGGCCCAGGATGGGGGCCAGGCTGTCGGGCCCGTCGTACATTTCCAGGTGGTCATAGGCACATTCCTGGTGCTGCTCGATCTCAAATTCATTGAAAGTCTGGGGACGGAAGAGCAGAAAGTAAGGCAAGGGCCTGACATTCAGCCGGGGTGGGGGCCTCCTCTCCAGTTCTAGGAGAGGAAGGGGCGAGGCAGGGTGGGAGACTTCCAGTTGGCTGTACAGGGGGTGTGTGGCCATGGTGATGCTTGGGGACATCTGTAGAGAGGGTCTCAACCTCTGCCTTGCTTTTGGTCCAGCAGGCGGCCCTATGAGGTAGTTACATGAGCTACAATGACCACACTGCAGACGAGAGAGCAGGGGTTCAGAGAGTTTAAATGCTTGACATTTTGACAGCTATTAAGCGACAGAGCCAGGCTTCCCACAGCCCAAATCTGTCTTCCTTCCATCCCATCACACAGCTTCTCTCTCACTTAGGGCCAAGAGCCAGCAAGGGCTGAGTGCCCACTCTCTGTGTTGGCAGCTGTTTTAAATGCTTTACCAGTATCACCTCATTCAATCTTTACAGCCCTGTGATGTGTCTAATCCCCACTTTACAGATGAGGAAAGTGAGGCTCAGAGCTGCCAGATGAGTTGTCCAAGGTCTCACACTGGTAGAGCTGGGCCATGATCTAGCATTCTGGCGTCAGAGACCCTGCTGTTGACCTGTGCACTCCACTGCATGATCCTTCAGTACAAATGACACTGGTGAGGTTGTATGAGGTGCACGCTGCTCCGGGCAGCAGCTTCATGGTGGCTGACACTCGCTGAGTGTTTATTCCATGCCAAGTATTTATGGGCATTTTCTCACTTCTGGTGATCCTGGGAAGGAAGAGCTATTATTATTTCCAACATGCAGAAGGGGAAAATGAGTCTTAGAGAAGCTGGCTGACCTGCCCAAGCTCACGCAGCTGGAGACAGATGAAGCTGAACTTGACCCCCGCTAGCCTTCTCCAACCCCCACTGCTATCATTCACCAGGTTGTGCTGCCTCACTTCTCCCTGTTCCCCCTAAGGACTGTCCCCTAATGCTGGCCAGGGGCGCCCCACCATTCCAGCCTGCTTTTCAGCCCTGAATGCAGGCTCCTCGGGTGCTGGGTAGGTGGTCGACTGATGGCAGCCCCAGCGTCAAGGGAGATGGGATAAGGTGAGTGGGGATGGTGTCAGATGAAGACCTGGATCAAACGACAGAGCAGGGACACAGGACATTAGCTGGGGCGGGGGTGGGGGGCGGGGTGGTGCTCAATTCATCTCTGGCCTGGCAGCACGGAGATGGAGATTGGGAGGGGGAAACAGGACCAGCACGGCAATGCAGGCTTTCAGAAGAATGACTCCCACACACTAACGCACGTGGGCAGAGCTCTCCCGCCTGTGAGATAGGGGGCGCTGGAGCAAAGGTGGTAGGTAGAGACACTGGACAGGGGAGCAGTGGCACCAGGACGGCCATGCAGTGGAAGGGAGCCTTAAGCTCAGCAGGCAGGGAGCTCCCAGGAGGTCCATGGGGCGCCCTGTCGCCATCCACATGCAGCGAACACCACCAGCTTCCTTGAGAAGTATTCAACTCACATTCTACGGTAGCGAAAAGAGCTCAGTCAATATATCCACCATCCGTTTCCCGAGGAAACGCCTTTTGGAAACTACCAAGTGTGAGTATGAGCCTCGAGCAAACGCTTCCCGTTGTGCGTTTGCGCGCTCCCAACGCCAGAGGGCGCCTCCCCTGCGGTCCTCGGGGCTCTATGTTGCCATTGCGAACATTTCCCAGCAGATGGCGGTCTTGGAGAAGCAGTGCCTTTCCCTAAGGCGCTCTCCAGTTGATCCTCACTCAGATTCAAGGCTGACCCGTGACAGCCGCTCTTAGCAGAGCAGCAGTTTCCCCACGGGCGGCCCAGCATGTGAGCTGTCCGCTGGGAGCACCCTGTGGTCAGAGGCCCTGTCTTCAGCCCTCGACGCCCTGGGGGCCCATTCGCCTCTTCTGCTCCTCACTCATGGCTCTCACCAACAAACATCCTGCAAGTCCCTGCGCCATAGTCCATTGATCATGGACTTCTCCCTCTCTGTTCTCCTCCATTCTCCCTGAGTTATCCGTCCACCGTTCATAGGGTCAATCCTACTTACCTCTACAGTCAGAAAAACCCATTTAAAAAATGTCCGTCTGCCTGAAGTACAATACATTCTCCAGCTGGCAAAAGGGTTTCTTTATTCTCCAAAATGTGGGAGTCCCTCCCTGGGGGTTGAGAAATGAGACTCCTAGGAGATTCAACTCCCCTTTGAAATAACTGTGCAAACCACACATCATATACGTGAAAAAGACTTTAAATAAAGGCTTGGGGAGGAACTTTTAATTCAAGAGGGAATTTGCATAAAGAACTTAGTCTCCTATTACTAATGGAAAAACAAGTTGTAGAAAAAATATGAATAGGATTTTATTAGAGGAATTTGAGTAACAAAAACATATATATTTCCCTGTGCACTGACAGTCATGATTGTCCACAGAAAATTTCTGGAAGGATCCATAAGAATGTGTTCAGAGTGGTCATTTCTAGAGTGGAAATGGGGGCTCTGGGGTCTTTTGATTTCTATTTCCAACCTCCTGTACTGATTCATCTTGTTTTTAATCATGAGACTATATTATCTTGTAAAAAATTTAAAACTGGAAACAAGTGAATCTCAAACAGCACTGCAGATGTAGGTGGTGGATGCTGCCTCCTGCTGGTCCCACTGTGCCCAGGTGTGATCTATAGAGCTTTTGTGTGTTGTTTCTTTTAATCTGCACAACAGCCCGATGAAGTAAGCTTCATTAGTATCCATGTTTTGCAGATAATGAAACTGAGACCTGGAAATGTTGAGTCACCTCCCCCCAGTTACAGAGCTGGGAAGTGGCAGAGCAGAGACTCAAACGCACATTTGCCTGATACCCAAGTCCATGTTCTCAGTAAACTACAAAAATGACTCACGAGTTTCACCCTGTGGCCTGCAGTCGAAGAGATGTTCCAGGTACACTCCCTCCGGCTGGGGTATTTGTCAGGCCAGTTGGGGCTCGCCAGGGTCCCCTCTGCACTGCTGATCTTGTGTGCACAGCCAGCTGTGGGTGGCGGGGGGACACATACAGAGAGAGAAGTCATTCACTGTGGACAGCACGAGAAGGATTCTAGGGGGTTCTCCTCCCCTCTCTCCTGATTGTCTCAGGGTCTTTATCAAATGTGGGGTGGGGTGTCCTGAATCAGGTGTCCCCTGGCTCAGGGATGTGTTGGTTTACTTGCACTGGCTTTTCTGCCTTCCTGGCTGTGGCTCGGGGGCCAGGCTATCTTTCTATTCCTATCCACATTGCAGTTATCCCTGCAAATATGTTAAAAGCACTGGCAGTGGGGTCGGGTGGACCTCGACCCGTCTTGGTTCCGCCATCTGTGGGACTTGGGGCTGTTATGTAAGCTTCGGTGTCCTTATTTGTAAAAGGGTGCCACCCTAGTCGGGGTGATATGTGATCGAATGAGATAATGCATGGGAAAGGCTTAGGGCGTGCCAGCCCATGGTGAGTGCTCAGTGCATCTTGGCTAACAGAGGTCTGCTTCATCACTGCACCATCCATCCATAAGCTCCTTTTAGTTTTTCTCAGTGGTTTTATTTGGAGTCTACCAAGTGTGTCCTGGTGACAGTGCTATTTGCCAAGAGTGGTCCCACAACTCTTTCGATGCCTGGCATCTTGGCCAATAACTGGCATTTCTCTTCTTCTGTGTTGGGCACTGTGGACAGCATTTTCCATGCATCCTCTCCTTTAGTCCTTCTCACTTCCCAAATAAGAAAATAGCTTTGGAGAGGGACAGTGCTTTGCTGATAGGGGGCGGAGCTGGGACTCAAACCGGGCCTGGCTGGCTTTAAGGCCAGTGCTACCACTGCTTAGAAAGCACGGCGGGCTGTATCACAAACACAGAGGCTCCACGCTGAAGAAACTGGAGAGGCAGGTGAGGAGGGCCCGGGGGAGGAAGGGGAGGAGGCAGCTTTGAAGACGGTCCAAAGAGATTTGCCTCTGCTTAGTGCTACATCTGCTCTGCAGCCACACAGAGAACAGGCGCCCAGAGGGAGAGTGGCTCGGCTCCTGGGACATTTGCTCAGCTTCTGGGACATTTGCTCTGACACCCCCTGCCCTTGGGGTCAACCCACACAAACGCAGCCACTATTCAGGGGTGGGAACTTGGGAGAGTTGACCTCCCTCCTGTCCTCTCCCACACTGCAGGAGGCAAGCCTGGTCCTAGCCCGGGCCTGCCTCACAGGGGCTTGACTGTTCCTTCCCTGTTTGGTTCTTCCACCAGCCTCCCACCCAGCCCCTCCACCACCTGTGACCATGCCCTAGGGCTGGGCTTGGAGGGTGGCCGCCTCCTCCTGAAGACATGTCAGCGCCTCCTGTAACATTCTAGGCAGATCCCGACCAGATTCTGCGGCACCCAGCCAAACCTCCTAACTCCAGACTGTTTATTCCAGAGATCGGGCTGTGTGTCTTCCACATCTTCCTCCACCCTTGACTTCCTTTGCAGGGCTTCACAGCTGGGGCCAAGGCCTGGAAGCCTGTGTGTTTGTCATAAGTGTTCAAACTCCCTTCACTGGGCAGGGTAAGAACAGAAGGAAGGCTTTTTCCAGAATGACTGGACCGTGGACAGTAAAAGCCACCTGGCCCTGAAGAATTTCCTACAGTGAATGGAGAATGGAGCAAAGCTTTTCAAATCCTATTTTCCTATGGGACCTGCATATGGTAATTAATATATGACAAAGACATAAAAGGCTGATCTTTATTGATGTTTGAGGGCATAATATGTGTCAGAGAGTCTGAAATACTTTGTTTTAATCCTCACAAAAATTTTAAGAAGGAGGTTATGTTTAGACCCTTTTAACCAAAGAAAAAACTGAGGCTCAGATAGGTTAAATAGCTTGCCCGAGGTCACACAGCCAGGGTACGGCAGAGCCAGGATGTAGACCTAGGTATTCAGATTCCAGAGCTTGCAGGCTTAATCATTTGCAAAAATAACTCAGCCTACAGCACCTGAGGCCCCCAGGTGCCCCCTGAAGGAGTGAGATGCCCTGGGGAAAACTTCTCTCCCACAAGGACAGCAGTGGCTGGGCCTCAGCTCAGAAAGTGGAAGAGCTCCTCACCCCAGCCCCTCATTCATGCACATGCTCACAGGGGTTTGGGGTGTGGCGAAGGTCAGCCCACCCCCCAACAACCGGAGGTCCAGCCTCACCCTCTTTGCAGTCGTGCCCGTTCTCGTGGAGCCGGTAGCCGTTCCTGCACCTGCACAGGTAGCTCCCAAAGGTGTTGGCGCATTCGTGCTGACACCCGCCATTGTCCTTGGCACACTCGTCCTTGTCTGGGGAGATCAATCAACTCTTCTAAGAGGAGACGCCAACTTACGAACGTCCCTCAGGGCTCAGAATCCCACTTAAAAACGGCCTCCTCCAGGAAGCTTCTCTGATTGCTCCCCTTCCCCTCTGACTGTTCCCTCACTGGGGGAGTGAAGCGGGAACGTCTTCACCTCAGATTTCTTGCATATCTACTTGTTTCATTTTCCAAGCACTTGGCCCTGGTATGTGTTGGATTCTTCAAGTACTTTTTCTATGTTCTCTGGCCCTGCTCCCTGCTCAAAACAAGGAGCTCCCTGAAGGACAGGCTAGTATTAATCACAGTAGTAACAATAATGACAGTAATTCCTACTTACTGAATGTTTACTATGGAACAGGCACAGTCCCAAGCGCTCAATGCATTATCTAAGTTAATTCTCATCCAACCTTAGGAGGGAGTTCTCTATCTGCCAGTCTTTATAAGTAAGGAAACTGGCCGGGCGTGGTGGCTCACGCCTGTAATCCCAGCACTTTGGGAGGCCGAGGCGGGTGGAACACCTGACGTCAGGAGTTCAAGACCAGCCTGGCCAACATGGAGAAACCCTGTCTCTACTAAAAATACAAAAATTAGCCAGGCGTGGTGGCGCAGGCCTGTAATCCCAGCTACTTGGGAGGCTGAAGTAGGAGAATTGCTTGAACCTGGGAGGCGGAGGGTGCGGTGAGCCGAGAGCACGCCAGTGCACTCCAGCCTGGGCAACAAGAGCGAAACTCCGTCTCAAAAACAAAACAAAACAAAAACAAGTAAGGAAACTGACTCTGAGAATGGCTAATGTGACCAAGGTCACTCAGTGAGCAAGCATCCTCTATGGCTGACCCCGAGGCCTGGGCTCAAGTGCCACGACTCCACACCGCCCTCTGCACGTGGAGAAGCTGGACACACAGCAGAGGGCCAGCCCTACCCCACCACTTCCAGCTCTTGTGGCCATAGACAGTTCCTGCCCTCTGTGCCTCAGTTGCCTCTCCTGTAAAATGGAGACAGTAATGGTATCCTCACTTCACAGGTTGTTGGGAGGGGCAAATTAATTAAAGCAGCACCCAGCCCACAGTGTTAGCTGCATAATTATTATGTGAGAACTCAGGTGCTGGCCCTTGTTACGCTTGTGGTCCTTGTATGCAGCCCTATCCTAACCCAGCTTGTTCCTGCATTTACCGAAGATCAGCCTCCCTCCCCTGCTTCCCTGCCATCACCGGAATGACTTTAGGGGTCAGCCCTGTCTTCGTCCACTCTCTACACCCTCTTGTTCACCATGGTTAATGTCTCCTCGAACACTGTATTTTACCTGCTTATGTCATCAGGACAAGTAAGAGCCCTTGTAAGACCCTTTAAGAATGCAGAAGAGACGCCCGGTGCCATGGCTCACACCTGTAATCCCAGCACTTTGGGAGGCCGAGGCGGACAGATCACCTGAGTTCAGGAGTTCGAGACCAGCCTGACCATGGAGAAACCCCGTCTCTACTAAAAATAGAAAATTAGCTGGGCGTGGTGACACATTCCTGCAATCCCAGCTACTCAGGAGGCTGAGGCAGGAGAATCACTTGAAGCCAGGAGGCAGAGGTTGCAGTGAGCTGAGATCGCGCCATTGCACTCCAGCCTGGGCAACAAGAGCAACGCTCTGTCTCAAAAAAAAAAAAAAAAAAAAAAGAATGCAGAAGAGATGAAGCCGCCCAACACCCAGCACTGACCCACCTCTCTCCCTTCCTTCCTCTGAGTCCTTCTGCAGATGACTCATAGGTCCTCACTCCTGCTCTGACCCTCTCCCCTGTGCTGTGGCTTCCTATTGCAAATGTGGAGCTGCCCTGCCTGTGATGCTCTGCTACATCCTCCGCTGAGGTGGCTCCTGCCCGCCCTGCTGCCCTGGTCCTCCAACTGCCTGGCCTTCCCAGCTCCACACTGCCTGGCATGGCTTGGTCAGATGACAAGTTTAGGCTTCCCCTGCTCAGGAACCTGCAAACAGTCCCCGTTCCTGTTTCATCAGGTCCCTACTCTTCAGCCCAGCGTTTAAGGTCCTTCATGACCTGGCCTTCCCCAACTTGGCCCATCTTATGCCCTTGGCTTCCCAGCATGGGTCAGGGCTCCATGCAGGCCCATCTCATCTCTGTCTCTGTGCTCTGTTGAGACCTTAACCTGTGCTCACACTGCTTCCCCTACTGGGGACCCTGTACTTTCTCTCTAATCATCCTATCTCCACCTCCATGTCTTCCATCCCTTAAAACCTGGCTTAGACCACCCCAAATCCTGCAAAAAGGCTTCACCCACTGCTCCAGGCAACCATGGGCTTCTCTTCTTCAAACATTAGCCCTTGTTGCAGCGGCCCACCCCACAGTGCTCCAGGCTGGGACTCAGCAGGGTGTGTATCCCTGGCCTCCCTAGCTGGCATGTAAGCTTGTCCAGGGTTGAGAGCACTTCCCTGGCAACAGCTCTGAGGCTAGTAGTGTACTGTGCCCACAGCAGACACTCAAAACAAAAAACCTGACTTGCTCAATGAGAGACTGCCAAAAACACCCATGGAGACGGAACTCTGGGTATGTATAAAATCAACAAATAATTTGGTCGTTTCTATGCCAAGCATTAAGACTATAAAGATAACCAAAATACAGTTCCTGCTTGTAAACAGTTCACACTCTAATATGACGTGACATGCAGGACCTGCTATACAATTTACAAGGCTCAGCACAAGATTTGAACTTTGTTTAAATACTATTATGAATTTCTTTTTTTTGAGATGGAGTCTTGCTCTGTTGCCCAGGCTGGAGTGCAGTGGCACAATCTCGACTCATTGCAACTTCTGCCTCCCTGGTTCAAGCGATTCTCCTGCCTCAGCTTCCCGAGTAGCTGGGACTACAGGCGCCCGCCACAACGCCCAGCTAATTTTTTGTATTTTTAGTAGAGACAGGGTTTCACCATGTTGGGCAGGATGGTCTCGATCTCTTGACCTCGTGATCCGCCCGCCTCGGCCTCCCAAAGTGCTGGAATTACAGGCGTGAGCCACCGTGCCCGGCCATGAATTTCAAGATGATGACAACAGAACCTCAAACCAGTGTGGGCCCTTCTGAGAACAGGCTCTGTGCTATTGCACAGGCCACAGGCCCACGGAGCTGGCCCTGGTGACAAGAGCCCTAATGGAAGGAAAGGAGAGAGTGCTGTGGGAACACTGGTGAACGAACAATCAATGTGCTAAGAGGGTGCTATGGCTTGAGTGGGTCCTCCAAAGTTCATGTGTTATAAACTTAATCCCCAATGCAACAGTGTTGAGAGATGAGGCCCTTACATGTGATTAGGTCATGAGAGCTCATTATTGCAGCAGTGGGGTCCTGATAGAGGATGAGTTTGACCCCCTTGCTGCTCTTTCTCACCCATGTGGTGCCTTTCACCCTGTTATGACACAGCAAGAAGGCATTTGTCAGATGTTCCCCCTTGATTTTGAACTTCCCGGCCTCCAGACTCATGAGCCAAATACATTTCTCTTCACTATAAATTACCCAGTTTGTGGTATTCTGTGATAGCAGCACAAAACGGACTAAGAGGAATAAGATGAAGCCAGAGAATGTTACAGAAAGTGGCATTGTGGGTCTTCAGGTTGAAGTAGGAGTTTCCTAAGTAGCGAAGGAAGAAGGATATTCCAGAGAGAGGGAAGGCCACAGGGGCGGGGGTATGAAGAGAGAATGGGATGGGGGTTTAGGAGTAGAGGGTGATGGCATGGGGGAACAGTGTGGGGATTATTCGTGATCACAGCACAGGGCACCTACAGAGGGAATGTGGCTGGTAGGACAGGTGGGCCAAGACAGTGTCCAGCATCAGATGCTGTACTAAGGAGAATGGGCTTTTTCTACAGCTGCTGTACTGGCCCTGAGGATTCATGGCCTTCAGTTTGAGAAGTAGGGTCCAGTGTGCTACTGTAGTGGGTTTAGTACTGTCTTCCCAAAATTTCTGTTCGTGTGTGATATGGTTTAGCTGTGTCCCCACCCAAATCTCATCTTGAATTGTAGCTCCCATAATTCCCACGTGTTGTAGGAGGAACCCGCTGGGAGAGAATTGAATCATGGAGGCGGTTTCCCCCATACTGTTCTTGTGGTAGTGAATAAGTCTCACAAGATCTGATGATTTTTTAAGGGGTTTCCCCTTTCACTTGGCTCTCATTCTCTATTGTCTGCAGCCATGTAAGACATGCCTTTGCCTTCTGCCATGATTGTGAGGCCTCCGCAGCCATGTGGAACTATGAGTCCATTAAACCTCTTTTTCTTTTTCTTTTTTTTTTTTTTTTGCCCCAAGATGGAGTCTTGTTCTGTAGCCCAGACTGGAGTGCCGTGGCGCGATCTTGGCTCACTGCAACCTCTGCCTCCTGGGTTCAAGCGATTCTCCTGCCTCAGCTTCCCGAGTAGCTGGGATTACAGGCACACACCACCACCCTCGGCTAATTTTTTTTTCTTTTTTTGTATTTTTAGTAAAGACAGGGTTTCACCGTGTTGGCCAGGCTGGTCTAGAACTCCTGACCTCATGATCTGCCTGCCCCGGCCTCCCAAAGTGCTGGGATTACAGGCGTGAGCCACCACGCCCAGCCTAAACTTCTTTTTCTTGATCAATTACCCAGTCTCAGGTATGTTGTGAAAACAGACTAATACAATGTGGAACCTTAGAATGTGATCTTACTTGGAAATAGGGTCTCTGCAGAAGTATTAGTTAAGAATCTTGAGATGAAATCATCTTGGATTTAGGGTTGATCCTAAATGACTGGAATCCTTCTAGGAAAAGGAGGGGACACAGAGACCCAGAGAAGAAGGAAACGCATGTAAAGATGGAGACACAGATCAGGATGATGTAGCTACAAGGCAAGGAATGCCGAGGATGGCTGGGAGCCACCACAGACTAGGAAGAGGCAGGGAGGAATTCTGCCCTAGAACCTTCCGAGGCAGCATGGCCCTGCGAACCCCTGGATTTTGGAATTCTGGCCCCCAGAACTGCAAGAATAAGATTCTGTTGTGTTAAGCCAACCAGTTTGTGGTAATTTGTTATGGCAGCCCTAAGAAACAACACAGTCACCAGTAGATATATTTTAAAAGCCCTGGATCCAGGCACGCCCCCTCCAAGGCAGCCATACCTGGAAGGCTACAGGAGGAGGCAGAGAGAGAGAGGAGAGGGCCAGGGACCCCAGAGCCTGGAGTCTGCAAAGCCGCCTCACCTGCACTGCATCAGCCTCACCTCCGAACCCACGTACCTGAGAAGAAGTGGGCCCTGAAGCCGCGCTTGGAGACGGTGTTGTCGGACTTGAACTCCACACGCATGTTGTTGCTCTGCGAGGTGATGACCTCGGGTGTCTCAGAGCCACAGAACTTGCCGTGCAGCTTGGCGTCGGGGGACAGGCCGCTGCGCACCTCCACAAAGTCGTACTTACAGACCTGCAAGGGAGCATGATGGGGAGCTGCCCAGAGTCCCTGTCCCCACCCCAGACCCCCAGCACACTGCTGCACCTGCTTCCTGAGCACCTCACCCTGCCATGTGGGGGGGTCCCTTGACTCTTGCTATGCTGGTTATTTGAATGAGCTCCAGAGGGCACAGGGGGACCCCTGGCTCTCCCACTGAGGCTCTGTGGGGGCGCCATCGCCTGGCACGAGAGCACAGGGCTCCCAAACCTGCATCCCCATAACTGTGGCCTTGCTTTAATTTATTGTATACATTAGGCTTCCACACGAAATTTTGCTTGAAGAAAGGGCCCCACTGCTAGAAGGAGAAGAAAAAGAAGAAGAGCCAGGGAGAAGCAAGAGGAAGAGGAGGAGGAAAAAGCTGCAAACCACCGACAGAATCTGACTCCCTTTTCAGGCAGGGAAACAAGCGCAGAGGGAGAAAGACATTTGTCTGAAGTCACATAGCTCAGCAGTGGTGGAGCTAGGACTAGAATTCATGTTCCCTGCTATAGCAATGATTTTTCTCAAAAAGAACTTCACTGCTAAGGGGTCTTATCAATTGCTTTCAAGGATTATTTTTTTCTGCACAATATTCACTTTGGGGTGACACCCTCATGGGCACCATGGCCTCCGTGCATTGGGGTCATCAGCATTGAGGTCTCCTTCCAGTACCCCAAAGGCCTGACTCTCAGGTGAGAGCTACACCAGTACTATTCTCGAGGTGAGACCCCCAGCTCAGCTGGGGTGGGGAGGGGAGTCTCAGGAATGGCTTGTGTGCCCCAGGGTGTCCCTCCAGCCTAAAGTGCAGATGTAAGCATGTGTGACTAGCACTCCAGCTGTAGGGCACTGCCTGGACCTCAACTGACTTGATCATCCATGATCATTGGCTGAAAGAGGAAACAGGCTGTCTGTAGCGTCCTTGTCCCTAGCTAATCCTCACCCCCTTTATTTGCCTCAGCTGCACACCAGCTCCCCAGATTCACAGCCCAGTTCTGACACCTCCCACCCCCAATACCTGCCTCCTCCACTCTTGTTCTGATTCTCCTTGGATGTATCAGCGACAAGAGGGCCGGAGGTGCTCTATCTGCAGAGGGCGTGCGGCAGAAACTGCTGGAGAAAACCTTCCCCCAGATTCTGCTAGTGCAGGCCCTATGACTGTCCAAAGCTCCAGTTCCAACACAAGCCATCTCCCTGCCCTCCCAGCCCCTCACTGGTTTCCAGCTCCAAGTCACCCCTCAATACACTCCCCAATTAATCAGAGCACAGAGACATACGTCATTGCCTTCCAGTTCAAACACTTCAAACTGAAGGGAGATCCGGTACTGAGCGGGGGCCACCACCTGCCAGACACAGTTTTTGTTTGTGGGATACTCCTTCGGCCACCCAGGGCTGGTGATGGTTCCATTCAGCTTGGTAATGAAACCGCCACAGGCCACTGCACGGGGGAAACAGAAACAGGATTTCATTTAGCTTTGGCTCCAAGTGACTGTGATTTCCCACCAGGAGCAACAGAGCCCTGCTGTTCTGTAATGATAATTTTTAAATGTTAGACAATTTGAATTGATTAATTCAGTGTCCTTTGTTCAAAACTATGGTTTCAACTGAATATTTGAAAGAAAATATTGGGGATAAATCTTTACTGCTTTTAAAACAATGAATGCATTTGTGCTTTCCTTTCACCCAGTGACAGAGCTGGGGGCTCCCTATGGCTTGGGCCAAAGGAGAATTAGAAATGTTTGCAGCAAGCTACTCACCATACCAAGCTTGCATGAACAAGCAGACTCATGCACGTGGACAAGGAAGACAGAACACAAGCCAGGTAGAAACAGGATGGATGAAAAGTGCTATTGGTTGAGTCACTGGAGTGCTCACGGTTTTTCTTTGCTTTTGTTTCCTACTTTAATAATCATGTCAATTTCACACAATCATAGAAGAAAATAAACCTCGATTTCAGTCTCTAGGGCAGGGTATATGTAATTTGGGCAGTTTTCTGACAGTTGTGACAGCTGTCAGGCTGTTTCTCCTTCTGGGAAGTAGGTGGGTCTTCCACCATGTCTGCCCATTGCCCATTGTTCCTACACAGCCAGCCGGTTGCCCCATCTCTGCCCCAGTTCCCCAAAGACTTGTCCCATATCCCCTCTCATTCCAGCTTGGCAGGTCCCACACCAACCTTCACACATCTTCTTATCAGCGGCCAGCTCGTAGCCAGGGTCACAGGCACACTTGTAGCTGCCCAGCGTGTTCACACAGCGATGCTCGCACCCTCCGTGATCTGGCCAGGAACACTCATCCACCTCTGGTGGGAAGGAAGGCGACTCCAGTTACATCGTCATGAAGCCTCCTGGCTGTTCCCAACCCTTCCGCATCCCAGTTTCACCAGCAAGTGTCCTCTAAGAAACAGGAGCCACTCCTGGTGACCACCTCCCAAAGAGTGCTGTGTCCACCTCTGAAAACCAGGCAGCAGGGACAGTGAAGGCAGGACACCGACAACACAAGCAGGAACCTTGTTAGCCGGGGTGGGCTCTGCCAAGAGGAGGTCAGGCCTGGAGAAGTGAATTCTTTGAGGTGTTCAGTCATCGGTCATTTGAGACTTTAAAACATCTCACAGCATTCCATACCAAAGACTTCATCCATTTTAAAGCCATGGAATTGAGGACTTCCCCTTCCCCCATAAATATGCAACTTCTTAGAGACATTAAATAAAGGGTGAAGACAAAGAACACATTGCTAGATGAAGATGTGTCAGTATTCTCTATACATTAGAGACAGAATGTGTTATTTAGCAGTTTTAGAAATACTCTTAAGAGAGGTATACACAGGGAGATATTCAAGGTTACAGAAAACACGGGCTCTTAGGTTAGCCAATGCTGCCAGGAAAACCTGCAGGAAGAGGCCATAATGAGGCTGAGTTAGCAGGTGCTTTGGATGGGATTTGGCACCAAGTGCCTAGTGATGCGTTTGGGGCGACTAAGTAACAGCACATAGCATGCCATCGTTGTTGTTCAGAGGGAGAACCTGGAAGTCATTAGAGACGCTCCCCAGACACATTAACCCATGTGCCACTGAAGAAAGGAAAAACCAAAACAAATATTAGAAATAAAAGGAAAAATATGATTATCTGTTGCCAGCCATAGTACATCTAGCCCTGAAAGACAGCATGTGGGATGTGGCCTAGCAGAGCTAGAGAGGAGTCTAGTGAAGGGACGACTAAACACTGAGACATCTTTTTCAAAAACGTTGAACCTAGGAAGAAGAAAGGATGTGGGGAGAAGCGGGAAGGAGAGTTCTGGTCCACAGCACCACGGGAGGTAGGAACACAGTAAGTATAAAGTTGTTGGCCATATACGGTGGCTCACGCCTGTAATCACAGTACTTTGGGAGGCTGAAGTGTGTGGATCACAAGGTCACAAGTTCGAGACCAGCCTGGCCAATATGGTGAAACCTTGTCTCTACTAAAAATACAAAATTAGCCGGGCGTGGTGGCGCATGCCTGTAACCCCAGTTACTCGGGAAGTTGAGGCAGGAGAATAGCTTGAACCCGGGAGGCGGAAGTTGCAGTGAGTTGAGATTGCGCCATTGCACTCCAGCCTGGGCGACGGAACAAGACTCTGTCTCAACAACAACAAAAATAGTTGTTCACCAAATCTTGAAATAACTCATTATATATAAACTAAAAGAAATTAAGAGCATCTATGAGTTGGTAAAGACCTGGAAAGATACCCAGTCTTGCCCTCTCAGGCAGGAATCCTTTCAATAATGTTCTGGAGAGATGGCTCTTCAGACCCTGCTTGAAAACTCCCAGAGACAGGACTCTCACTACTTTTCAAAGATATTTATTGGGTTAAAACTCTCACTCCTTACAACTTCCAATCCACGGGTCCTCAGAAAACACAAACCCTCCAGTCATCCAGCTTCCCTCTCCCCTGCCCTTTTCCAACTCAAATATACCCCTTTTCTTCCAATCTTCCTTGTCTGTGATGCATAGACTCTTCATCAACCTGGCTGCACTTCACTGAGTAAAGGAGTGTTTGTAAATATCCCATCATTTCACATAGTGGACAGTGAACTTAGGTAACTCTAATGGTGATGTATTCTTGGGCTCAATAAAAGCTTATATAAATTAATCGCTTGTTAGGGGAGATTGGGTTTAGAAAGACAATCCAGGCAGGGAGTTGAAGTTGCCCATCGCCTCAAATAAATGTAAGTCTTAAGTATGCTAAAATAGTAACAAGTGTGCAGTTACTTTTTTTAATCACCTTACCATATTGAAAGTACTTTCATAGACATTTGCTAAAAAGTATAGAAAGAAGAAAATAGTTGACAAAAAGTAGCGGAAAGAGTCCAGGCTTTAAAGTGAGTCAGACCTAGGGTGGATCCTCCAGCAGATCTTCCTCCAATAAATGGGATGACTGCTTGTGATTTAGCCTCACTGAGGCTCCCTCCTGCTTTAAAGTGAGAATGATAATATTTGCTTTTAGAGTTGTGACGACGAAAATGCTGCATGTGAAGTACCCAGCATACAGACCATCGACACACAGAAGCCATCATGATAGACAGCAGCAGAGTTGCTTTCAAACTTCCAGTGAGTAGAGAGAGACCGTGATGGGGCAGTGAAAAGATAAGGTTATCTGGGCATACCTGGACCAGGTGGGAGTGGAGCAGTGCAGGCCTGAGGAGGGAAGGGAGACGAGGCAAGAACAGAAAGAAGGAAAATGCTTCAAGGATGGGCCAGTGGAGGAAGATGGATGGGCAGGAGGGCAGCACAGCAGAACTCAAGACACTGGCTGGGGGACCTACTGAGGAGGCAGAAGGAAACCGAGGAAGGAGCCCATTGGGAGAGACAGATAGACAAAGGACCAGGGCCGGGGGCAGAAGGAAACCGAGGAAAGAGCCCATCGGGAGAGACAGATAGACAAAGGACCAAGGCTAGGGGCAGAAGGAGACTCTGATATCAGAAGACGCTGTGGTTGTGGGCAGGACACATAGGCAAGAAAGAGGCGCACAGAGGAGCAAGTGTCTTGGCGCCATCTAGCCAGGTGAAAGGAGAGAGCCCAGTGGATGGACTTGGGCCAAAAGCAAAGAAAATGTAATTCCTCCAGAGACTAGAAGGTAAGGTGCTTGGCCTTGGGAGGTAGATGAAAGGCATGCTTTTACACCTGAGCTCTCTCTAGCAAGAGGTATGAGATGTTTGGCCAGTTGCAGCCCTGCTTCAGCCTGGCTGGATGGCACAGAGATGCATGGGGCCTCCCACTGTGGTAAAGCAGCACCTGTTCCAAGCCCACAGGCTCATGCTTGCTCTGGGCTGCAGAGGCAAAGGCCAAGGCCAAGCCTCCCAGAAAAATCTGGGAGAGCGTGGGAGTAGAAGAGACTGGAAACAGGGCTCAGCTTAGCATAGCAGGAGCTCTGGAGTCTTCTCATGGTCCAGGTGGAATTAGTGAAAGAAGGAAGTAGTTAGATGATGAGATGGCTCAGGCAGGATCCCAAAAATTGTTTCAGGGAAAGTTAAGGAAAGGGAAGGCAGAGCACATTCTTAGGCTTTTAAAGAAATCCCTTGAAGGAAGCCAGTCCCCTTACGAAGCCCTTCATGGTGACCTATCAGCACTGGGATAGGGGATGGAGGGATCAAGGTGGGAATCCTTTAATTCTTTATGTGGGGGCATAGGACCAAAATGGCCCTGCCATCCCTTGAGCACTGCTGCCTTCTCCTAAAAAACCCAGAATTGTAAGGTGCTCTGCTTGCTGCCGGCCAGTAGGCTCTGAGAGGGGCTGCCATCTGGCACCAGAAGGGGGTGCAGAGGCCAACTGGCACCCTGGCCAGTGTCAGGTGCCAGCTGGGCCCTGGGCAGAACGCCTGCCAACTGGCACCAAAGCAAGAGCTTCTTTGGCTTGCTCCAGCTCTTCTGCTGGACCTTTGAGCTCCTCTCCCAGCTTCTTTCACTGAAGAAGTTCTGATACACGTGCTAGGAACTTTGTGTTCACAGGACATCTGACTGATGGACTTGCTGGGAAAAGGCTGGGCTGGGGAAGCTGGCTGGGCATAGTCTCCTGACCTTCTCGGTCTGATACGGCAGCCCCCAGCCACACATGGCTACTGAGCACCTGAAATGCAGCTGGTCCAAGTGGAGATGTGCCATGAGCATAAAACACATGCTGGATTTCCAAGACTTAGTATGAAAAACATAAGATCTCTCATTAATACTGTGTATATTGATTACATATTAAAATGATATTATTTTGTACCTTACAGTAAATAAAAATATCATTGAAATTAATGTCACTGGTTTCTACTTTCTTGTAAGGCAGCTGCCAGCAAATTCAAGGGCACCTATGTGGCTCCTGGTTGTGCCTCACATCCCATTTCTGTTGGACAGTGTTGCACAAAGCTGTGGTCTCTCACCCACTCTTCTTCCGGAGAGCCTTGCAAAGGAGGCAGAGCAGGCAGCAGGATGCCCACTCTACCAACAGGGCAACGGAGCCCATTCATTCATTGATCTAGCCATTCTTTCATCGCTTACTAGGTATTTACTGAGCCTACTGTGTGCCAAGCACTGGGACCACAGTGAGGAGCAAAGCAGGTATGAGCTGTCGCAGAAAGGAAAGCTGATCTGCAAAAGAGTGGCTAGCTAGCAGGCAACAAGGGACCAGCACTCCAAACTCCACTTGCCACGTCCAGAGCCCTTTTGCCTACACCCCTGTGGTACTGGGAAGGTGGAAAGGTGATCAGTGTCAGAATCGAATCACAAACACTAAGGAAAAATTCCACTCCCTTCACATTCCTTCCCTGTGGTTTTCAGGTCTCCTTATTGGAAAGAGAGTGGACTGTGGAATCCTACAGATCTAGATTCCAGTTCCAGCCCAGCCATGTTAGGAATTCAGCTTCCTCAACTGGAAAACGGGGGCATTAATAATTCCTACCAGGGGACTGTAATGAAGAAAAGCGAGAAAACCTAGATGTCCTTTCCCTGATTTAATAGGTCTAGATGAGGTTTCCGTTAATCCTGATTCCTACTTTAAGATTCATGGTCAAGGTCAATGGTGTATATTTCTTCTTTTCTAAATGTTGTTCTCTGCAGTTGTCTTTACCATAAAAAAGTCAAGCTGAGTCTGTGCACTAAGTTACTTTGGGTGGGCCTCAATCCACACTTTGACAGGCATCTGAAAAGATGTTTGCAAATTGAAATGCCCTCCAAGTAGGACACTGGGTAACCTGGGCCCCGTGGCAGACTGAGTCTCACAGCCTCCACCGAGGTCCACACCCACACGGCAACGTCATCATGCATTTGCTGCTGATCTCCTTCACCACCTTGAGCACTTGAGGACAACCATTGTGTGCTTTCCTCGGCGTCTCCAGCCCCAGCACCAACACATTAACTGATGAATGTTGAATGCACGCTAGATGGGGAGGAGGGAGAAGGTGGCATCTTCTAACCAGCAAATGGAGCCGGCTATCATGGTTACTTGAGCAGGTCCAGGCACTTCCTCCGTCTCTTACAAACCAGTTTAGCATCAGAGAAATACCTTCCATTGCCCTGACTGGCATCTCCAGCAAGTTTTCCATAAAAAAATCAGGAGGTCCAGTTAAATTTGACTTTCAGATAAACCATCAATCACTTCTCAGCACAGTATGTGATCTTTGGGACATATACTGAAAAAAAAAAATCATTCTTTACCTAAAATTCAAATGTAACTGGGCATCCTGCTTTTTTTTTTTTTTTTTTTTTTTTTTTTTTTTTTAATTTCCTAAGCCTGACAAGCCTAATCTCCAGCTTTAGCTGGTACTCTCAAAACTGCATTGCTGACCACCAGCAGCATCAGCAATGAGGTGTGGATGGTCAGTAGTTACCAGTTACCCCCTGGAATAGAGTTCCAGCACCCAACTTACAGAACCTGGGGTGGAAGTCAGGGGAAGAGAAGGCCAAGAGGACTAGAAAAAATAGAATTAGAATGACAATCTCATAATCATTCATGATATGTGCTAGGCAGAACAAGGCCTTCCAAAGCTGTCTACAGCTTGGCCTCTGCAACCTGTGAATATGTTACCTTAATGTAAGATTCTGCAAGTGTGGTTAAATTAAGGATCTTAATTAGGTGAAAGAAGGACTCTGCCAGTGTGGTTAAATGAAGGATCTTGGAGACGAGGAGATTCTCCTGGAGTATCTGGGTGGGCCCAATGTCCACACCAGGTCCGTGTAAGGGAAAGAGGTAGAAGGAAGATAGGGTCAGAAGGAGGAGATGTGCGGACAGGAGCAGAGATCTGAGATGCAGCAGAGAGAACGTGGCATGAGAATGACACACTGGCCATTTCTGTCTGGCTTTGACTGTGGAAGAGGACCATGAGCCAAGGAATTCAGGCAGCTCCTAGAAGCTGGAAAAGGCAAGGAAATAGATTCTCCCTTAGAGCCTCAAGAAGGAATGCAGCCCTGTCATCCCCTTGATTTTATTCCAGTGAGACCCATGTTAGACTTCTGACCTCCACAACTGTAGGATAATAAGTGTGCGTTGTTTCAAGCCACTAAGCCGTGGTAAATTGCTGCAGCTGGAATAGGAAACCAGTCCATCACAATAGCAAGAAGAAATTGTCGCATCGGCTTTTTCAGAGAGAATAACCACCTCAAAGATTCCTTCCTTAGCAAAGACAATTAATGGGACTAAATATTACACTGGGTGTATTCACTTGCACTATTCCATTTTCTTCTGATGACAACCTTGCAATCATCTGGCAGCATTGTCTCTCCAGGTAGAGAGACTGGAGCTTGTGCAACAGAAGCTATGCAACTGGAGAAATCATGCAACTTGCTTGAGGCCACCCAGCCGGTGTCACTGCTGCCAAGTCAGACAGAGGCCGCCCCAGGCTGGGAGACACCAGGCATGTGCAGGCTGGGCGAGGGAGGGGTGGGGGCTGTGAATTTCCAGGCATCTCAACCAAGGCTGTCATATCTTCCCTGTGCAATCACAAGCTGACCTGCTTTCAAAATACACTTGCCATGGTCTGGCTTTTTTTGTTTTGTTTTGGCTTAAGAAGCAACTCAAGTTTTGTCTCCAATCCTTCAGCGCCAACATGATTCTTCCTCTGCTACTGTTTGGGTTTTGCTCTTCCCCGATGCTTCAAAATAGGAAAAAATGACAGCCCCACCCCTTGTTTGTCACTTGCCAGCTTTTAAAGTGCCTCCACAGCCATCCTTTCTTTGGGGCTTCACAATAATTGCTTAGGTACAATGGGCAGATGTCCTTTCTATTTCACAGAGAGGAAAACTGAGGCTTCAGTAAGGACGAATGGCTGCCTGCTCTGGGTGACACTGCAGAAGTGGGTTCTTCTGACACCCAGGCTGTTCACGTAGAACCTGGGAGGTCTAAGATGGGGCAGAAAGGGAGAAGGGGAGCAAGGGAGGGACTGGGATTTCTGTGCTGGCTCAGCCAGGAGTCCTAGGAGAAGGGGGAAGAGGAGAAAGCAGCCTCTGGGCAAGCACAAGTTGTGGGGGGGCTGGGGAAGTGGGGTCACTGCTTAAGGGGCAACAGCAGCAGAGGACCGAATGTCTCTACTCACGGGCTGCTGCTGTGCTCCTGGGCGCCCAGGCCCAATGCAGCAGGGAGCAGCCATGCTTCCCTCTTAGGGTGTGGTCTTCAGGGCTTTCAGGGGCCTGACGGCAGAGAATGAGGACCTGCCCATTCAAAGGAGGCTTGGAAGCTGGCTCTTCCGGGGCCAGGAAAGCTGGGTCTGCTCGTGCCATTCTGGGCCTGTTTCCATCAGGACCCTACAGAGCAGCAGGTCCCCAGGGCAACATGGAAATTTGTTCCCAGAGTGCCACCTCTTATTCTCCTCCCGACCCCCATCATGTGGGGGTAAGCATGTAGTCTGGGGGCACTGACGCTCCAGGAGCTGAACACCTGGGTTGCCTCTCTGGCCCACATCAAGGAACAGTGGCAATGTTGTAGAAAGAGTTTGAACTTAGGAATTAGGCCAACTGAATTAGATCCCTGATCTGCCACTTAACTACCTGCATGATCCTGAGAAGCCCTTCCCAGCCCTGATCCAAACCTAACTCACAGGGTTATTTGGGGAATTAAATGACATTATGTAAGTTAAGTACCTTACACAGTTCTTGGTACACAGTAGGTGATCAATTAATGATAGCTGCTATCCAAATATTTGCTGTTATTCCATACTCAGTTTCACTACCGTGTAGTTTGCCCTTGTAAACTTACTAGACCTAATTTCCAAGTATAGAACTTTCTATCGTGTGGAAGCCAAGGCTGAGCCTGCTCCTGATCAGTTGGGAACTCTGCTGGGGGCCCACACACAGCTCTGAAATGTGTCGCTGCCTTTTCTCTGCAGGGAGCCTTGTTTGGTGGTAAGCTTCCATATGGTTTTGTGTGTCTTAAGCCGGAGGGAGCAATGTTTCTTCTTGTGCCTAAAAGTGGGAACAAACTGCTAATTCATACCCTTGAAAAAATTGGCCGCAAAGCCCGCTTTATTGATAGAGCCATCGGACACAAACTTCATCCACAGTCTGTTGGAGCTCGATTTCACATCCTCCGGCTTCTCATAGCCACAAAAGTGGCCGATCAAGGCACTCTCTTCCGTGGGGCCATCCCGGATTTCCAGGTAGTCGTATGCACAGCTGTCGTGCCTTTCAATCTAAAGGAAGAAACAGAGACAAGGTGGATGGCAGATGGTTCCACTTTCAGGTTTTTGATTTAAGAAGAGAACCCAAATATCACTCTCAAAATCTAACCAAGAGGCGGAAGGACCCAAGTGTGTCCCAGGTCTCTCCATGCTGCTTCCTAGTTCGCGCCTTACTTGCAGAAGTCAAGGGTGAATCAAGCTGAGAAAAGTCTAAAAGGATAAACAGAGAAGAACAATTCTACCAAACTTCCCTGGATCCCATCCTGAATTTTCACTTTGATTATTATTCTCAATCTCTCTTACTGCCCTCAGAAAGGTGGCGAACCCCGTTTCAAAAGCCTGCATAGATGTTGATGTCAGATGTCCGGGCACAATTCACCATGGGCTTGAGAATGGCCTCTTAGGTTCCCGTTTTTAACCAAAAATGAACACCCATCTTTACAGAGTGGAGAGTGTCTAGCAAAAGTTGCGTTTCCTTGGGAAGCCGGTCTGAGCAGCACTCACCTCAAAAGCTTGGAAGGTAAGTCCCACGTGGAACCCCTCCGAAACCGTAATCCTCCAGACACATTCCTTGGAAGGTCTGTAGTCATCCGGATAGTTGGGAGATTGAATCTGACCGGCATCTTTGTTAATGTCTCCCCCGCAGGTAGCTTTAGAAAGAGACAGCAGGAGAGGAAGATGGGGGACCTTGGTCAGTCAGATCTTAGGAAGGAAGGTGGCGGAGGCCGCTTGCCACCACTAGGTGGCTCCACTCGCCAACATTTTCATCTCCACCCCACAAACACGGTGCCTCCAGAAAGGCACGATTGCATTTGTCTTTAACTCTGATTTTTTTTTTCATATAAAGAAAAAACCACGTAAAGTAGTGGTTCTCTACCTTCGCTGTGCATCAAAATCGCCCGGGGGAGTTCGCAAACTGTGGAAGCTGGGGCCACACCCACCAGAGGTTCTGATTCCAGTGGGTGTGGGGGAGCCCTGCGGAGCCGCGAAGTTCTCCAGGTGATTCAAGGTAGAGGGTACAGGATCGCTGGTAGGAAGGGACCCGTGCGCACACACGTGCACACGTGCGTATACATTACTTATTTCACAAAGACAAAACTTTGGCCTCTCTAAAATTGTAATAATTTAAGGCCAAAGGACCCTTGGTAGTTTTCTCGTAGTTTCCCTTTTTTTTTTTGGCAGAGGGTACGGTGGGGTGGGGAGTGAGCCAGAGAAGCTCAAGACATAGAAGAAATAGAAGCAGCATCGCCTGGTGGCAGCTGCCTAGAGCCCAGACCTATTGATTCCTTCTACCAGTCACCAGGGTGGCCTCAGAGGCCCTTCTAAGAAACGCAGTTGGAAATTCCTTGATGTTGCCCAAAGCCTTCTTTTCACAAAGGAAACAAACAGAGGCCCAGCGAGATCAGATTCTTTGCTTAGGCTCACACAGCAATTCAGAGGCTGCTATCATTTCCACAGGGTTCTAGATCCCCCCAATACCATCCTGTATGGGGGAAGCCGATTCCTCAGCTGGCCTGGAATGAGGGTTGAGCGGGATGGCGTCAGGAGGATGGCACCACTTCTGAAGTGGGCACAGCTGGCCTCTGCTTCCAGAATGTTGCCAGAGGGGCTGTGGAATCCTCAGCTTGCCCCCTGCGGTGGCTGCCCCCACCCCCGTGGCTCTGGCTTGGAGTGCCTGGGCTGGGAGAGGGACAGTGGGCTGCCTGGGAAGGACAGAGCTTATGAGGGTCCACCGAGCAGCTGCTTTCACCACGCACAAACCTTCGTACACTGCAAAGAAACCCTTGCCCAAGATGTTGCTGCTGCTGCGAAACTCCACCCAGAGCCGGCTGTCTGTGGAGACCAGGGGCTCCGGGACCTTATCGCCGCAAAACCTGCCTGGAAAGTGGAAAAAGAAGCAGTTAGGAGACCTGGGGACAGTAAGAAGGCACTGGCTTCAGGCTAGGAGGAAGCCGAGGTTCTTCACACGTGGTTTGAAGTGAGCAATAACCCTGGCTGGGATAACTTATCCTGTAGCACACACAGGATCAAAAGATGGGATTGGAAGAGTCACACAACAATGCGTGACTTAATTCTTATTCAGGATGACTTCAGGGGAATTCCAGATTCCCATCAAGGTATCCAGAGAAGAGCCAAGGCAGCCTCTCCCCTGCCGAGTGGGTGTTGCTGAGGCTCTGAAGGTGTGGCAGGGGAAGAATGGTGAGATAGTAGCGCAGATTTCCTTTCCTGGTATTTCCTGTTGCATGGATGCCCTTCCCTTCTGGGGGCATTAGACATTCTGCTTTCCTTGCCTTGGGAAGGGATGCCAGGGAATACACAGTAAAGAAATAAAACCATCTTGGCATTTACATTTCACAAGCCTAGTTGCAATAGCAAAGATCTGGAAGGATGCACCATATTTTCCCCCATCCTGGTAGCCGTAGGAGGGTTCCTAGGATTGAGGAGTGAGAGGACTAGCGGGACAGCATCAGGGAGCCCCTAAAAGGACCCATTCCCCATCTCACCTTGAGAAAGAGATCCCAGGTAGGTTTAAGGATCTAAGAGAAACAGAAAACTGTCTCCTCAGTCCCTGGGCAGAATCCAGAGTGGCAGCAAGACCCTGGATTCCCCTGCTGTGCCTACTTCCCAAGGTCAGCAGAGAAGTGTCTATGTGATTGTCCAGACACTTGGCCATGAGACAGGCATGCAGAGCTCTTCAGGCAAAGTGTGACAGGATGGCAGCAACATGATTCCAGCCCGAGAGGGTGATGGAAGTGACTTTCCCATTGCCAAGAGGATTAGGGGAGCCATAGAATGTCTCCCAAGCTTCTAGGGGAATGTAAGCCTGCACCATTCTAAACGGGCCTAGGGTTGATACAAGGAGGAAGCCCAGCAGCCTCTATCTGGACAGAGGACTCATTGGCTGGGGATGAGGACATCCCAGCAATGCCAATCAGGGTGTCAGGATAGATGCTCCCCCACCACCACCATGCCTTGGCATAAACTATGCCCCCCCCACCAGGACATACAAATTGACCAAAGCTGAAAACACAAATTGACCAAAATCAAGTCCCTACTACCTGATGGAAAGGGGGCTCATCATAGACAAACTTTTGTTATTGGGAAAAAAAATTAACATGTTTGTATTTCTTAGACACTTGGGTGCATGGTCTGAAATCTGGAGCCTCCACAGAAGCCTGGTCTTCCCAGTATCTGGTCATTCTTGGCCATCTAATCGCTACTGCCATGTCAGGATGGCAGCCCAGGGCGAGGCGGGAGATGGGTTCATCTTTACTGATTGGTTCAGAACACAGACCAGTCACAGTCCATTTGGACTGGAAGATCATGGTTCTACCAAGCACCTACTGCATTAGTCACTCAGAGAATGTATTTAGCTGTGGGGGGCAATGGGGAATGGGGAGTGGCTGCTAATGAGTATGGGTCTTCTTTGGGAGTAATGAAAAAAATTTTTTTTTTTTTTTTTTTTGAGACAGAGTCTCGCTCTGTCACCCAGGCTGGAGTGCAATGGCGTGATCTCAGCTCACTGCAACCTCTGCCTCCCAGGTTCAAGGGATTCTCCTGCTTCACCCTCCCAAGTAGCTGGGACTATAGGCGCGTGCCACCATGCCCAGCTAATTTTTTGTATTTTTAGGGGTTTCACTATGTTAGCCAGGATGGTCTCAATCTCCTGACCTCATGATCTGCCTGCCTCAGCTTCCCAAAGTGCTGGGATTACAGGCGTGAGCCACTGCGCCCCGCTGTGATGAAAATATTCTAAAATTGATTGTGGTGACACAACTCTGAGCATGCTAAAAACCATTGACTGGTATACTTTAAGTGGTGAATTGTATGGTCCAGAAATTTTATCTGAATATTTTTAAAGCAGATATATCGTGGGTACTCTTACTGCCAGTGCTATGTTAGGCAGTGGACAAGCCACTTGAGGCCATGAGCAGGTGAGGTTAGGGGAGGAGTAAAGGACACTGTGGGCATCTCCTAATGGCCAGCTGTGTTGTACATGTTTTGGGGAAACATGGGGGTAAAGGCTGCTAATCTCCTCTGCTTCCTTCCAATTCTGACCACCTGTAGCCTTTTGGATTTGGGGAGATTAATATTAAGTGAGATGAGATGAAACTCCTGCCAATAATTTGGCAAGAAAAAAATCCACCAGACGCCTCTAAATTTTCAGTAATGGTTTCTCTGGCACGGCCAATTAATGTTAAGTGATTTTTGGAAAATGACAGGCAAGCCTGGGGAAGTACTGCTTACCAATGAGGGCACGGAGCAATTAGACAGTGCTGGTTCACAAAAGGAATTCCTTCTTCGCCTAGCCCAAGTTTCAGATCCAAGTTTCTCCTTTTAAAACCCAGCTGTCACAGTCGCTGAGGCATATTTCCAAAAGAGAGGGGGACTTTCACCGCCTCGCCTCCTAAAGACCTAGGCAGATGAGATGAACCACCCACCACCCAAGGGCCAGTAGACAGCTTCTCTCTGCTGAGTACTCAACAGGAGGCAGGAATTGCAGCCTAAGGTATATTTTACTGCCTTGGCAAAACCAGACTTTGTAGAACAAATTACAAATTATTCCTAAGCACTCTCCCCAAATCACGTTGTAACTCTTAACTAGAATCCTCTACTTTGTTCCTTAACTGATGTCTCAGTGTTCTCATCTTCATCGTAGTGGTTCTAATAAAAGTCCCTTTTTTATTGACTCTGTCTGTGCCAGACACTGTCCTAAGCACTTTCCATGGATTATCTCATTTCATCCCGATACTCTCTGAATTAGATACTATTATTAATCCCATTTCACAGACAAGAAAACTGAGGGTCAGAGAATTTAAGTCTCAAAGCTGTAAGTAAGAGCAGGATTTAAACCGGAGCAGTCTGAGACCTTCATTATCGGTATCACCTGCTTCATCATCACCACCACTACCATCAAAAAGAAAACCTTCACTGACTGAGGCACCGTTCTGAACATTGTATAATTTTGGATAAATAGACATAAAATCTACTCTCTAGTAATATAGATGTCATCCCCATTTCCCAGTTTGGAAACAGACAAGTAGGAATGAAGATCAAAGCCTCAAACCGTAAAGCAATTCTGTGGAAATGCCAGGCTTGGCTGTTTGACTCACTCCATCATTTCTGCTCATTTGGGAGGCTGCCCCTGGCTAGCGAGCCTGAGTAGCCCAGGCCACCGACACTGATTGGCCAGCCTGGCCTGTCTGAACTTCCCTCTCCCCATTTCAGGGAAAGAGGGAAAAAGGGCTTTTGTATGCATTGTGGTGATACAGAATGCCCAAAGACAGTTCTGCATACAAAAGTGCATTGTTAGAGTAATTCCTCTAACAGAAATAAGGGAGGGAATCCAATTTACTGGACAGAATTTAAGATCACTGGATGAATTCTCTCTGCAGCCAACTTCCTCCCCTCTTTAGGTGCAGAATCATAAGTGACCCCCAAAACTGATAAACCAATTTGATATCTTTAGCCAGCCATGAAATGTTCTTAGTCGACTTTTTCCTTAATCACTATGTGAAAACCTGGGTCTCAAAAAATAGCCTCCTTCCAAGGAGACTAAGCAGGCTGGAGAGAAACTGGACTAGAGAAAAGGTATCAGATTCCTGCACTGAAATCCGGTTCCTGGATTTAGAGGAGGAGTTTAATAAGGATATCAAGAAGAGGAAATGCAGATGAGGATACTACAAGTGGGCTCCATGGGGAGTCATAAAGGGTTCATTCATAAAAAGTTATGCGTCCATTATGCCTGGATTTTCACACACTGCCCTGGGAAAAAATGCGATGCACAGTTTTCAGAGCAAGATGCATACTTTCACAATCCGCCCTAATCCGCTCTCCCTCCTGCCAAAGGGGCATTGACCTGCCTCCTCCCAGCAGATTTCATGGCACTGACCCCTCCCAGGGACCAGCTCGGCCGACACAATGCACTTGTTCCAAACACAAAAGTTCACTAACAACTGCATTTGGAAACATCAGAGCAGGCCAAATAGTTGGCAAAGGAGAACTGCAAATGAAGAATGACGGTTACAGGCTCTGGCACTCTACACACACACACACACACACACACACACACACACACACACACACATACACACACATTAAAAGTGGGTAAAACATGAGCCCAAAAAAACCCAAAAAAACTTAAAACAAAAAACAAAACAAAACAACAACAAAAAAACATCACCACCACCAATAAACGGCAAAAGTCCCATTTCATTAATGAAATGTAGCCAGAGATACCGGAATTTTTAATGAGAAAATTCTTGTTTCAAGTTCAAGAAAAAGGAACTCCTGGAAATCTCTCTGCCTGTGCCCATTCTCAGGAACGTGCCTTGGCCCTCTCTGGGAAACTTCAGTAACAGAGAGCTTCCTCCCCTTAAGCCTTTAAATCTATCCCATTCCAGGGAGGTGGGGGTAGAGAGTTGCCAGATTTAGCAAACGAAACGCAAGGAAGCCCAGTACATTTGAATTTCAGATAAACAACAAATAATGTATTTTATCTGGCACCCTTGGGTTCAGCAGTCACCTCTCCCCTTCACCAGGACATCAGAATTCTGGTCTGATCTCAGCCACTGGCTGTGTGGCCTTTGAGTTAGTCCACACTTGGGGAGCCTGGCTTTCTCATAAAAGTGTGGGATTCAGTGACTGTAAGGTCTCTGCCAGGTTGCGGGGTCTGTGATCCGATGTTCTCAGGAAACTCCTCCCACGTAGCTCTTTTTATTCTTTCATTATAGAATGACACCTGAATGTGTTCTTACAAAAGATTCAAACAATGGAGAAGTATACAAAACAAAACTTCATGAAGCTGCTCACCACCTCCGCACTTCCTTCCTCAGAGGTAATCACCTTCAGCCAGATGGATGGGCATATTTGTGGTCCTTTCTACGTATGTGGTACTAGATTTGGGCACATGCCCTTTTATATAAAGGTAAATAGGATCATTCTCTGACCCAACTTGTGGGGATTCCAATTCAGGGTCTCCCAGGAATCCGTATTCACAGAAATCTTCCCAGGAGGTTCTCATGTCCAGCCAGGTTTGGGAACCTCTGCTACTGGGAATCCAGCCCTCTGTCTTTTGCCACAAGCAAACAGTGCTACCCGTAAAGCCAGACCCTCCTTTTGGCTGCTAGAGAGCGCCATGCCTGCTCATGGTTGGCAGGAAACAGAAATCCAGGCCTGCAGCCTCCGCCCTGCCACTGGGGGGTGGACTCCACTGGTCCTGCAGTAGACGCACTCCTGTCCGTGCTTGGCATGGGGATCACTTTCTTGGCTTGTCTACCTGCACAGCTGACTACTTGACTGACTTCTCCTAGTGGTGGCAGCCTAGGACCCCTCAGTCATATGAAAGATTAATGTCTGCCAGGCTACCTTGAGTCCAGCCAACCCCTCTGTCCAGCCTCTTCTGACCTACCCCAGCCTGGGCTCCCTAGAATCTGGCATGAAGTCAGGGCTCAGTCTAGTAGTGACACCTCCTAGCTTAGCCTTGTCCCTTCTTGCCTATCTCCATCTCGGCCAACCACCCAACACCAGCTCACTCTCAGGCTCGTCAGCTGCAGCATAACAAGTTGGGCTTTCTGCTCACGTGAATATGTGCCAGGGACAAAGTCCTCACTGAGCACTTAGACTTGTCCAAACCAGAGCCCACCCTGCAGACCCCTCTACGAGTAAGGACAATACACTCTCAGCTGAGACCCTCCCATCTGGCTCCTCGTCACTTCTGCCTCTCTCTCCAGCTCCACCATGGCGGCCATTCCTGGGCTGAATGAGTCCCAGTGTCTACTCCCGAGACACTGGAGCCATCGGTCCTCTAGGCAAGGCTAACCTCCCCTGTCATCCACGAGAGATCTCTCTGGGGTGAACTAACTAACCTTTCTGGTTATACCACCTGCCCACTGTGTCTCACTTAAAGCTCCAAGCTAACTTTGCATGGGTGAGTTCATGCTGTATTCATCTCACAAAAACAATACACACTCATCATAAAAAAATTGGAAAATATAGCTAAACCAAGAACAACAGAACACATTTTTAAAAAACTCTATCACCCTGAAATTATTTATGTATATTTATAATTTTACTTGAGATTTATATTGCAGATCACAAAGTGGTGTCTTCTAGTTAATTCAGCCTGTACGCATGTTTTAAGTCATTTTGCTTTGAATAAGTTTGGACAGGATATTTGGTGTTCAGTTCACCACACCACCCCCACCCCTCCTTATTTTATTACACAAATCCCATCTCCTTCATTTACATGTTATCCTTGAAGTCATCTACATTTGCAACACCTGCATTATATATATATGTGTGTATATGTATATTTAATACGAAAATGTATTTTTTAATTAAAATGGAATCCTACTGCTTATTCTATTTTTGTCACATACTTTTTTGTGTGTAACGGTGTACCAGAACACCTTTCCATATCAGTAGTCAACTCCAACTTCACTTTTAATGGCTGGGAAGTTTTCCATTGAAAAGATGGATCATAATTTATTCAGCCAAACCCTACTGTTGAACATTGAAATTGCCTGCAATTTTTCCTGCTTCAGTGAACATCCCTGTAGCTAGAGCTTTGCACACTTCCTTAATTAGTTCCCTAGGATGAATTCCAAAAAGTGGAATTGCTGGGTCAAAGGGTATTTGCAGTTTTAAAGGCTTTTAACATGTGTGGCCAAATGGAGTGCTCCGAGTTTTACAATGACAGAGGCCCTTGAGAGTTTCCTGTGACCGCTGTCAAGGTGGACCTTCCAGACATTAACAGCATCCTGGGGAACATCCCATCACTCCCCTCTTAACGGTGTCTAAAGTCAACTTACCCAAAAGGGGGGCTTTTCTCCAGTAACCATCCCGGACCTCCACGTAATCGTACCAGCACAGCCGGCTTTTAAACAAATCCATGGATGTGAAGTTTAAGACGATCTGCAAAGAATTACCATAAAGTGAGTTTTGGCAGCAAAGCCTGAGGAGTTTGGGAAGATATATCTTGCATACCGGTGTTCTCACGTTACCCTTTAGCATGCAGAACTCTCAGACCGCAGTAGGAGTGTTGTCTCAAAAGCACGCTCACAGGAAACCTAAGGACATTAAATAATAAACCTTAAGCAGGATGGGGAGTAAACAGAAGGAGATGGGTCCTTCGGTTCTGTCTGGGGAATCACTTGAGCTTTTGAAGTCACTAGGTGGTTTACAGAAAGCAAGATGCATTAAAAAGACTGGCCAGGGCACATGGAGACTAAGGATTTGGAAGGAGGTAAGGGGTCAGCGAAGTTCAGAGATACTAGAAGATCTTATAACATCATCAATCATTCCAAAGGGTCTGGGGTTAGCCTGAGTGCATCTGAACATCTCTGTGATCAACCTCCCCTCAGCCATGACCTCACTGTCCTGAGGTGTGGTGTGTCTAAAGACCTTCCTACAGTTAGTCCATTCATTCATTCACTCCACCATTGTTTGTTGACCATCTTCTGAGTGCCAGCCTGTGCTGGCCAGTTGAGATAGAAAGATCAGTAAGACAGGGTCCTCTGCCTTTGGGGAGCCCAGGGAAGGGGGGAAAGGCAGATGGGCCAAACCAATGGGAACACTATGGTATAAACACTGAAAAGAGAGGGATTGTCATGAGGAGCATCTTGGCAGCCCTGTCTGGACATCCCTGAGGTCAGGCAGCGGATGCTCCCATGGCCAAACAGGTGATTACTTAGTAGGGGGAAAGGGAGGGCTGGGTAGCCCCACGGACTGGGCCTCAGCACACAGGTGCTGTACCCATGAACTGGCTCTGGCCCCCCCGCAGCCCGCCAGCTTGGGGCTTCCCTGGCAGATGGCCCAGAGCAGAGTTCAGATTTCCCCTGGCCTTTCACCCCCATGCAAGCTCCACTAAAGCAGGTGCCTGTGGCTCCTCCCACTGTCCTGAGGCACAGTGGCTTGTCTGGCCCAGGCTCACCTTTCCTCATGCCCCACATACCTCTGCTCCACCACGTCTCCACTCTTCCTGATCTCCAGCCCTGCCCCAGCCCCTGTACCCCTGACTCTATTCGTTTTCCAACCCTGGGGGACCTTGCTCTCAGCAGTTCCTCTCTCTCCAGTGTCTCCACTCACGGCCCCTCCACTAGCCACTTCTTTATATTCAAACAGCCCCAGGGGCCCTCTAGCTCTAAGTAAACTCTCAGGCTGGAAGGCTTCCTCAAAGGTTCCCATTTCCTCCCCACCAAATCTAAAGGACTGTTATTTGTCCTTGTGTCCCATGACCCTTCTGCCCAGAGCTTATCCTTTCCGGTTTCCACCACGCTGGCCTATCTTCTCCCCACTGCTCTTGCTCCTCTGCCCTTCCCGCTCCCCACTAGGTGAGAGCACCTCTAGACAAAGCATTTCCTTTCCAGCCTCCTCCACTGTAGGTGACGCCATTGCCCCGATGGCCAAGGAGCCAAGCTTTGGTATTATCTTTCCTTCATCCTGACTGTTGATCCCTCTTATCTGTTCAGCATCCACGCTGTAGCTCTTTTTCTTTTAAGATATCCGCATCCCTCCCCTCCAACCCCATCTCGCTCCCCCTGCCTCACCCCCTCCTGGACTGCTCCCACACGATTCCTGGACTCCTCCCTGCTGTGGCCCCATTTGTTCTACACACTAGGGCTTCTATCAATGTTCCACTCACATCTCATGTTTACCAGACCCCTCCCAATCTTCCACTCGTATATCATATTGATCAAACCCCTCAGGAAACCTCAGTGGCTCCCGTGTCCCCATCTCATGAATGAAATTCTGCTTACTTTCCACGCCCCCAGAGCCTATCCTGTGCAACCTATTCCCCAGTGTTCCCTGATAGTCCTATGTCAGAGAAACCCTCCCCAGGCCTGCTCAAGTGTCCCCCTCCTCAAGCCTGGGTCTGATTGCCCTGATGAACATGATTGATCTTTGCCTCTTTGGAATGCCCCACCCTCTGTCTTATAATGATTCTAGAGTTAGTGTCTTTAGATCTGCCTAGATCTGGATTTGCTTCTCAGTTCCATCTACTAGCTCTGGAGTCTTGGGGAAATACTTGTTCTCTAGTTTCCTCATCTGTGGCACAACACGCACATCACTGTGCTGTTGAGGGGACTGTGCAAAAAACCATATGTAGAGTGTTTATTGCTATGCCTGGCACGTCATAGGCACTCGACAAATAGCAACTTAAAATACCAGGCAGGCCACACTGAGTGTACACTTAGCATACCACAACTAACACTAACCACACCTCGCAGGCTGCCCCTCTTGATTAGTGTTGAGTGCCCGTCCCTTCCCTTGGGCCCATCCCACCCAATGTTTCATCTCAGGACAAATCACATCTTCCACAAAGCCCTGTGATCTCCTAGGAAATGAAGAGTCAGTGCCAGGAAAAAACAGTTCAGTTCACCTTCTGTCATTGTGTGTGTGTGCACGCATGCGTGCATGCATGCATGTGTGTGTGCACATATGCATGTGTGTGCGCACATGTGTGTGCTTGTGTGTGCAACACTGTCACTCCTCTTTCAAACTAGACTGTGTTTTTCAACCCTACTTGCACATTAGAATCATCTTTGAAGCTTTTAAAAAAACTCTTACCAAGCAAACACCCTTCCTTCCATTAAATCAGATTCCCTGGGAGTTGGGGAAGGGGGGCCCAAAATAAACACCAAGTCTCTCAAAGACAGGGGTGTGCCTTAGATTTCTGTCCTATCCCACACCATGCTCATATTCAGGTGGTAGAGCTTGGTAACACCTGTAGGCTGGTTTGCACAATAATTCTCTAGCCTTTGCTTTTTTAAAATTACAGAAAGGAAATGTTAGTACAACTTCCTTGGTAACACATTCATGATCTGAATGAATGGGATAATTATTCAGGCTAATTACTTTAAGTATGTTAGTGAACCATAAAGACCATAGGGGAAAGAGGTGGGGAACAAGAGGTGATACTCAAATCAATCAAGTTTGCTAATTACTAGCAGCTCTAGGGAAGGCCGGGTGAAGCAGAAATGGAAATAATTGGTGCAGAAATTTCAATGATGTATATTCTCTGTCCCCAGTTAGCACTAATAATTAAGGCTTGATGAAGTTTACACAGTTCAAACATACCACACACTCTCTGCTGTGCAGGGCAATTCAATAATTTGGAAATTATCAGACCTCTTCCTCTTCCCCCTTTCTGCCTGCCTCCTGTTAGCCGCCAGCAAGCACAAGGTTTTCACATCTACCTAAGGCAGACAGGTCTGGGGTCTCAGACACAAGATGACAGCCGTACTTAATGTCTTGAATGCTTAGAGCCAAAGGAAGTATGTATACATGTGTGTGCACACATGTGCATTCATGTATGTGTATAAATGCACGTTCAAATGTCTATCTAGCCTGGCCCCTTTGTGTAATAATATAAGATGATGGTCAAGCATTCAAGCTCTTAGAGTCCAGTTGCCTGCGTTTAAATCCCAACTCTGCAACAAACTAAGAAGCCTTGGGCAAGTCCAATTCCTTACCTGTAAATAATTATGGCAACAGCACCTATTTCACGAAGTTGATGTGAGGACTAAATTAGATGATCCACATGATATGCTAAGGATAGTATCCAGTCCACAGAAAATGCTCACAGTGGTTCCTAGCCATTTGTCTCTAGTTAGCACACTATGCTTAACTTGACATTTAGATGGACATTTTTAAAAGTTATGAATTAGAAATACCTGAAGGTTGGCTGCAGGTGCCTGAAAAATTCCATCACACCCCACTGCCACCCCTAGCTGCAGGTTTTTCACTCAGCCCCTCACCCACCCACATATCCATTCAACAAATATTTATCATGTGACCAGTCTGTGCCACAGACTGTGTGGAGTGCCGGGGCCCTGGGGGTGAATGATCTCCAACCTTAAAAAGCTTAAGATTTGGAAGTGGGACAGATAAACCAGTAGTGACAATACCATGAGACATGCTACAACAGGTACGATTGTAGACAGCTCTGGGGACACTGGGGGTATCCCCTAACCTAGACCTAGGGAACAGAGTTTCTCCAAGATAGTTGTATCTAGTCTGAGACAACTTGAAGAACACTCAGATTTGTAGAGACATGTAGCAAAAAGATAAACTTTGGAGTGCAAAACCTCAGTTCTCAGTTCCTAGTTCTATATCTTACCTTGACTTTTAGCACTTTCCTTAATGTTCAAGCCTCAAATTCCTCATCCATATAATGGATACAAGAGTATGTGCCATGCAGTAGGGTTGAAAACATCCCACCCGTCGACCAGAGTGAAAGAGATCCTTGCCCTGGGTTCAGCTCTAGGGGGTCATGGAATCTTCAAGACCAAAGGAATGTGTCCACCCAGGGCTTGCCTAGCTCCTACGCCACACTCCAGGAACCCAGGAATTCCCTGTCCTCACAGCTCTGAGCCCACTGCCAGGACATGCAAGGGTCTCTTCCCTGGATCCATCTTCTTGAGTGTAGACTACATGCCTGGGCCAGTCCATCCCACTGGAGGGGCAGCCAAGGTGTGGCTGTTTGCAAAAGAGGAGTGGAAGATGCCTAGGGAAGTGGACTGGGTTGTCAACAGGGATGTTCTTTAAGCCCAAATAGTGAGACGGAGATTGGGGGGAAGAAAAGACAGCTGTGGGCTTCCCGTGTCACCATCTTCCAGAGCAGCAATCCGAGGTGTCACCGAATTCTAAATTCCAGGACATTATAATAGTGTATTTATTAAAGTTGGGGGGAACTGTGAGCTTGATTTACAACTAAGTGGATATTTAGTACATGCCAGCCTTCATTTGTATGGGTGAGACTGGTTGAGAAGTCCAGAAATAATGAACGTAGAGCAAGCAACACCATGCCTAGCACACGGTGGGCGCTCATAACAAAACGGCTGTTATTTTTACTATTAACAATAAGAATTCCTCCCACCTCACCCAATTCAAGGAGTGCCGTCCCATTTGCCAAGGGGATTTCCCACCTACCTTTTCCCCTGGGGTGACCGAGATCCTCCAGACGCAGTGGGAGTAAGATGGGTACCCATTTGGGAAACCAGGTGCAGAAAAGTTTCCCGTTGTGTCCTGCAGGGTCTCCCCACACGCTGCGCAAGCAAAATCACAACTGTGATGTGGCATATGCACCTCTCCCCGCCCAAGCAGCTCCCACACAGGGCAGCGGAGCAAACATACCCCTTTACCAGCCAAAGCCCTCGGAACAGGTTGGTGAGAGTGTAGCAAGTAGATTGACGCTTTCTGGCTAACAAAAGCACAAGTAGGATCTGGGAGCCAAAAAGGAATGCCCAGGAATTTCTTCTGAGGCTCTCAGGACTGAGCATGGCCTAGAGCTCATGAATCTCAGCTCTCTGGCCAGCTGTGTGGCTTGGGCAAGTTTCCTAGACTTGCTGGACCTTAGTTTTCTTATTTGTAAAATGGTCAGGACCTACCTGAGAGGGTTAGTGAAATCGTGTGCATTACATGAAATGGATCAGCTCAGTGCTTGGAACATAGTGAGTGCTTCATATATAATAGACATTATTATTGCTAATAATAATATCGGTGGCAGAGAGAACATGAAAGTGCAAGTAGGGGCCGGGCGCGGTGGCTCACACCTGTAATCTCAGCACTTTGGGAGGCCAAGGCGGGTGGATTATTTGAGGTCAGGAGTTCAAGACCAGCCTGACCAACATGGTGAAATCCCATCTCTACTAAAAAAACAAAAATTAGTTGGGTGGTAGTGGTGTGCACCTGTAATCCCAGCTACTTGGGAGGTTGAGGCAGGAGAATCGCTTGAGCTTTGGAGGCAGAGATTGCAGTGTGCCAAGATTGCACCACTGCACTCCAGTCTGGGTGACAGAGTGAGACCCTGTCTCAAAAAAAAAAAAAAAAGAAAGAAGAAAGAAAGTGCAAGTAGGTAAGACAAAAAGAAAAAAATGCTTTGAAACTTATTTCAGTTGTTAGTTTAAATCTTTCCTCTTCTTTTTCTGCTACTCACTTCTGGTATCAAGCAGTCAAGAAAACAAAAAAATGCAGAGGCACAGGGAGCTGGAATCTTCTATAGCAGGCTATTCTGCCCTTGAACGTTTCAGGGTTGGTTATGAGTCTAGAACCTAGTCTTTATGTATGTGAAAAGTATTTCCCCTAATTTGTCCTCACAAAAGAAGGGTACCTGTATGAATCCTTGGAAACTACAGGTTTTGCATTTCTCTAATGCCTGGGGATTCAGACTCCAAAGACAGACACTGGTTCGCTGAGACCCCCTCCTCTTATGTGGCCAACCCTAACATGTGGAGATCCAGCATCCTTAGGCATCTTTCCCTTACATGCAGTTCAACCTCTGCATGGCGACTGATTGAGCTTTCAGTTACTACTCGGAACTACTGGAAGCTCCATATTTTTTGGAGCTGCAGGAAGAGGTATGTGGAGAACCGACCATTATCAGCCTCAGGAAATCCTGGATGTTGGGGCTTCAATATCACATTACTGAACAACTGCCAGGCATCATGAGGATTACGCCTGGCAGTCAACACCCCCAAGGGTTCCATGGAAATTATTTTAGAATAATCATAAACATTCTGCAAGAACAAATACATTACTGTGTGGCTCCACGGTATTTTGCTGCAAATCATTTTGGGAAGTAAGCGGCATAAACGTTATAACGGAATAAATACAATGGCATTTCCCAGGGAATGCTGTAAGGTTTCCCGTTCAATTCAGCAAGGTTATATGATATGTGTGTCCTGCATTTCAGCCCTAACATGCCCCCAGATGACTAATAGCTGGATGGACATATTTTCTAGAGTTTCTTGAGGAAGCAAGCCCCACACAGCACTTTGCATGCCCTGGGGTCCTATTTAGTAAGGTAATGTGACAGCCCAGATTTTCTAAGATGGTCCTCACTTTAAATACTTCATCTCATGATCAAATTCTGTGTCTGGTTTGGAAGTCTGGGAAAGGCTATTGGTAATGGAACTTCCTTCTATCCTCCTAAAACCACTGAAATGGATTCTCACCCATCAGTGGCAAAATCTCAGCTGCCATAACCAATGCTTCACGTTGAGGCTCAAGAGCTGAAAGGGGTCTAGAAGAGCTCAGACGGTGTGTGTATGATGATGATGCCAAGGGGATGGAAGACAAACGGGACAAATCCAAGGGGAAGGAACACTTCCAAATGGGCCGGGGAACAGGCATTTGCTCCAATCCCCATGTATTGTCCCATCTTCAATGGCAGACTCCTGGCCACTGACCAGCACCTTGGATGGCCAGGAAAGCCCCAAGACCAAAGCAACAAGCTCATTAATAGCACTGAGACTCCCTCCACCTTGTAGCATTTGGGAAACATCCCCATACTCCCAAAAGCATTCTCCCTCACTCTTTGTCTTCCTGCAAAATCCTGCTTGGTTCTTGTTTTTCCAAACCCACATCCCCTAGTTCCATAGAAAGGAGAGGTGCTCTTACTGTTATGGGGCACACACTGCAGTGTGCCCCTATTTACTGTTGTTCTGTTATGCCTTCTTCCCCTTCTGGACACAAAGGCTTTGCCAGAGAAGTCTGAAGCCTCTCATGAAACTGCCTATGAACTCTAAGACCTATTATTCTCTTCACTGCCTGCCACCATGTCATCATTTCGCCTTTCTATACTGCCTAGCACCTCCTACCAGAAGGACACCAGAAATAATTAAAGCTGCCAAGGAATAGTCCCTTTAGGTCCCCCAGGTTATTTTCCCAGCACAGGGACTGTGCTTTGGAGATGCTAGGGAGGTGCTGGCAGTCCCCTCGGCTCATAGTTACCTGGGCATTTGTACAGCTTCCGGGCTTGAGCTATGTCTCCCTGACTGAGCCGCACGCGCTGGCCAATGGTTGGCCTGACGCCATTGTCATCTCGACGGGGGAGGATGGTGTCCAAGAAAACTCCTCTACAAGAAGGAAAAAAAGGGAGAGAGAAAGAAAAGTCAAGGCCATCAGTCTGTCCGTGCTGAGATTTCCAGGCTTTATTCCCTTGCCCACAACCCCATCAACATTCCTGCCTCCTGGCCTGCCTGTCCCGGGCTGGCATGACTGAAGAGGTTTCCTTCGCTCGTGCTGGCATTTTCACATTCCATCTCATCAGCTGCCTACTCGCTTTCCAGTGGGAAGATGACTCTGCCAAGTGTAAAAACATGCCCTAGTGCAGTAGCCCAGGAGCTTCCTTAGGGATGTGTCCTGAGCATTTCCATGAAGCCCCGACAGGTCCAGGCCCCAGAGCCACCGTGCTGCACAACTGCAGGGAGCTCCACTCAGACAGACCACGGTGTGAGTGGCGCCCCCTGCAGCTGTGCATTAGGAAGTACTGTGCATAGTTAAGTCCTGGAGCCACCCCGGGAGAGCTTGGGAACTGGTCCAGTGTGAGACTCTCAGGGGCTGGTCAGCAAGTGCAGGTTGGTGAATGGGTGGTCAGAGTTTGGAGGCGCTGCTGGTAAGAGGGAAATCAGATGGAAAATGAGATAAAAGCAGAGAACAAGAAGTAGTGAAAAGAGCCCTGGACCAGACATTTCTACACTAGGCCTGTGTGTGCTTGGACAAGATTCTTCCCCTCTCTGAGCCTCTCTAAGCATCAGTTTACCCCACTAAACAATAAGAAATTTGCTGAGATGGTCATGGCAGTCCCTTTTATCTCTAACATTTATTCTACTCCTACTTGACTGAAATCTAAAATGATAGCTTCATTTCTAAACTAGACAAGTGGAAACCAGGTTGCCAGCTGAGCGCTGGCCCTATTGTGGGCATGGTTTACACCCCGCCTGCTCCCTTGTCTGCTGCCAGCTCTGAGCCTCCTCCTCTGCTTCCAGACCTGGGGCCTCTGCTACCAGATCTGGGGCCTTTCCTGGATGTTAGACCTGTCCTTGAATCCACGCCTCCTCCAGTCACCGCCTTGTTTTTTTTCTTCCCTTCTTAACCAAGTTTCTAGAAAGTATTGTCTCCATTCCCCGAGTACTCGACTCTCTTTCACTCCTCAGTCCAACGATGATCTGACCCCATCAGCAACCATCACCACTCGTCTGCCAGTGGACACCTTCCAATCTGTCTGCCCTCTCTCCAGCACTGGGACCTCCGATGCCCCCTCCCTCCTCACTGTCTTCTCCCTGGGTCCAGGCCACAGCTCTCTCTGAGCAGTGAGACAAGAACCACTTCTGCTTCCCCTTCAATGATGTCCCTTGGGTTTCTGCCCTCTCCCTCTGTCCTCTCTCTCCATGTTCCATCTACTCCTATGGCTTTTAACCATCATCTGCAGCCTCACAGCTAATCTTCTGTTTCCAGCCCAGGATCCTCTGCTGAGCCCCAGATGCCTCATAACACCTCCCCTGGGCTGTCCTATGGGCCTCTTATATCCAACATGCTCAAAACCAAATTTATCACAGTTCCATTCTTCTGCTCACTCCATGATCCTTGTCTCCTGAGCCAGAATCTGAGGGCATTCTCAGTTCCTCCCTTTCCCTCACACTCTCCTACCAAACCAGGAGCCAGGTCCTGTCCACTATACCTTTTTTCCACCCCTTGAACCCAATCCCTCTTCCTTGTTCCCAGACTATTGCCATAGCTCAAGTGATCAATATCCCCTTCCTGAACTCTTTCCAGTAGCTTCTTAACTGGCCTCCCTCCCTGTAGACTCAGCCACTTCTACTCTACTGCTCCCCTGCTCCCCTTGGCCACAATGCTGCAATGGAATCATCCCAAAATGCAAGGGGTGGCACGTGCCTTCTTCGCTTAGAACCCTTCACCAACTTCCAGTCACCACTCGGACTCTAGTCTGTTTGCTCACTGACTTCTGCCTTCCTCGCCAGCCTGACTCGTTAATCCCATAACCAAAATAATACTAAACAAGAATAAAGCATATGTCATTATTTTAAGCAACACTAAGCTCCTCGTAGGCCCCAAATATGTCCTCGCACATGCTATCCGCTCCCTAGGCTGCCCATGCCCTCTATTTTTTTGTCTACTTGTAAACTCCTATTCATTCTCTAAAACCCCATCAGATGTCTTTCTCTATTAAAAGACTTCCCCAAGCCTTTTCTACTCCCCCCATCGGAGTTTGTCATTCCCTGCTCTGGGTCTTAATCATTTGTGTAGTCTCTTCTTATCATACTGCATTGTCTTTTTTAAGGAGTGGTGGTATTCGTCTTCCTTGCTAAAAGTTAAGTTCCTCAAGCAGAGAGACTGGGGGTTTTATCTCTGTCCTTAGAAACTAGAGCACAGAACGCCTCAAAAAACGCTTCTTGAATTAAAGTATGTAACCAGGATAAAGCACTGTCTTTTAAAAACTTTGCAAAATAGTTATTTACATCCAAAATGGAAGTGAAAATGTACATGTCACCTAGCTATTAGCTGTGCATGCTCGCGCTCTCTCTCTTTCTCTCTCTGTCTCTTTCAAGCACTGTTTCTATTTCCCTAAATTCTGCACTACGTTGGAAAATAACTATTATCCCTGGTTCTTCCTGGTTACATCACTTTGTTATCTTTTTGTTTTTGTGTAGACTTTTCTTTTTTTTCCTAAATCAGATTTTAAGCTCACTTTCCAATCTTAGCCTGTGGGAGTCTAGATCATCTGCTGATTTCCTTTTCAGCATCTCCGTACCCAACATGTAACCCTTGACCTGTCTTTCTCTAGCTCCCATAGCCTCATCTCTGGGTCTGGACTCCTGTAGAGAAACTTTAGTGGAATCCTTGGCCTCACTCACTGACTTTACTACATTTTAAACCACAAGTGTTGACTCTGCGGAAAATCCTAAATTCAATCATCAGCTACTCCAGAAATAGTCACTTCTGCCGTAATGAAAGGTGTGTCCTTTTGTAATTATTTTCTTGGTTCCCTTGCAGATAGGAATTCTGCAGCACAAACATAAGGATCACCACAGTCTCTAAGCACCCCACGCTACCTGGCCACATCACGTAGATGACTTCTCCAGTGGGCCTGGTGCATAGAGGCCATGTCCTTGCACTTACTCATCGTTCATAGGACTTTCCGACGTGCCAGGCCCTGCACTGGGCCCTTTCCCTGCACCACCTCATTTCATCTTCATAGCACCCTAGGAGTCAGGTGCCATTATCACAAGAGCTCTCACTCTACAGGGGAGAAGACTGAGCCTGCGAGAGCTTAAGTGACTTTCCCAGGGCACAGAGCTAGTCATGGAGAGGCAGGCCTGGAGCTCACCTCTGGGAATCCTCCTCCTTCCAGCCAGTGTTTCCTGCTGCCCAAGGAACAGTAGGCCTTACGATGCATTAAATTATAGAGCTAAGAACATTGCAGACTTCAAAAACCAAAACATCAGGAACAACATTGGCTCACACTCAGACCGCTCTTTGGTGCTGGACGTCCTCCCTTGCATATCCTAAGCTGCCAGCAAGAGCTTCCAGCTCTGGAAGATGTTTACTACAAGAGCCGTCCCCTGTGTAAACCACAGCAGTGACGTTCCTTCCCTCTTTCATGTAGGACAACTCTAAGCATTGACATTCTGCTAAACTAAGACAGAGTTCAGCAGATGCCTCAGGGAATAAAACTGTCAGCGCTGAGTTCTGAAACAAAGAGGCCCCTGTACCAGAGAACTGTCTCCTCATCTCCTGGATCTTTGCCCAGCAAAACCTCCAAAGAGACTGCTCCCCACAGCCTGGGTCCAACCAAAGGGGAGGGGAGAAGAACTGCAATAAACTAGAGGGAATAAAGTTGGAAGGAGACAGCTCAATCGTAAAGAGACACAAAGATTGAGTTTCCCATCAGCAGGGTATAGCATTTGCCCGCCTCCCCAGATCAGCATATGTTCTAAGGGCTCTATTCTGCTCTTTTACAGAATCCAACATGAGGTACAGGCCAGCTTCAGGGTCTTTGTGACCAGAAATAATGACATGGAGTTGGGTGTGGGGAAACTATTGACAAAATGCCAATAGAAAAGCCCCCAGTAAAAACCCACTCAACAAGATCGTTTTCTGAAAATCCATGTAAAAAGTTGGCAGAAAAGACAATGCAGTTATCCACCTGCAACAAAACAGATTTGCTGAAACCATTCTCAACTCTGGGGCAGAGGTGAGAGGGTAGCAGTGGCAGATTGTTAAAATAAAAAGTCACTCCTCCTAATAGCCATATCCTACTGCAACGTGAAGCTGCCATACCTCCCAGTAAGAGGTGGAGTCTATTTCTCCACTCGCTTGAGTTTGGGGCTGGCCTTGTGGCTTGCTTTTACCAACAGAATGTGGCAGAAGTAATGTCATGCAAGTTCCAGAGCTGGGGCCTTAAGAGGCTTGCAGCTTCCCCACTTGCACTCTTGGAACTCTGAGTCTCCATGCAGTGAAAAGTCTGGTCTAGCCTACTGGAGGATGAGATGCCACGTGAAGGAGAACCAAGGGGCTCCCAGAGCTAACGGAGGGACATGAGGGGATGCTGAGATTTAGATGATTTCTCCCATAGTCCTAACAACAAACTCATCAACAGGATGCTTTTGGCAGCCTTACCCAAGAGCCATGGAGCCCTTTGCAAACAGTTTCCCTTTCACTCCCAAGAGCCATATGTTTTCTGAGCAAATCTTTATGGACATGGAGACTCATGGAATGGATTATTTCCCTCTTTGCTGTGACTGCTAGGAAGCACAGGGCAGGATTTGCTGTCAACTCTAACTAAGTATACATGACCTCACAGCATATGCTCTGAGCACTAAACTTATTCTGGGCCTCAACTTAGCTTTCTAGCCTTATTTTTTTCCTTCTCCTTTCCCCCAGTTTTCTCACCTGTTATTTATCTTTGTTATCCCATGTGTATATTGGAAGTTACCACAGATCTTTTTGGGGGAAATAAATAAATAAACAAGCAAACAACTGGTTTTAGCAGGAGACTGAAGAGAAAGCACCAAGAGAGAAAGTATTTGTTTTCTGTGCCTCCTTTAACTCAAGGGTAGAAAGGCCTACAAAACTGGGACAAGTAGGGAAAAACTTCTGCACACAAAGCACTTACAGGGTCTAGAAGCAAGGACAATACTGAAAATCTTTCATGTCTGCTAGGCACAGCACATCAGAACAGCTCATCAGAATAGACCCTGCCCATGGCAGCCATAAATAAACGGCCCAGCCCTACTTGAATACAGCAGCTTCCATCATCTGTGACCTGCAGGTGGGAACCTGGGTCCTTGCTCTCACTCCAGTCCTCAGTTACCTGTGCATCTGAGAGCCGGCTGGAGCCTCATTGTCTTCACCTCTAAAATGAATCGATGATTTACAGCCCTCCCAGCCCTGACACCGCCTAGTTTCCAATAAACCAAACCTCTACTAGGAGAACTGGTGAGCACCACCATGCTTCTACAAAAGACTCCCCCCACCCACTGGAAATTTGACACAGAGCCTCTAAGTTATTATCCCAGCCAACCTCTCGATAATTTCCCTTTCCAGTTTGCTGCTTGTGACATTAGGGCATGATGGAATGTCAGCTTCACAATGGGATTCAATCTTATTAACGGGAACCTGATTAGATTATATTTCACTGCAGCCCAGAGGCCACTGTGTTTCAAGGACAGACAGGCCAACCGTGCTAGAAGCATGCAGAGACCCACTCTCCGCAGACCTCCAGGAATCCGACCCAAGCCTGCGGCAGGCACAGTGAAACACAGATGAGGCATAAGCATAGATTCCGACCTTGAGAAGGTGTTCCGGGCGTAGTGCATGATGCTGTCAAAGTCGTATGTCTCTCCCAGAGAGCTCACTTCCCCAGCTTCCATTTTTAAGAAATTATACTCCTGACCTGTGACACAACACTGTGTTAAGGCCTTGGAAAACCAAGTCAGGCACCTGAAAGGAGGCAGAGGAAGCAGAAGGAGGGCCCATAGCAACTTCCCAGGGCTCTCTTGGCCCAATCAGTCAAATAACAGGGCTTGTAGTGGTTCTTGTTGTTTCGAATAATTAGAAATTTGAAACTTCCAGCAAGCCCTGTGTTCTCCCAACTCCACCACCCGAGACCTATCCCCAAATGCCACTCAAACCTCTTAAAGTAAGTTTGCAGACAGATTAGTTATCAACTCACTTGCCCCCACAAAAAAATAAAAAATAAAAATAAAAAGCTCTGGGCCAGGTGCCGTGGCTCACGCCTGTAATCCCAGCACTTTGGGAGGCTGAGGTGGGTGGATCACCTGAGGTCAGGTGTTCGAGACCAGCCTGGCCAACATAGCGAAATCCCGTCTCTACTAAAAGTACAAAAATTAGCTAGGCATGGTGGCAGGCACCTGTAATCCCAGCTACTCAGGAGGCTGAGGCAGGAGAATCGTTTGAACCTGGGAGGTGGAAGTTGCAGTGAGCCAAGATCACACCACTGCACTCCAGCCTGGGCAGCAAGAGCGAGACTCTGTCTCAAACAAACAAACAAACAAACAAAAAATAAAACAAATAATCAAACAAAAACCTGATCTTGCAATTTGAAGAAACAAAAGAAAATGAATCAGAGAGTTAAGTTCAATCCTAAATAGCTCACAATTCAGATTCTCTAAAGTATTTGTAAGGCGATCATATTCTTCAACTAGTTACTTTCATGCTTAATATTAACTTCCATATAAAATTATTTGACATAAGAAAGTTTTTTTTTTTTTAATTCTAGACACTTTATCTGCCTTGGGGCAGGATGTTTCTAGGCAGAAACACTGTTTTTACATGTGTTCATGTCCTAATCGTATTTCAGTTTCAGAAAACATGTTGCCTAAGTCAGCAAAAATAACTCATAAAAGCAGCCAGGAGAACTCTTTTTTTTTGTTGTTGCTTATCAGCTCTGATGCTGCAACAGTGTTCTGGTTGACTGTGTTCCTTTCAGGAAACAGAGTTAGATTTCATTATCCTATAAAACATAGAAAATAATTTTGCTTCTGCTCCAACCTCCAAGCTATGGCAGATGACCTCCCAGGAAGCCACAGATGGACAGTGGTCATACTGGTGAGAAGGGCCTGCACAACAGTCATTGCTCCATACTCAGCAATTAGCATTGCTCAGCTCCCAGCGAGTCCTCTCCTTCCCCCCGTCCTGTCCCTGAGGTTGCCACCTTCTCGACCAGTGCCTTCCAGACTCCACACAGGCCTCCTTACCTGGCTGGATGTTTTCCCTGATGATGGTGACATGTTGGTCTCTGTCTGGCCGGGTGTGTTCATGCCAAAACCCAACCACATGGCCCAGCTCGTGAGCCACAATGCCAAACTTGTCACAGTTCTTCCCAATGGATATGGCCTGTGGGCCTCCTCCTCGGCGCCCAACATAGGAGCAACAGCTGGACAATTGCGGGAATACCCAGGTCAGCAGGTCAGAAGACATTTAGAGCAAGAGGCAAGTCCCCCCTCCCACTCTGTATGTGTGCGTGTGTGCGCATGTATGTGTGCGTGTGTGCGCATGTATGTGTGCGTGTGTGCGCATGTAAAAGAAACAGAATTTCAGGCTGGGTGCAGTGGCTTACGCCTGTAATCCCAGAACTTTGGGAGGCTGAGGTGGGAGGATCACCTGAGGTCAGGAGTTTGAGACCTGCCTGGCCAACATGGTGAAACCCTGTCTCTATTGAAAATACAAAAATTAGCCAGGTGTGGTGGTGTGTGCCTGTCGTCCCAGCTACTTGGGAGGTTGAGGCAGGAGAATTGCTTGAACCCAGGAGGCAGAGACTCCAGCCTAGGAAACAAGAGCTTAACACTGTCTCAAAAGAAAAGAAAAGAAACAGAATTTCAGTGTCCGACTTCCCACCCAATGACCCAATGCAGAAATTCCCTCCAAAAATGGTTCTTAACCTTTTTGTGGTTATGAATCTTCTTGAAAAGCTGACGAAAGACATGGTCTCTGCCTGACATAAAGTGTATACCATACTCCACCCTCCACCCACAAGGTGCTGGAGTCCCTGCTGGGCCATTTTTAATGAAAAGGAGGAGTCAGGGGAAGGAGGCAGGTGAGTGTCTATAATGCATGCAACTTGGGGTCATTATCAGAGGAGGCTTAGAGATGACTCCCTTCCGGGCACAATCATTTTTTTTCAAATAATATTTATATACATTTTTGTAATACTAAAATTTATTTCATCAGTCTTCCATTAATGTACATCTGGGCTGTAACTCCAGTTTTTGCTACTTTAACAAGGCCTCGGGGGAGAGGATGACAAGCAAAACAAACAAAAACAACAACAAATGAAACAAAGAAATGGTAAAGTACATTTCTACCAATGGGATTCATGGATAAAAGGATATGTGCATTTGAAAATTTGACAAATTGAACTCCCAAAATGTTGTCTGTTTATATACTCACTAAGAAGATATTAAAAGCCCCTTTCTCTTTACCTGAAAGAAAGGAAATCAGTCTATTGAAGAGCTATCTGCACTCTCATGTTTGTTGCAGCACTGTTCATGATAGCTAAGATTTGGAAGCAACCTAGGTGTCCATCAGCAGATGAATGGATAAAGAAAATGTGTACGCACAGAAAATATGTACAAGTACACAATGAAGTACTATTCAGCCATAAAAAAGAATGAGATCCTGTCATTTGCAACAACAGGAATGGAACTGAAGATCATTATGTTAATTAAAATAAGCCAGACACAGAAAGACAAACATCATATGTTCTCACTTATTTGTGGGAGTTAAACATTAAAACAATTGAACTCATGCAGATAGAGACTAGAAGGATGGTTATGGGAGGCTGGAAGGGTAGTAGGGGACTGGTGGGGAAGGTGGAGATGGTAATGGGTGAAAAAAAAAAAAAAGAAAGCATGAATAAGATACACTATTTGACAAAAAAACAGGGTGACTATAGTCAATAATAACTTAATTGTACATTTAAAAATAACTAAAAGAGTGTACCTGGATTGTTTGTAACACAAAGGATAAATGCTGGAGGGGAGGGATACCCCATTCTCCATGATGTGATTATTTCACATTGCATGCCTGTATCAAAACATCTCGGGTACCCAAAAAATATATACACCTACTGTTTACTCACAGAAGCTTAAAAAATATTTAAGTCCTATTTCCCTTATCCTGGCCAACACTGGTTTTATCCAACTATTTTTGCCAATTGGATAGGTAAAAAATGGGATTTCACTGCATTGAGGCTGGATGGTTTTTCACATATTTTATGTGACTCTTTTTTTTTCTGTGAACTATGTGAGCACCTCTTACCCCTGTTTTCTTTCGGGTTGTCCATTTTTTTAAGATTGATATTTAAGAACCCTTTGTAAATTAGAGAAACTAGTCAAGAGTGTTGCAAGTATTTTGCTCACTTTGTACGTTCTCATTTGACTTTGTTTTTGTTTATGTATTGTTTTGTTTTCTTTTTGCATTACAAACGTTTTTAATGTTAGTATTATAAAATGTCTTCATTTTCTTATGTGCTGCTTAGAAAGGTCATCCATATTTCAAGATTATAAATAAAATTACTCTTGTTTCCTTCTTATACTCTTTTGGATTTTTTGTTTCTTTCTTCCATTTCTTTTTCTTCAATACTTACATCTTTGATCTAGCTAGAATAGTTTTTGGTATAAGAAGTGAGGTAGGAGTCCAGCTTTTTTTCTTTTTTTCACAGAGAGCTATCTAAATTATCCCAATATTCAAATATCACTATTGACTTTCTCTCACTCATTTAAACTCTTACCCAAATTTGTGTATAGGTATATTCATTTTGGACCCTTTTTTCTATATATTTTTCCCTTAAGTTCCAAACTGTTTTGTTATTATCTTCCCTTTGCATTTTAATATTCTGCATGTTTGGTTAGACCATTAGATAGCTACCTCTGTCATTACTGTTTTCTCTCTCTCTCTCTCTCTCTCCCTTTCTCTGTTTCTCTCTCTCTCTCTAGTTATTTCCACATGGTTGTTCCTCCAGATAAACTCTAGTATCATTTGTTCAAGCTCTAAAAATATGTATGCATACATACACATGTACATATATATATATAAATGTTGGTGTTTAAATCAGAAAGGCATGAATTTACAGCTTATTTTAGGGAGTTCTGACATCTTTACTATGTTGAGTATTCCTATACCAGGAAGCAATATGCTTTCTATTTTTACTTTTTTTTCTTAGGTTCCTGGGAGTGTTAGCATTTTCTTCCTATAGGTCTGGCACATTTATGTTTAGTCTTAGATATAGTATCTATTATGTTTCTATTAAAGTTGTGATTTTTTTCCCATGATAAAAGTGTATCAAACTATTTCATGTATAAAGAAAATCAGTCACCTAGTTTTGTTAATTAATTAATTTTGTGGTCACTTAATAGAGTCTCCTTGTGTTTCTAACAGCTTTTCAACTGATATTCTGGGGTTTCTAGGCACACAATCACGTTATCTCCCGTCAGTGCAAACATTGCCTCTTTGTTCCTGCCAATATTCACAGTGTTTCTTTCTTTCTCTTGTCTAATTTATATTAATTAGTATTTCCAAAACAATGCTAAATAATTGTGGTATCCCTAAACATCTTAAACTGGTTCCTGATTTTAACTAAAATTAAATGCTTCTAGAAGTATCATTGATAAACATGATACTGGCTTTTGGTTGGAAGTTATTTATATAAATGTATATTTGTGTGTGTATATATATATATATATATTTGTAATGCAAGAACCTATCCTTGACATCTATTTCTGTGCTACCTTGGTTACTTTTTTAAAATAAAAACTGCATGCTGTATTGTACAGGTGCCTTTTAGCATCTATTGAGATATGAATATAGCTTCTCTTCTTTGACCAATGAAACTTGAGAATAGATTTTCTAATGTTGAACTAATCTTGTATTCCCTAGATAAATGTATTTGGCAGCCTCCTCTTCTTTTCTTCTGCTGCTGAATTCTATGTGCTAACATTTTATTTAGGATTTTGCATGGCTATTCACATGTGAGATGAGTCTATAATTTTTTCTTTCTTATCTTTTTTATCATGTTTTCCTTTCTTTCTCATTTATTTGGTGCCATCCTTTTCATTTCAAGGTAGTAATGTCATAACAGTTCCTCAAAAGTAATTTGAAAGTATTCTTCTTTCTACATGCTCTAAAAAGTTTAAGTATACCAGAATAATCTGTTTTTAAAGTTTTGAAAGGATTCACTTGTGAAACTCTGGGTCTGGTGCTTTGTGGGAGATGGCTTTTTCCCTTCGTTCTTCAACTTCATTCAAAGTTCTTGGTCTGTACCAGTACTTTATATTTACCTTGAAGACTTTCACATTATCCACATTTTACACTCTTTGCCCTACAGTTTTGCAAACTACTTACTCCTTTGTGATTCTGCTGAATTTGTGGCTGTTTCTCCCATTTTCACTTCTAACACTATCTATTTCTGTATGGTCATATTTTGTCTCAGTTAAACTAACAAGTGGTTTGTCTACTGTTTTCTGCTTGTTTGTTTATTCGAATAATTTACTCTTGAATTTGTTAGCCCTATAATATTTCACCTTGTCTGTTTCCTTGTACTCTCCTAAAGTTTATTTTGTTGTGGTGATGGTGGTGGGTTGTAAGTATTATTTTTGCTAGCTTCCTTAAATTGAATACTTCATTGTCACTATTGTCAATGGGTGATGTGGATATTTAAGTCTGTGGGTTTTTGTCTGGACATAGCTTTAGCTATATCTCTTTTATTTTTGAACCACAGGACTTTCATTATCTAGACATTCTGCAATTTTAATCTTGCTGTTTTTATGATCTAAGAGCTATAAAAAGGGAAGCATGGGGGGACTTTTAACTCACCAGCTAATGTTTATTCTATTTTTGTTATTATATTATGTCCAGTTTCACTGCTTTGCAATCAGAAAATATCTTGGTGCTATTTCTGCCTTTTAGAATTCGTTAAGATGTTCTTAATGCTTAATAGATGGGCCATTTAAAAAAATGTGTTATGAGGTTATAGAATCTGATAGACCTGTAGAATCAACCCTAGTAACTGTATTTTTCAGTTTATTTTAGAGATTCTGTGAATCTCTACTTATTTTTTGGTCAACGTGACACTGACTTACTTGAGTTGACAGAAATGAATTAAGTCTGGTGCTACTGAGCATTTCTGTCAATTTCCCCTTGAATTCCCTGGGGCTCGTTTTATGACTCTTGATGCTATGCTATTTGGTGCATAAAGATTTATGACAGTTATATTCTCACCGTCGCTTATACCCTTTCTCATTATAAAGTGTCTCGGCTTTGGTTTTGTTTAACATTTTCTGACTTTAAAAACAAAAACAAAACAGTGAAAACCTAGTCAACAACTAAAATTGTGATCCCAGCTTTCTCTTTGTTAGCATTTACCTGTATGGCTTCTTTCCTTTTACTTTTAAACCTCTCTAGGTTGTTTTCTTCAGTAATCATCTTATGTATAGAACATGTAGTTGGGTTTGGTTTTGTTTTTTTGTTTTGTTTTGTTTTGTTTTGTTCTGAGATGGAGTTTTGCTCTTGTTGCCCAAGCTGAAGTGCAATGGCAGGATCTCGGCTCACTGCAACCTCTGCCTCCCAGCCCCGAGTGATTCTCCTGCCTCAGCCTCCCAAGTAGCTGGGATTACAGGCATGTGCCACCACACCTGGCTAATTTTGTATTTTTAGTAGAGACGGGGTTTCACCATGGTCTGGACCACCAGGCTGGTCTGGAACTCCCAACCTCAGGTGATCCGCCCACCTCAGCCTCCCAAACTGCTGAGATTACAGGCGTGAGCCACCACTCCCGGCCAGGTTTGGGTTTTTGATCCAAGATGAGAACCTTTTTCTTTCAGTAGGAAAGTATATCACACATATTTATTGACATAACAGATAACTTTAGTCATAAGCCAGTCATTTTATTATATATTGTTTTCTGAAGGAAGTCTGTAAATCTGTAGAGTCCCTCAAATTAAATGCAAAATTTTACATACATATTTATCTATTCTTGAAGAAGGAAAGCCCACCGGTTCATCAGATTCTAAATGGGGACACCAAACCCAAGAGGTTAAGAACCACTGCCTTAAGTCTTCATGTGACACACCACCAGTTCCTTCTGTTGCTCTCCTAGTGGCAGGACCCCTGGTCTTCATGGAGTCTCCTGGAATCTTCCTCTTGACCCACCAGCTTTGCCACTGGATTGTAATTTTACCAAGGGCAGAAAGTTTCTAGCAAACCCTGGACTCCTCTAAATAACAGCTCATTGGAAATACTTAGGTCTACAGAGAAAACTCAAGACTCATGAGCCATCCGACTGATTCTGCAGAGGCGGCCTCGCTTTTGCTTACTTACCCACAGGTTCTGTAACTGAATACAATAAAGCTTTCCTCGTCGGTCCTTTCTATGAAGGTCACACAGGTGTGCTTCTCCCAGTGTCTCATGGCCTGCTTAAAAATGGCCCTCTGGCTCCCTGAAACAACAGGGCAAGCACTCAACTTCAATGGTGGGTCCATACTTTCTTTAGATGCTTTTTTTTTTTTTGAGACGGAGTTTTACCTTTGTTGCCCAGGCTGGAGTGCAATGGCGCGATCTCGGCTCACTGCAACTTCCACCTCCCAGGTTCAAGCGATTCTCCTGCCTCAGCCTCCCGAGTGGCTGGGATTACAGACATGCGCCACCACATCCGGCTAATTTTGTATTTTTAGTAGAGACGGGGTTTCACCATGTTGGTCAGGCTGGTCTCGACTCCTGACCTCAGGTGATCCGCCAGCCTTGGCCTCCCAAAGTGTTGGGATTACAGGCGTGAGCCACGGCACCCAGCCTCTTTAGCTGCTTTAAAGCATGCTGAGTTAAAACAAAGGATGTTCCAACAATTAAAAAAAAAAAAAGATTGTTAATAATACTGTATCGTTTACTTGAAATTTGATAAAAGAACAGATTTTGTGTCCTCACCAGCCCTCCAGTGTAAGCTTGAGTGGTGATGGATGTGTTAATTAATTTGATTATGGTGATCAAGACATAATACATCAAATCTTCATGTTGTATACCTTGAATATATACAATTTTTATTTGTCAATTAAATATTTTCAAAAAAAAAGAAAAAAAACAAAACAAAACAAAAAAACCTTGTTCTGGTGACCCAGAATAGAAATATTCCAGGAATTTCCAGGAATCAGGATTTCCCTTGCTAAAAACACAACATAACTTTTCTCAGTTGCCAAAACCTAGAGAGTAGGAGTTTGTGGATTGGAAGGGAGGGTAAAAATAGATTTTCAAAATATCCTGGGCTTCCCAAATTTTCCTTTGTATTGAAAGTATTTTCCAAACATTTACAAAACCTTATCCAGGTTTTTCCATTTGGAAACTGCAGGCTTTTGAAGTAGGGGGGAGTCAACTCCAGCTTACCAGCACTGTACTTCACCCCCTCATTTTCTTTTAGAATTTTAGGAGAGTGCTCCTATGCACTCTAAAAATTCTATTTGCATATACATCTGTGTGTTTTTGCACAGAGTTTCAGTGTCTTGTGGGGAATCCTTGAGCCTAATTTTTCTTCCAGGCCTTTGAAAATAGGTGAATTTCATACTTTTTCTGAACCTGTCTTGGTATTTCCTTGAGTGGAAATTTGCTAAATAGTAAAACTCCAGGCTGACAGTTACATATAGTCAGTCAGTTCTTTTCAAAATCTAGAAGGAAGACTGTTTAAATTTTCCTAGAAGCAATGAGAAGGATCTAGGAAAAAACAGTTGTCTGGGAAGTATGAAGGATGGTGGGAGTCGGAGGTATGAGTTCTCCAGGGCCCTCAATGCAAAACAAAAACAAAAATTACAAGCAAAACAAAACAGCTGACATCACTTGGATGTTTGTCCCCTTCAAATCTCATTTTGAAACATAATTCCCAGTGTTGGAGTGGGCCTGGTGGGAGATGTTTGGGTCATGGGGGTGGATCCCTCAAGAAGGGCTTTAGCACCATCCCCTTGGTGAGTGAACTCTCGCTCTGAGTTCATGTGAGAGTTGGTTGTTTAAAAGTGTGTGGCACCTCCCCCACCTCTCTCTTCCTCCCTCCCACCATGTGATGTTCTGGCTTCCTGTTGCCTTCCACCACGATTGCAAGCTTCCTGAGGCCTCACCAGGAGCAGATGCTGCCACCATGCTTCTCAGATAGCCGGCAGAGCCGTGAGCCAAAACAAACTTCTTTTCCTTAGAAACTACCCAGCCTCAGGTATTCCTTTAGAGCAACACAAATGGACTAGTGCAACAGCACTCGGGGAGGCTCCCATCATTCCTACAGGATGTGCGGATGGTATCACATTGTTGTCCCTAAAAACATTCACATAGAATAAAGAATAACAGCTGGGCATGGTGATTCATGCCTGTAATCCCAGCACTTTGGGAGGCCAAGGCAGGTGGATCCCTTAAGCTCAGGAGTTTGAGACCAGCCTGGGCAACGTGGTGAAACCCTGTCTCTACAAACAATTAAGAAAAAAAAAATTAGCTGGGCTTGGTGGCACATGCCTGTAGTCTCAGCTACTCAGGAGGCTGAGGTGGGAGGATCACTTGAGCCCGAAAGGTTAAGGCTGCACTGAGGCATGATCATGCCACTGCACTGCAGCCTGGGCAACAGAGCAAGACCCTGTCTCAAAAAAAATAAAAGAAAGCAAGAAAAAACAAACAACAACAAAAAATAGAATAACTTAGCTGTGCATTTCTTTTCTGACATCTTGACATTTTTGGCTCAAATTGTTTATAGGTCAATCACTTACCAAAAATAGCAACCCTACTAATTACCTAATAACATGAAATACTTGTGTCAACAAAATTCTTTCATATAACATTAGTTCACTTTGATGAAAGGAATATAAATCTTTGGTCAGAAAAGCACACCAGATCTGAAAGAACACAGTTAGGATACCAAGGAACAAAAGTTTGTAGCTGTTTATCGTTTCTATTTTTTTTTTTCTTTAGGCACTCACCTCTCTCTGCTGTGAGAACAGACCTCCTTGAGGGCAGGATGAAATCTTAGTCATCTTTTTTATCACCAATCCCTAGTTAAGCACCTGGCACTAGGAAGCCGTGGGTTAATGCTGTGGGAGCAAAAGGGAACTGCAGGAATTCCGCTGCCCTGCTGCTGAGGTCTTCACTGTTCCCTAACTTACTCATCAGCGGTTCTCAGTGGCTTTGGCAAATCCTCAGGGAATCTGCCTTCATCAGCCACCTCTGAGTAGAGGTCACAGAGCCACAGGGAGGGAAAGGACTTGTAAGTGACACTGAGAGCCTGGGAAAGTCTCTCAGTGTGGCTTGTCACTCAGGCATTGCACTGACATTGGCCGCAGGTATGCAGTGGGCAGATTTACTACCTGCCTAGGATGTGCCGGGCCCTGGTCTCCGTGTTGGTGATATGGAAGCGGAAATGAGACAGAAAAAGACTGCTGCTCCCACAGAGCTGAGGCAGAGACAAAAATAAATGAAACAGAAATAGAAGTAAAGTGAGTTCAGGTCATGGTAAGTGCTGCCAAGGTTATAAAGCAGGGTCTGGGGACAGGGAGGTGCTGACGGGGACAGGGCGGAAGGCCTTCCTGTGAAGTGTCCCTTGACATAAGACTCAAATGATAAGAAGACAGCCATGCAAAGACCTGGGGAAAGGGCATCCAAGGGAGACAGAAGGCAAGTTGAAGTGTGAGTGCGCAGGGGCCTATGAGGTGGGCACGTCTTGGGATAGGCACATGGCTGGTGAGGCCAGAGCATAGGGATGAAGGATGGGAGAAGGGGAGAGAGGGTCAAAGGCCAGGCAGGAGAGGGATGGCGGGGTACTCGAGGGAGGGCCTTACAGGTCCGTGGTCAGGAATTTCATTCTAGTGGCAACAGGAAGCCGCGAATGATTCACATATTTTAAAGGGAATACTAATATCAGATACTTACTCATTACTGTCTGCCAGGCACCACTCTAAGTGCTTTATCTACAGTAATCCATCTGATTCTCAAAACAACCAGATGGGGTAGAAGATATTATCATCCCCATTTACAGAAGAGGGAACTGAGGCACAGAGAGGCTAATTTCCCCAGGGCATTTTGCTGGCAAGTACTGGAGCTGAGATTTGGACCCAGGGAGTCATGCCATGTCCACTGGTCGCTTTGGTCACTGAGTGGAACACTGCTTGTGGGTGGTGGCAGGGGACCTCTGAGTCCAGGACGCTCATCCAGGCAGAGGACAGGGAAGCCAATCACGTGCAGTTGCTCATGGACTTTCTTCTCTGTGGAGGGCTTGTCCTCAAACAGTCATTATGCAAACCCCGCTTATCCTTCAAGGTCCTTCCAGGTCACTCCCCACACGAAGCATCGGGAGCAAGGTAACCAACTTTGAGGACATAGCCCCAACAGAGATTGCAATTTCCCCAGGACTGGTGGGCCAGGCCTTGCTGGCAAGAGGGGCACACCATCTGTAGGTCTGCTGTGGTCCTGAACATCTGCTCCATCCCACCCAGGTCCTTCCTAGAAGGTCCTTCCTCAACCCAGGGTGACAAAGCACCCTGACCCAAAGCAGGCCTTGTCTGTGGCTACTGACCAGTGAAGTTCCCTCCAATGACGTAGGGGATGACTCCGCCAGGCCATATCCTCTCTGTCCTTGAGGTTGTGGCTCTTCGGACCCGGGGAGAGAAGGTTTCAACTGTGGCATGCGAGGTCCCAGGGCTGTGCAGGAGTGTGGTATTCTCCTGGCCATCTGCAAGACAGTTGGGTTACTATTGACTTTGCCCTTTGATTCCTCCTGTGAATTATGGCTGAGGTTGTATTATCCACGATTCCAAAAAGGGGGTGTTAAAACATGTTCTAAAGGGGCTATTTCATCAGTTCAGGGTTTGGAAGCCCTGGGTGGTAGTTTTCCAGATGGGGGAAGAGTACATGTAATAAACATACAGGGCTATGATGGGAGTGGGTTTGGCTTGTCTGAGGCCTTGAAAGAGGTCACATGGGGCCACAGAATCAAATGGGTGGGGATACCTCACAGCTCTTTGGGTGGGGCTGAGGTTGGGGTGGACTTTCTGCTCAGAGCCACAAGCATTTGGGGAACAAACTGAGTCAATCCCTTGCCTTGATCCAAAATGGTCAGTGTTGCATATTTTGAAATAATTTGGCCAGTACAACAAGGAGAGTGGATCAGATTGTGACACTGGAAAAATTATTTGTAAGAAAAACCCTGGAAAAAGCAGACCCTCATAAAACTCCCAACTTTTGGCATCTGGACCCTTAAGACAGTAGTGTGGGAAACACAAGGAGGTTCGATGGAAGGTTCTGAGTCCACACGTTAGGCCTCCCCCAATGGCAGAGGTAGGTGGGTGGAACAGAATGCTGAAACCCATGGACACCAGTCACTGAATCTGCATGCATTTCATTCACCAGTCAAATAATTTAAAATTTTGTTTTCAGTTGGCTTGCTTAGAATCCCTCATTATTATAATTTGGAGCATTTTCGCTCTAGTTTTTATACTTTTTCTCCTAAAAATCAGGTTTTGTTTTTGCCGACTCTTTTCTTTGTTTTTGTTTATTTATATATTTCTTTTTTGAGACAGAGTCTCACTCTATCACCTCGGTTGCAGTGGCGCAATCTCAGCTCACTGCAACCTCCACCTCCTGGGTTTAAGTGATTCTCCTGCCTCAGCCTCCTGAGTAGCTGGTATTATAGGCACATGCCACCATGTCCGGCTAATTTTTGTATTTTACTAGAGATGGGGTTTCACCATGTTGGCCAGGTTGGTCTCGAACTCCTGACCTCAAGTGATCTGCCTGCCCCGGCCTCCCAAAGTGCTGGGATTACAGGCATGAGCCACCGCGCCTGATTAATTCTTTTCACTTTTCTTTATTACATTAATGTTATTTACTTTATTACTTCCTTCTATTTTCATTTGTTTTATCCTGACGTTTCATTTCTAGCTTCTTTTCTCTTTTATTTAAAAAAATTGAGATAGAATTCACACACCATATTTACCCTTTTAAAGTATACCATTCAGTGACTTTTAGTATTTTCACAAAGTTGTGAAACCACCACCATTATCTAATTCTACAGTATTTTCATCACTCCAAAGAGAAACTATGTACCCATTAACAGTCATTCCCTATTTCTCCCTTCCCCGAGTCCTTGGCAACCAGTAATCAACTTTGTTTCTATGAATTTGCCTATTCTGGACATTTCCTAGAGATGGAATCACACCACATGTGGCCTTTTGTGTCTGGCTTCTTTCACTTGGCATGTTTTCAAGGATCACCCATGTTGTAGTATGAATCAGTTCTTCATTTTATGGCTGAGTAATATTCCATTGTATGCCCATACCACAGTTTGTTTATCTGTTCTTCAGTTGGTGGACATTTAGGTTATTTCTACTTTTTGGCTGTTAGGAATAGTGCTTCTATGAACATGCATGTACACATTTTTGTGGACATAGTTTTTTCATTTCTCTTCAGTACGTGTCTGGGGTGGAATTGCTGGGTCATATGGTAACTCTATATTGAATCTTTTGAGAAACTACCAGACTGTTTTTCAAAGCAGTGGCACCATTTTACATTCCCACCAGCAATACACTAGGGTTCCAATGTCTCCACATCCTCATCAACACTTGTGATTGTCAATCTTTTTTATTATTGTCATCCTAATGGTGTGAAGCGGAATCTCATTTTGGTTTTGATTTTCATTTCCCCAATGACTAATGATGTTGAACATCTCTTCCATGTACTTGGCAGTCATTTGTATATCTTCTTCAGAGAAATATCTATTCAAATTGTTTATTCATTTCTTAATTGGGTTGTCTTTTATTGTTGTGTTATAATTAGTCTTTATATATTCTGGATACCAGGCTCTAGTCAGATATATAATTTCCAAATCTTTCTTCCATTCTGTAGGTTGTCTTTGCAATTTTATAATAGTGTCCTTTGAAGCACAGCTGTTTTTAATGAAGTCCAATGTATCTATGATCTTCTTATGTTGCTTGTGCTTTTGGTGTCATATCTAAGAAACTATAGCCTAATTCAAGATCACAAAGATTTATACATATGTTTTATTCTAAGAATTCTATAGTTTTAACTCTTATATCTAGGTCTTTGATGCATTTTTAGTTAATATTTGTATATGGTGTGAGGTAGGGCTCCAACTTCACTCTTTAGTATGTAAACATCTAACTGTTCTAGGGCCATTTGTAGAAAAGACTAGTTTTTCTCCATGGAATTGTCTGGCGCTCTTGTCCAAAATCAATTGGCAATCCTTTTCTAGCTTCTTGAGTTGAATACTTGGCACATTAATTTTAAATCTTTCTTATAAATATTAACATTTTCAGGGCTAAATTTCTCTCTGATGTCTTCTTTTCCTGTGTCTCATATTTTGAAATGTACATTTTCAATGTTAGATATTGATACTTTTTTTTTTTTTTTTTTTTTTTTGAGACGGAGTCTTGCTCTGTCACCCAGGCTGGAGTGCAGTGGCCAGATCTCAGCTCACTGCAAGCTCTGCCTCCCGGGTTCACGCCATTCTCCTGCCTCAGCCTCCCGAGAAGCTGGGACTACAGGCACCCGCCACCTCGCCCGGCTAGATTTTGTATTTTTTTTTAGCAGAGACGGGGTTTCACCGTGTTAGCCAGGATGGTCTCGATCTCCTGACCTCGTGATCCACCCGTCTCGGCCTCCCAAAGTGCTGGGATTACAGGCTTGAGCCACTGCACCTGGCCCCTTGATACATTCTTTAAGTTCCATTTAGACTTTCTTCTTTGACCTCTGAATTATTTCAAAGTATGGGTTTTAATTTCTAAAAATTTGTCTGTGTGTGTATTATTGATTTCTAACACTGCACTGTGTTCTAATAACCTATTCTTCATGGCAGAGGTCAGCAATTTTTCTATAAAAGGCCATATAGTAAATATTTTAAGCTTTGTGGGTCATATATTCTTTGTTACAACTACTTAACTCTGCCATTGAAGTGTGAAAGCAGCCATAGATAATATGTCAATAAATGGATATGGCTGTGTGCCAATAAAACTTTATTTGCAAAACAGGAGGTTGGATTTGGCCTACTGATCATAGATGGCTGGTCCTTGCTCTAAAGTATTGATTCTTTGGTATTTAGGCCTTCCTTAGTAAGCTAATACAAGACTGATTTTTATAAATGTTCCATGTTTTCTTACAATAATATGTGATGTCTAATTGATGGGTTTCATATATTGTTCAAATATTCTGCTTACACAGATTTTTGGCTTCTTAGTGTATCAGTTACTAAGAAAGGTGCTTTAAGCAAAACCTCCAGAACTAAGATTATGAATTGTTATTTTCTCTCTCCTTAATTTTTGCTCTAGATTGTTCAAGACTATGTTGATTAAGTAAGACAAGTTTAGAATTGTTAATTCCAGATAAATTTTTCTTTTATCATTAGTAATCCTTTTTATAATAATATTCATTCATAATAATGATTGTTTTGTCTGATATAAATATTGCTACACATTTTTTTATCTGAGTCAAAGTCTGGCTCTGTCACCCAGGCTGGAGTGCAGTGGCACGATCTCAGCTCACTGCAACCTCTGCCTCCTGGGTTCAAGCCATCCTCCCACCTCACCCTCCCAAGTAGCTGGGACCACAGGCATGCACCACCACTCTGGCTAATTTTTTTATTTTTTGTAGGGACATGGTTTCATCATGTTGCCCAGACTGGTCTCAAACTCCTGAGCTCAAGCGATCTGCCCACCTTGGCCTCCCAAAATGCTGGGATTACAGGCATGCACCACCATGCCTGGCCTGCTACACACTTTTTTATTTTGGTTAGTGTTTGCCTCATATAGCTTTTTTCTATCCGTTTTCAATCTGTTTGTATAATTACTTTTTTTTAGTGAGTCATTGAATGGGTGTTATTCTCTGAGTTAATTACATTTCCCACAACAAACAATACAACAAGCTTTGCAATTATCCTAATATTGAGGTTCAATATTATCTTTTTTGGTATCTAAAATAGCTTTTTGTAAATTGAAATTTTTATTGAGATAGTTGTAGATTCACATGCAGCTGTAGTAAATAATTTCAGAGATTTCATTTCCTCTAATGGTAACATTTTGTAAAACTACAGTACAATAACACAACTAGGATATGGGCATTGATACAAACCACTGATTTCACTCAGATATCTCTAGCATTACTTGTATTAATTTGTGTGTGTATGCCTGTAAGACAATTTTATCACACTTACAGTTTTATGTATCCACCACCACATTCATGATACTGAACAGTTTCAACACCATAAGTATCCCTCATGCTGTTATTTTGTAACAATATCTACCCCGCTTTCCCCTTTCCTCCATCCATAGCAAAATTCTGGCAACCACCAGTCTGTTTCCATTTCTAAAATTCTGTTATTTGATGAATATCATATAAATAGAAGCATACAGCATATAATAGGGATAATAATTATGCTCTTCTCACTCAGCATAATTCCCTGGAGATTCATCTAAGTTGTTGCCTGTATGAATAGTTTATTTTTATTGCTGAGTAGTAGTCCATGGTATGGATGTACCACAGTTTGTTTACCCATTCACCTGTTGAAGGATATCTGGATTGTTTCCTGCTATTACAAATAAAGCCATTATGAACATTCATGTACAGATTTTTGTGTAAAGGTAAGTTTTCATTTATCCAGGATAAATATCCAAGAGTGGAATTACTGGGTCATACAGTAATTGGGTCTATTTTTTGGGTTCT